CCAATTACTCTGCGGCCAATTCGTGTCTGGACGCCCTGACTGAGTACCGCCGATCTAAGAAGCTCGCCGCCCAGAGCATCCAGTGGGGACCGTGGACAGAACAGGGCATGGCGGCCGAGTTGATGCAGCAGCTCGCCAAGGGGGGAATGCGCGGCATCACCAACGAGCTCGGCCTTCGCGTCCTCGGCGATGTCATGCGGCACTCTGAGAGCGTCGGGGTGACGTGCTGTGCGCTCGTCAAGTGGCAAACCTTCCTGTCGATGTGTATTGCCATCCCGCCCTTCTTCGAGACTGTGGCGTCGGCTGCCACCGAAGGCGCGGCTGCAGGCGTGTCCGCCGAGCTGCGCAGAATGGATGCAGCGGCCCTCAAAGAGCACATCCACAAGGCAGTCGTGGAGACGGCTGCGACGGTGCTTGGCATGACGGAAGAGCCTCCCCTGGACTCCCCTCTGCAGGAACTGGGCATCGACTCACTCGGCGCCATCGAATTCCGCAACGCCCTGTCCTCCAAGATCGGCGTCAAGCTGCCCGCCACCACTCTGTTCGACTACCCGACGCTCAACGCCATCATTGGCTTCATCTGCAATGAGATTTCTGGCGCGGCGGACGAGATGCCTGCCGTCGACGACAGGGTCAAAGTGCAGGCTCTCGACAGTCGCGGCGGAAGCCCGCCAATCGCCATCATGGGTCTGGCCTGCCGATTGCCCGGTGGCATTGACTCGCTGGGGAGCTTCTGGCGGGTGATGTGTGAGGGGCGCGATTGCGTCACCACGATCCCCAGCGCGCGGTGGAATGCGGATCTGTGGTACGACCCGACGGGCCAGGTGCCTGACAGCTACTACACCAAGGCGGGTGCCTTCATCGATGGCGTGGAGTCCTTTGACAACCAGTTCTTTCGGATTTCGCCCCTCGAGGCTAAGTTCATGGACCCTCAGCAGAGACTTCTGCTGGAGGTCAGCTACGAGGCATTCCACAGCGCTGGAGTGTTCGGCAGCGGCAAGCACGCCGTGCCCGGAGCGCTGAATGGCCGGAGCATCGGCGTCTACGTCGGGTCCATGTCGCAGGATTGGTGCTTAATGCAGCACGAAGCATCAAGGTTCTCCACTATGGGCACCGCATCTTGCCTACTGTCGAATCGCATCAGCTACATCTTCGGTCTCAAGGGGCCGTCGCTTTCTGTCGACACGGGCTGCTCCTCGTCCCTCATCGCTGTCGACCTCGGCGTTAAGGCACTGCTCTCGGCGGACGCGTGCAGAGAGGGTGCACTGTGTGGCGGCGTCAATCTCATCCTCTCACAACATGCCTACATAGCCGAGTGCAGGTATGGATACTGGAAAGATATTAAATGACCCTTGTTTGCTTACTCGTGTGTGGCCTCTCTCTCAGGGCCCAGATGCTGAGCATCGACGGCCGCTGCAAAACATTCGATTCGGGTGCCAACGGCTACGTTCGCGCCGAAGGTGTGACGGCTGCGTTCCTTCAGCGTCTCGACCCGTCTGGCGACGTCGAGCCGTACGCATTGATCCGCGGGAGCGCTACCAACCACAACTGTGGCGCGAGCCTCACCGCTCCCTCGGGACCGGCGCAGCAAGTCGTCATCCGCGAGGCACTGAAAGAGGCCGGCCTGCCGCCCGGCGCCCTCTCGTTTGCCGAAGTGCACGGGACCGGCACGCTTATGGGTGACGCGATCGAGGTCGGGGCCCTCAGGGCCGTGTTCGGCAAGAGGCCTGCTTCATCGCCGCTTGTGTTGGGCGCCTTTAAGAGCAGCGTGGGCCACCCCGAGGCCGCATCGGGGATCGCAGGCCTCATAAAGGTCGTCCTCGCCTTGCACCACGGCATGGCGCCGCCCATCCTTCATCTCAGTCAGCTCAACCCACACATGGACTCGACGGGAGACTTTCCATTCGTCCTGCCGATCCAAGGGGGAGGAGGCGTCAACCTTGAGCCCGCAGAAGAGACCAAGCACACTGGCACGCTCATTGGTAGTGCCAGCAATTTTGGAATGGCAGGCGCCAACGCGTACGTCGTCATTGAGGCACGTGCCGGCGGCCTGGGCCGCGAACGCCTCGACAACCCTGTCTCTTCCACGTGGAAGCGCGAGCCCTTCGTATGGGACACCATGGAGGTGATGATGCAGAAGATGATGCAGAAGGCTGTCAAGAGCCTTCGCCAGCGACCGGTCAAGCCCAGCGGATCTGACGGCGATGCCTCCACTGTCGCCTCGCCGTCAGACGATGCCAATGCCATCCCTCTGGACCCTCAGGAGATCCTCGACATGGCGCGGCAACAGACAGGGCTCGAGCAGCTGGTGGGCTCCGAGGAAGATGTGCTTGCGGCTGCTGATGTCTTGCTGAAGTCGGCCCTGCCGGAGGGCAAGGACATGTCCTTCCTGGGCAGGTTCCTGCTGAGCCAAAGGGTCCGCCAGGCCTTCTGCAACCTGCTCTACATGGCCGACAGGGCCCACAGCCACCCCGCCATCCTTCGCCAGCAGATAGAGCAGCCCATCTTCGTTGTGGGCTTCGACCGAGTCTCCGTGTCACTCGTGCAGCAGCTGCTGGCCTGCGATGAGGCCAATCAGGCACCGACATTCAGCGAGATGCTATACCCATTTGGCGAGCAGGGCGAGTACGTGCAGGGTGCATCCCCCCAAGAGGTGAGTGAGTGGACGTACGTACGTTATTGAGGGCTAAATGGTGTTCATGTGCATGACCTCCATGCTAATCGTCTGTCTGTCTGTCTGTCTGTTTTCCTTCTGTCTGTCCGTCAGGATTCTCAGACACGGCTTGCTGCTGCCCAGGAGGCCATGGATTTGATGTTCTCGACCAACGACTACCTGACTCGCCTCGGCGCCCTCACAGCCGACACGCCCTTTGACGATTCGATGATTGTCGAGAACTCACTCCGATCTGCCTCCCTTGCCACACACTTCGATGCCCCCGTGTACCAGTCGTGGCTGTCGAGCAACCACCCGAGCTACACCTTCCACAAGACCTTCCTGCAGCACCTGCAGTGGCAGCGGGCAGGCGAGCCAAAGAGGTGGCTGCTGGCGTCGCCGGACCATGTGGGCCACCTTGACGATATCTTGGCGACCTACCCCGGGGCAAAGATCATCTTCGCCCACCGGTAGCGCAACGATGGGCGAGCTCGCTGGTGTTGTGTTGGTCATTCATCCATCTCTTTGTCGTTGGCTGGTGTCATTTTTTTTCTGTCTGGTTGTCTGTCAGGGATACATGCGAGACCGTCGCCGGCCGCTGTCAGGAGGTGCTGTCTCTCCGTCGTGGCCTTATGGCGGTCGACGTATGCAAACTGGCCGAGAATGAGCTGCAGCAGATGGCGGCCAACGCCAGAGCAGCGGCTGACTTCAGGAGGCGCCACACCCACCTGAAGGGCCAGTTCGCTGACGTGGACTTCAAAGAGCTCATGGCCAATCCCCTCAGCTCTGTCAGGACAGTCTACAGGAAGCTCAGGCTGCCCCTCTCCTCCCAGACCGGTGCTGCCATTGGGAGGGTGGTAGTCGCCAACAGAAGCCAGCGGAGCCTGCTCAAGTCAGTGCCCGCGACCATCGGTGACTTCGGCCTGGACGAGGAGGACCGGCGCTTCGACGCCTTGCGTGTGGACAGCACCAAGGGCAAGAGCTGGAGCAAGACGCGCCGGCGCATCACCGTGGGGTGTGTGCCAAGCTTCAGGCGATAAGAGGGGATGGTATATGTGTGTGTATGCCGCATGAAGGAAGAAATGGTTTCCTCGCCCTGTGGGCACATCACATGTGTGTGGAGGGCGGTGTGCAGTTTTGTGTCTTGTCTTGTCTTGTCATTTGTTATGTTATGTTATGCTGTGTGAGCACGTCGGTCTTTATCTACCAGTCGACGTGCTCTGCTCTGCTCTATCTTTGTCGTCTTGTGTTGCGCGTGTGCGTGTGCGTGTGCGTGTGTGTGCGTCTGTGTATGTGTGCGTGTGTGTACGTGTGCGTATGCGTGTGTGGTTGGTCCTTGAAAGTATGTGTAGATAGGTAAAGGGTGCGCAGATATACGTACGTGCGCAGGTGTACGTACCGTGGGCCACGCATATATTCGATCATGCCGGCCGTGGCCTGGCCAGAGAGAGTGTATGTTCTGGACTCACTCGTATGTCTGTATGTGTCGAAACTTAAGTGGCTGGATCGGAGCGTGCCTACTTGCTACTACCCTCGTCTATTAACAATAGGATAGCTAGGTGCATGCGATGCGTACACTGATTGCATGTGTGTGAGGATTGGATTGCAGGTGACGCACGCTTGTGACGGCTCGCTGACGAGAGAAGCACCTCATTGAAGTGCGCCAGTGTCTGTCTGTCTGTCTGTCTGTGTCATTTCCTGACCCGCATACGGTGATTGATTGTTGTGCGGTTTTGACTGTTTTGGGTGACGACGATTTTGGTAAATAAAGAGGGCTCGCACAGCTGCACGGCACGGCACCTATGTCTGTGTCGCCGTGCGTACTTCCTGGTTGCTTTAAGGATGGAAATTAAGAGAGGGGGAAAAGTGCTTTAATGTCAAGATGGAGTGTGCTGTCCTGGGTGGGTGCGTTGTGTTGTGGTGGGCACCAGTGCGGTGCGGCGCTGCACTTGTTCTTGTTGGCGGGCGGCGACGGGGTGCCATAGTGTGTTTGTTCCATTTCATGGCTGGTCCAGCCCTGTTTTGAAATGTGGGTATGGGTGTGGACAGCCCTCATTGAAGCGCGCCAATTTCTCTCTGTCTATGTCATTTCCTAGCCCGCATGCGGTGATTGATTGATGTGCGGTTTTGACTGTTTTGGGTGACGACGATTTTGGTAAATAAAGAGGGCTCGCACGGCACGGCACCGCACCTGTATGTCGCCGTGCGTACTTCCTGCCTGCTTTAAGGATGGAAATAGATACTGTTCTTTCAGTGACCTACTCGTCTCATGAGGTCTCCCGATAGACCGTCATTTTGGCTTCTTAAATAGACCGTCATTTTGGCTTAAATAGACCGTCATTTTGGCTTCCAAAAAAAAGGCCAGCCGTTCTCAGACACGTATTCATGCCTGCCTGCCTGCCTTGCTGGGTGCTGTGGTGGTTTTGAGTGGTGTGTGACGTGTCTGTGTGTCTGTCTGCACTACACCCAGCTAGCATCGATCGATTGAGACACAGACACCACTGGACAACCACTGTGATCCATGGATGAATTCACCTGCCACTGTCGGTCAGTTGGCCATGCACATCATAAAATACCAATCAGCCAGCTGAAATACGAACCCCTACCAATACACACTGATCAGCAGCCAGCGAGGCGACTGAGTCCACACGCTCACCAAACACCACCTGTCACTATCTATCTACGTATCGGTCTGTCCGTGGCACACCTCCACTCTGCGTGGCTTAGGGGGCGTCCCTCCCTCCCCCACCGCATCACACCCGCTGTCCTCCATGATCGATGTCAGGATGGTGGCCATCATGCCGTCTGCATGATCGACAAGCATGTGCAGAGGGCCGAGGGGCCCACAGTCCGGATGAAGGGAACAATATCACGCTGGTGGGCCTTGAAGACTTGCCGAGTGACCACCGCCTCACAGATCTCGTCAAGTAACCAGTCGTGCAGGGGCATGCTCCGCTTTCTCCCGCTCAGCCATGCCGTCAGCACTCTTAGTGGCGACACACCAGGTGCCCTCACGTGGGCCAGAAATGCAGCTATACACTCAGATACCTGCACGAGGGACAGGACAGGACATTTGGAGAAGCCGCATTGCATGCGTATTCCACAATCCGAGAGCAGCATTTCACAACCTCCATGCCGTTTGCTTGGTGTCGTGTGGTCGATATGTACCCGCATACCTCTCTGGCGACGGCCCTGCCCATTGCCCGAATGTCGCTCCATCGCCACTCCGTGATCATCAGCCGCAGACGGTGCAGCACGAGGCACCTGATCACCATTAAACTTGTACACACAGGCGCCATCGTCGACGACGATGGCACCTGCCTCGCCTCGACTTCAGGAGCGGACGAACAGCCCTGCCTTTTGGGGCATTAGACGATGGAGTGGGTCTGGCGATAAAGAGAGGCGAGCCGCTGCCCCTCACACACACAGACACACATTTAAGTATCATCACCTCACCCGAGCAGACGAGAAATGGTCTTATTCGGCCTGCTCACCTTTGCACATGGGCATTCGCTTTGCATAGCCATCGATGCGATCAATTGGATGCGATGGTGTTGCCACGAGCATGCCAACCAGCAGCAGCCAGTTTTGGTCCAGTCTTGAGAGAGGTCTTCAATGAGAGATCTTCAATGAGTTTGAAGCACAAAGGCACCTATCATTTATTTATGAAGCAGAGCCTGCCATCTGGCGCTTCCTCAGTTAAGCTCGCATTTGTCGGCTCGCAGAGATCTGCCGATCTCCACGCAATGCCGTCCATCAGGCAGCGCTGGCACTCCACGGATAGGGCTGCGTCACCAGTTTCTGCCATGCATCCGCCGAGGAGGCGCCTGCGAACCGATCCCTCTGCTGACACCTTCCCCCCCCTTCGGCTGCTTGTCCCATCTCTGCTGCTCATCCTTTCCGCAGCCGGCGCCTTCCATGCACCCCTGCACCAGCCACCCCGGCTCACCGATCACAGATCTGGCTCTTTATCGAGGCTGCGGCGGCATCATGACTCATCCCCATTTCTCCCGCATCCCTCTCTGGCAATGGTTGCCGGCGGTGACGACAAGAAGGTCGAGCAACGTGCTCTTGAGGCCACCCGGCAGCTATCGAAGAAGCCGCCTTCATCCATCAGAGTGCTGGTTGCCGGCGCCACGGGGTACATCGGGAGGTTTGTGGTGCAACAGTTCGTCAACGAGGGCTACCAAACCACCGCGCTTGTACGTCCCGGCTCAGCGGTCAACGAGCGGTTGATGGAGGGCGCCACGGTCAAGAGGGCTGAGGTGACGGACGAGGAGAGTCTGACTGGAGTGTTTGCTGATGGGAGCTATGACGTGGTTGTGTCGTGTTTGGCGAGCCGGAGCGGCGTCAAGAGTGACGCCTATGCGGTGGACTATCAGGCGACACTGAACCTGCTGGAGGCTGCGAGGAGGGGCGGGGCCAAGCATTTCGTGCTGCTGTCGGCTTTCTGTGTGAATAAACCTGTCCTGCAGTTCCAATTTGCTAAGGTGGGTGGGTGAATGGGATGGATGGGTGAGGGAAAAGAGGGAAGGGTCGCAAGTGGTTTGGATGTTTGTTGTGTACGTCTGTGTATGTGTTGATCTCTTCCTCAGTTGAAGTTTGAGGCGGCATTGCAGGGTGCCAAGGACATCACCCACTCCATTGTGCGACCGACCGCTTTCTTCAAGAGCCTCAGCGGACAAGTGAGCAAACCAAACCACGCCAAAGGACCTCTCACACACTTCCGTGACAAAGACACACATGCCCCTCCCTCCCTCCCTCCCTCGCTCCCCTTGTCAGCTGGAGACCCTCGACCAGGGCTGGCCATTCATCATGTTCGGTGACGGCTCCATCACCCGCTGCAACCCCATCAGCGAACCCGACCTGGCGGCCTTCATGGTCAGCTGTGTCAAGGACCCCGCCAAGTGGAACGCCATCCTCTCCGTCGGCGGGCCGGACGGTGCGCTCACCATGCGGGACCAGGGCAACATGATGTTCGACGCACTCGGCAAGGAACCCAAGTTCTGGACCTTCCCTCTCTCCACTTTCGACCCCATCATTGGCGCCTTCGCCTTCCTCGGAAGGTCTGTCTGTGCGGAGGAGGGAGGGGGCGCGGGCGTGGATCCTTGGTGTGTTTGTGTGTGTGTATAGGTGGTTTCCGCAGATGGAGGATGCGGCGGAGCTGGGTCGCATCGGCAAGTACTACGCCGAGTACGACATGCTGACGACCGCCCCGGGTGAGATCTACGGCGGCGACACGCTGCAGGAACACTACAGCAAGATAGCCAGGGAGGGGCAGGAGTACGACCCATTCACCACCATGTTCGCCAAGAAGAAACAGCCTGCAGCCGCCAGCAAAGAGGCAGAGAGGCAGGTGGAGACCGTCAGATGAGTGTGTGTCTAGTGCTGTGCTGTGTTGAGGGCGTGGATGTGTGTGAGAAGTTTTTCCATGCGTTCGTTGTCGAGGCAGATTTTTGACACTGTGCGGCTGTGGTCCGGTGGCTGGGTGGGCTGCCAGTGGCGGTGCTGACTGCTTTCTGTCTCCGCTGTGTCTGAAGTTTCGTCCTGATCTGTGTGTCCGATCACTTTGTGCCAAAGCGTGATGGTGGACCGGCAGATGAGGACGATTGCGGCGGACAAACATCGGCAGATGCGTATGGCACACACCAGTGTGTATGGAGAGGAGAGGAGTGGGGGACTACTGTACAGCCATGTTTGATGACACACACGACATTTATCGCAATACCGTCATTCATTTCATTCACACGTGGAGACACGCATTGCAGTGCATACGTCACGCACACGCATCCTGGGGCTGACCTGAGTGTAGCTTGACAAGTGTGACGACTTTGTGTGTACGACTGACTCCTATCTCTCGGCTGATGGTGCTGGTGCTGGTGGTGGTTGTGTGGTGTCGGCGGCCTGGTATGTGTGGTGGTAGTTTTGAATGTACAGCTTCGAAGCCTCGCTCCTCATCTTGGCTCGACGCGCACTCAGCACATCACACTGACGCCACACCACACCACACCGAGCACACACGTCGACATGTGAATGTGTGTACGACTCGACTCGACTCCCCCTCCCACATCCGCACATCTGCACCGCACCGTACCTCACCTGCAGTCTGTGTGTGTGGACTTTGAGCAGCCACAGCACCACACACCGCCATGCGAACAGGGCACACCACACAGCCGAATACGCCACTACAGTCGCAGACAGACGCATGACACACACACACGCACACACCTCACTTTGCCTTTCTTGTTGACCTACTTCTTTTGTCACGGCACTGTCTCGATAAATTCTCTTCGGTGCTTTCGGACACGCCAAACCGATGCTCTGTCCGGAGGTGCAGCGCCGCACAAAAGCCGGCCTGCATGACATGACATGAAAAGAGACAAACAGACGTGCAATACAGTCGGTGCGTCGTGCCTGCAGGCAGGCATCGTGCCTGCAGGCAGGCATCGGATGGCCTCGTGTGTCTGCGCGGCTGGCTGACCATGTCTATAGCGTAGATTAGTACGCTGCTGATCAGCTCCACAAACACATAGCTGCTGAGCAGCCGAAGACCGCACACACTGCTGCGAATGGCGGCCATCAAACCTGCACACACAGCGTCCATCCATCCATCCATCCATCCATCCATCCATCAGTTGTGCCAGCCAGCGTTGAATTCTGACCGACAGAGGCGAGTATTGTGCCCATTATCGATAGGGCCGCCGACAGGTACGCCGACACAGCTGAGACTGTGGCAGAGATGTACTGGTAGTGGTGCAGGGACGGCACCATCAAGGCCGCCAGGGACAGCACTGCATGGATGAGGACGAGCAGCACCGCACCTATCACCACAGGCCGGTAGGGAAGGCTGCGCACAGACACGAGCACACGAGGACAGAGGCGCTGTGCGGCAGGAAAGGCATTCATTGTGTTGAGTGTGAGAGATCTGACCATCCAAGTAGGCGCGGTTGACGTTGTTTGCCGCTGGGATGCATCGACGCACACTGGCGATGCCTCGGGTTCGGAGACTCCGCGAGTTTACGAAGAAACAATTTGAGCTCGCAGCTCAACCGCTGCGCCTGAACCGCTGCCGCCATCCCACAGCGACAGCAACCCAAGACATGAATGCGATGAGTCAACAGCTTAGCTGGAATGAAGATGCACGCGACGCACAGATCTGTGGCGTCAACTCAACTAACTGAAGCTGATGACCATTGATCTGCCATTGGCGTCCGCCTTCGCCGTCGGCCCAGTGCCCCTGCTTGAGCTCCTCACCCACACCGCCCTCGCCCTCCTGCTCTCCGCCACACTCATGCTCATCTGCGAAGGCCCATCCCCATCAGCCGCATTCAAGTCGATCCCAGTGGAGATGCAGCAGCGGAGCGACACGCCCACGGCAGAGGAGAGGCGAGAGCGGTACGCCCGGCGGTGGAGCGGGTCTGACATACTGGACTCGAACGTGTACGTGCTGGATGAGAGGAGCGACCGCAACCTCTGGTACACGTGTGTGCATAACGGCCTCACCACCCTGCTGGCGGTGGGGGCGTGGCTGAGACGCCGGCGGGGGGTGGCCGTCTTTGCCTTCCTCATGGAGGTCAGCGAGTGAGGGAGGGGAGCAGATACAGATCAGATCACACAGAGATATATCACTGTGTGTCGTCGTGTGTTGTGTGGTGTGTGTGTGTTCAGGTGTCGTATGACGTGTTGGATTTGCTGTTGATAGGTATCGGTCCGCCCAGCGGTCAGGACCCTTCTGTGCTGCTGCACCACGCTGCTTCACTCATATGTAGGTGTGCTGTGCACACCTACCTGACTGACACACGTATCAACACCGAGATAACCACTGAGGCAGGCACACATCCATCCCTGTGTCTGTGTGTGGTGCGCGTGCAGGTATATTGACTTCGCTGCAGACGCCTCTCGACTTTCGGATACTGACCCAATCATGCATCGCTATCGAGGCATCAGGCAGTCTGGTTGCCCTCGGCCGTCTGCGGCTGCGACAACTGCGCCGCCATGCTAACGCCCTCCCCCATCCCCATCCCCATCCCCACCCCCACCCCCACCCCCACCCCCACCCCTCTAGCCATGATGATGACGATGCCAATGTTGATACGGACAGCGAGCGGTCCAAGATTCGCGGCAAGTACCTGTGGTGTGCCTTTTTCGTGGCCAGCACATTCGCCCTCTTTCGGATAGTGTGGGTGGGTGTGGTCAGCTACAAGCTGCTATGCACTATGTGGGGGTGGGGGAGGGAGAGGGCGAGAAGGGGTGTCAGTGACAGTGAGATGGGCGTGAGTATGGGGTGCGTGCGGTGTCTGCTGTATGGGATGGGGCTGCTGTGGCTGCTGAACGGCATTGCGGCCTACAAGCTGTTTGCGAGGCCTGTCAGGAGGTGGAGGGAAATGAGAAGGGCCAGGAAGGACAGATAACTGTGTACATGAGATGAGATGAGTGTCTGTCCGTTTGTCAGTTTGACTGCTGCCTCACGTGGCCTCTGGGTGGGCGTCACTGGCTGTGTCATGTGCAGTACTGGCCGCCCATACGGTCCTCGAGGGAGCAGTGGAACAGACACCAAAGTGGCGGGACTGTGTGTCCGATGCATGGACCGATTTACATTATGGATGGCCCGGTGGTCCACGCACTCGCATCGCCTGCTGTCACTCAATCGACCACTTACTTCGCTATCAGACAACATACAGACCCACCATCACCACCATTCCTCTCCTCTCGCCCCTTTCATGTATTCTTATGTACACTCTCATACTCATACAGACAGACAGACATAGCGCCCTCCCGCCATCCATCCATCCAAAGATCTATCAGTCGTCATGAGTCAGAGCCCCTAGGTGTGGTTGTCGACACAGACGTGCCCATCGATTGCCGGGCTATCAGGTGTTGTTGCCCGCTGTCAGGACCAGCGTTATTATACGCCGCTCGGGCAGCGTCGTGCCGTTCTCGGAACACGGCTGCCACGGCCGATGAGTATATGCAGACTATGAGCGATGCGATGACCAAACTCGCAGCCACACTCCCCTGCACACACGCGCGCACGAGCACCAGACAGGTGGGTTTGGCTGGCTGGCTGGCTCTCACTGACCTCTAGCAGCAGCATCCACTTGTGCGTGTGGTTGTGCTCTCGCAGCACTGTCGCCGACGGCCGCTTCTGTGCGGAAGACTCGATCGGCGTCGATGTGTTCCGCCGGTCATCCCTCGTCGTATTGCGCAGCAGGCTGACTGAGAAGCGCCAGTAGCAGAGCGGGCAGAAAGGAGGAAGGAACACATGGACAATTAACTGTTGCCGTGCCGTATTTATTCACATACCTCCTTCACGCATCGCAGCCTGCCGCAGACTGTGCGTCGCGTTGACAACACGATAGCCAAACCCCACGGCCCGAAGCACCTTGCCCCATATGCCAACCCTCCCCTCAGGTGTGCTGTTGCGATCCCCAATACTCAGATTGGCCGCAGTCGTGACGCCACTTGCATCATTCTCTTGCCGGTGATGAGTCCGATTGGCCGTAGTGGCGTCACATCGCATTCCACCCTTGCAGAGGTTGTTCGCGGCGTCATGATGATGCCGCTCAGCCACGTGGGCGACAGTGCTATTGCCGCTGCTGCTCGCCTCTCGTTCGTCCGCTTGCTGATGATGCTGTGTGACGCATGAGGTGGTTCGATGGTGACGAGCTGAAATGGCGACTGTGCTCTGCCAATGGACGCTGATGGAAGGGTCGTGGTAGTGGTGGGAGTCAGCCAGAGATGCGATGAAGAGGGAGCGGTTGCTGCTCCTGGTGATGCTCACGTTGTGCGGACGCTGCAGATCTTCACAGATGACGACTGGAATAAGTGTCAGCAACAGCAGGAAAGCACTCATCTTCGCCGAGATCTCTTCGCGTTCATCTCCACTTCATCTGGCGCTGCGAGTCCAGATAGCGATCTGGAATTCCGCCGGCAGAGCGGGCGAAACAGCCGCTCTTCAGCCACCTCCTTCACTCAATTGCATACCAGAACTCGTCGGCGAGAGTTTCAAGCAGCCCCACCGTCGAACAACTGGCCCCCATTTCCACATCCCCGCCCCGATTTCACGTGTGCATTGATTGCATCGGTCTCACTCAAAGAAGGGCCCCGCCCCCTGTCTGTTCATCGAGTCGAGGCAGCAGTGATGGGTGCGTGTGGTAGCAGCGAGGAGGTGTTGGAGTTCAAGCAGCGGTACACCCTCGGCAAGGTGTTGGGGAGGGGCGGGTACGGGTTGGTCAAGGAGGGCAAGAGCAGCAAGATGGCGCTGGGCGAGGGGAAGCCCAAGAGCGTGGCCGTCAAGACGCTCGTGGTGCAGGGGGCGGAGGACAGGTATGACGCCACCAAGGTCGACACCAAGGCCATGATAGAGCGGCTCAAGAAGCAGATCAAGGACAAGAACTTCGACGACTCGGACGACTATGAGTTCGCCAAGGACTGCCTCTCCACACTCATGGTGACCACAAAGGAACGGATCGAGAGGGCCATATGGGGTGGTCTAGTCTTTCACTGCTTGTATGGTGCTGTGTGTGTAGGAGAAGGAGAAGAATGAGATCAAGAGGTCGCCGAAGGAGGAGATTCTCAACGAGATAGAGGTCATGAAGCGCTTCGACCAGCCGATGATCATCAAAATGGTCGACCACTTCATCTCAGAGTGAGTCAGCAAAGACACACATCCCGCTCCCTCCCTCTCTCATTCTGTGTGCCGTTCTTTCCCCCACCCCTCTCACTCTCACTCTCATCAGCCACAAGGTGTACCTGGTGCTGGAGAAGTGCCCCTACGGCAACCTGGCGAGCCGCATGCGGCTGGAGAAGTGCCTGAGCGAGAAGGAGTCGGCCGTGTGCATCTTCCACGTGCTGCTGGCGCTGCACTACATGCACGCCCTCAACATCGTCCACAGGGACATCAAACCTGCCAACTTCCTCATCTCCGAGAAATACAGAAACGAAGCAACCGTCATCAAACTCTCTGACTTCGGAATGGTCAGTGAGTGACCCACACACACACACACACGAGCAGACAGACAGATGGACAGAGCCAGAGAGAATGAGGGTACTATGGATGGATGGATGGATGGGTGTGTGCAGGCGGTGCAGCTGTCGTCTGCCGACCAGTCGTTGTGGGACTGCTGTGGTACTGAGGCGTTCATGGCGCCCGAGGTGTTCCTCAAGTCCTACTCCTTCCCGGCGGACCTCTGGAGTGCCGGCATATCGCTCTACTGGATGCTCTTCGGCGAGCTGCCCGCCTGGTTCAAGCAGTACACCACATCGCGCAGAACGTCCGTCTGTCAGCACATACGCAGCAGAGCAGACGACAGAGAGACATACAGACAGACAGACAGAGGGAAAGGTGTTTGTTTGTCTGGTTGCAGAGAGAAGTACGTCAAGGCCGTCACGGATCTCAATGTAAGTCAGTAAGACAGCAGAGAGCGAGCGAATGGGATGTGAGTACCTTACCTGTGTGGGTGCCCCTTTGTTTGTGTCCCTTTTTGGTTCGTTCGTTCGTTCGTTCGTTCGTTCTTTCGTTGGTGCAGCTGCAGCTGCCGACCGACATGAAGCTGCGGTGCATCGAGCTGCTGATGCCGCCCCCGTCAGAGGACTGCATGAACTTCCTGCAGGGCATTCTCAACAAAATCCCCGAGAACCGCTTCACAGCAGCCGAGGCGCTGGTGCACCCGTGGTTCAAGAAAATGCTGCCGGCCGAGGTGCTCGACAAGCACCGGGATCAGCTGCAGCGAGCCGAGAGGGAGGCGGACAGCAAGAAGGCCGACAGGCAGGCCAGGCTGACGGAGTCACGCAGGTCATCCGCGGGACCCCCACAAAAAAGGGACTCCAAATGACTCGGGGCTGTGTTCTTGGCTGCCTTGCCGCTTTCCTTCTGTTTTTTTCCGTAGCTATCCAATCCATGTGTGTCTCCATCCATCCATCCATCCATGTGTGCAGCTGCGCTTGCCTGTTTTCCGCTGAATCGGGTACAGACATTCGTGTCGGGTGTAGAGAGGGAGGGAGGGAGGGAGGGATGGGATGGGTCTGCTGCACAGAGCATATTGTAGGCAGAATAGTAGATCGGATCGCCCGTGATTATTCATGACAGACAGATGCGTGTAGCCAATGGTGTGGGTAGGGTGGGCGGCAAGCGGGTGTGTGAGTGTGTGAGTGGGTGACCGACAGGCGTGCATGTCCATCCATTCATCTGAATGAAGGCACTCATTGCAATGCAATTGATTGACGTGGCTCAGTCGCTTGCCAACAGAGAGCATACATAGGTATACACACATTCACTTCACCCACACAGACACGTGGGCGCGGGATGCGATGATGTGGCCTTTGAGGACCTCATGGGCAACCAAGCACATTAATGGCAACGGTCGAGCCTCGACCATTGCCATTAATGTGCTGCGTCGCCATCGAGGTAAGCAAAGGTACACACGCGCAACGCACACGTGTTGTCCTGTCGATATATAGATATCGAGAAAGCTGCAGGGTCAGTCAGCTGTTGCAACGTGCACTGCTTCCTTCTTCTCCCCCATTCATTCATACCGCCCAGTCACTCCCAGTATCATGTGTGCAGACTTGCCTGACCCCGCCGGTGCATCGAGAATGTGACCAGGTCTCCGACCCGTCACACTCAGGATGCGAAAGGGCATCTCCAAGCACACACACACAACCCCGGGAGCCGACGCCATTCCACTCACGGAATGTTCTCTCTCTCTCTCTCTCTCAAGCACACTAGACAAACCCGGCAGCCCCCCCCCCCCCGGTGTGTCCATTGCTATTGGCAGCAGCAGAGTCGCCTGGCAATATCGCCACTGATGGTGAAGAAGGTGTTGACGGACTCCACGCGGTCGCGAGCCATCGCCGCCGCACGCACATCGCGCTCGAAGTGGTAACAGCTGACGCACACACACACACACACACACACACACACAGAGAGAGAGAGAGAGAGAGGTACAATGCCCGAGCGGACAGAAGTGTGTTGTGTGGGTTTGTTGGGGCCGTCCGTCCGTACTTGGCGAGTATGGCGTGGAATTGGATGCCTTGGTGCCACTTGAGTGTGGCGAGCAGTCGCTCCGGGCAGCCATAGGGGGCCGGGTAGATGTGGCGAAACAGAGATTCCTCCTCAGGCGCCGCACCGTCAGGCCAGTGATACACACGCAGACCTGCACACACACATACACACATTTGAAGAGGAGAGAGGGGAATATGTATGTGGCCACGTGTGTGTGTGTGTCACCTTCGGGATTGCCCTTGGCGGCCTTATCGAGGAAGAAGGCTCCGTCCCGCTTGCTGTGGTTCTTGAGGTAGATGCCCATGTGAGCGGGGCCGCCACCGTCGAGGCACTTGTACCCTCCTGGCACGCTGCCAACCTCTATGCTGTCCCACGAGCACCACCGAGCCTCAACGTGGGCGAGAAAAGACGCCAAATCTGCTCAGTCAACAACCAAAACACAGAGACGGCCGACCGACGTGAATGCATCCACTTCTCTCTGCCTGGCTGTCTGTCTGTCTGTCTGTGAGCACTCACCGACGCGGTATTCATTGCCTTCGCACAGGTCGTCAGGCCGGTAGAGCAGCGTGAGACCCACAGGCTCTCCACCAAAGTATGGCTTGCTGCCACTCACGCTCATGGTCTTTTGAACCATCCTCTCAGGAGCCGGCCCGCCGCTCGATGCCGTCGTTGTGGTCGTCCACAGCGACTGAGTGCCGTGCCGTGAGCTCGGGGTGGCCGGGGGCGTCATGGTAGACACGTACTGCAGTCCGCTGGCCGCAGTCGGGACGTATGTGACGCTCTGAGTGACGGGCAGCCGGGGCGGCGGTTGGGCCTGGTACGATGGCATAGGGGTGACAGCTACGATCATAGGGGATGTATGCAGTGGCTGATATTGAGTCATCTTTGCGAAATGGGATTCACTTGGAGAAAGCTCGCACACGCATAGGGTGCTCCATGAAATCGCTGCTGCCAGGCCTTCCTCCGTTGTGGAGTGTTGTGCAGGTGTGAGAGGCCTCATGCAGTGCAATCGTAGCCTCCGGCTCCCTCCCGGCACGCACCCCTCCACCAGGGCGCTCGCGACAGGCATCGAGAAGGCTACCATCACCGCAGCAGAGGCCCAAAGGCTCATCCAGCGGGATGGGGCTGACTGCCGAGTGCTGGTACTTGGTGATCAATCGCTCGTGCAACTGGCCATCAGCCACCACAGGAGGAACCGCCACACACCCGGGGTGATAAGGGCCCTGTTGGAAGGGGGCGCAGACGTCAATCGCAACCACCCCCTGAGGGCGGCGTTCACGGCCGGCAGGTGGGATATCATCGCGGTGCTGCTGGTGCACAAGCCGTCGCTGGATGGCTTCCATCTGTGTGAGGTGGCGGCGTCTGCCCACGGTGGTCTGGAGAAGCTGCGGCGCGTCAAGATGTTCGCGGACAGCAGCGACAGGGGGAGGATCGTGGGTGTGGTAGACGACAGGGGCAAGCAGGCCATCCACAGCTTCACGGAGCACCCACTGGAGGACGGCGTGATGCAGATGGCGCTGCTGAGGATGCTGCGAAGAGCTGCAGGGTACCAGTGAACCGACCGATGACGTCTTCTGCGATGTTCTGCGTGTGTCACTGTGTCAGGTTTCTTGCTGTGCTGTGTGCGTGTGTGTGCAGGCCTGAGATTTTGTCTGCGCGTGACGGCGACGGCAATTTGCCGCTGCACTACGCGTCAGATGTGGCCACGATCGCATGGATGTGCCGCGAGGGCGACAAGGACAACGTCAACGCCAAGAACTCCGACGGCCACACGCCGCTCAAGCTGGCGGCGCTCTCAGGTCACACACAGAGACTTCCCGCCCTAATCGAACATGGAGGTGAGCTGGGCACCGCACCCCACCGCACCGCAGCGCGCCCATCCCCGTGTGTATCCTTTTGTGTGCGTGTGTGTTGTGTATGTGACCAGCGTCGCCCTACCGTGCTGGTGTAGTGCCCCCTGAGAGCCGTGTCCGCGTGTCGGCGGTGCGTCGCGAGAAGGCGGCCCGGGAGAGGGAGAGGGAAAGGGCGGCGAGGGAGGCGGAGGCGGCCAGGGTCGAGCTGCAGGACTACTACGGGCCCCTAGAGAGAATCTTCATCGAAATGGAGACTCGATTAGAAGAGGTATGGCTGGCTGGCTGGCTGGCTGGGGATGCGAGAGGGCACTCACTGCAGGAGTTGCCGTGTGTGTCCTTTGCTGTGCGTGTGCAGGTGCATGTAGAGGATCGCACCCAGTGGAGCGGCTGGCAGCGGGACATCATGCAGGCCTACCGCCGGTACGTGACCACCACCCTCCCACAGCAGATCGTCTTCAACACGGTCAACATGGCCCTCCGCCTCATTCGTACCATCATGGCCAGCATCAGCCAGAAGATACCCATAGCCAGCCGACCGGGCGAGCACATAACGCTGCCGCCGGACGCCCTGCAGGTAAGTGTGTGTGTGTGTGTGTATGTGAGTCAATTAAGCGCTGAGCGACGGTCAAAGAATGCCCGGCCGCCATATATGTCTTGGATCTGCTGCAGATCATCCACAAGGCACTCAGCCCCCCCGCGCCCCCATCCATCCCCATCGCTGCCAGCCTCCTCTACCAGCGCATTAACGCGGCTGTCAGATGGTGAGCGAGAAACCAAAAGACACACAGACACACACGCACGGTGTGCTGTATTGCCTTCACCGTCAATCTCTGGGTGTGTGTCTCTCTGTCTGTGTGTGTGTGTGTGTGTGTCAGCTACTGCCTCGTGGCTGCTCGCATGATCAGGGAGGGGGGCCGTGGCCGTGTAGTGGGGCTGCGGTGCTTCACATGCCACAAGGGAGGGGGCGGGGATGAGGATGTGAAGGTGGCGACGGCGGGCCGCCGGTATTCGCTGTGTGATGTGTTGTATCGCGCCTGCATGGAGGAGGCCGAGAGGTATGGGTTCGCTGCCTACTGGGTGAGGGAGTATGAGTGTCCGGCTTGTGGGCGTGCCGATCTCGAGTCGGGGCGGTTTGAGTGGGGGCAGCTGTGTGTAGTGAATGGGGGGAAGTTTGTCAATATGGGGCTCCGATGACTCACTGACAAGATCAGATGAGATGAGATGCGTGTGTGTGTGCGTGTGCATAGAGAGATGGTGTGTGTGTGTGTGATGACAGCACCTGACATGTAATCATGCACTGCAGCATTTGATGTGATTGATGTCTGTCACGACTATACATGGGTTGTAAAGAGGGTGTGGTGTCCGTCAGACAGTCAGTGCTTTCAAGCAAGATACTACACTCACTCACACACACACACAGACACAGACACAGACAGAGAGACAGAGACAGACAGACAGCACATCCGATGGATAGATGGATGGGCCGACGCGAGTTGCATCTCTGGCTGGCCTTCTCTGGCCTTACTCAACATCGCTGCCTGCAGCCCTCACAAACAAATAAACTACCACCAACCTAGCCCGGCTGCACGCCACACCACACCCTTCACACCCGGCCGCCTGTCCGTTCCTGCCTGTCTGTCTGTCTGTCTGTCTCATTGCAACTGCCTTGAGCAAATGCCTCACACACACACACACACGTCATGATCACTCCCGCGTCACCACTTCGGTCACCACCGGCCCCGAAGTGACCTCGATCATCATGCCGCCCTCCGCCCCGCCCCTCTGCTCATAGAATGGCAGCTTCCGGAGAGACCACCACTCCCAGATAAACATGACCACCATCACCAGGAAGGCCCCCATGGCGGTGAGCAGCAGGGTCAACGCCACCCCATTGGCGCTGTTCATGGCGTAGAGAGTCATCAGCATGAGGCACGAGTCGTATGTGCCGTGCATCAGGATGGGCAGCCACAGGAAGCTCGCGTAGTCGAGCAGCGAGGGGCCCTTGCCGGCCAGCGTCTCATAGTGGACATGGTGCTGCCGGTCCCTCCTGCCCCCAGCACCGCCACCACCTGCACCACCGCTTACCAAGCCGTTCATCTCAGTGTTGGACGGCCGCAGGGGGGCCGTGCTTGAGAGGGCGTTGGTCGGTTGGGCGAAGAGGAACTTGGCGAGGCGGCAGGAAGCGTATCCAGTGGCTGAGACGTGGAATGGGATGGCCAGGACGGCGCGCAGCAGTGTCTGGAGGAGGGCTCCGAGAAGGTTGGGGCCCGTGGGGTTGAAGGCGCTCAGCGTGCTGAAGACGTTGTACTCGATGTTCTCGATGCAGGCGAACCTGACACACACACACCAAAGATGGATGGCTATGCCATCGTGAAATGAATGGACTCTCGGTATTTCTGTCAGTGTGTGTGCGCATCGCATGCTCACCCAGCAGCCGCGGTCGCCCCCACCAGTGCGAGGGCATAGGGTGTGTCGACCACCCTCCACCAGCAGGCACACGTGTAGGGCAGCGCGTCCACCCGCAGCCGCACGCGCGACATGGCTATGACGAACTTGCACAGCTCCTCGGAGGCCCCCACCACAATCAGAATGTACACGAAGAACTTCAGGTCGCAATAGAGACTCGGGGGGTGCCCGCCTCCACCCCCACTATCACTATCGGGCGGGGCGGCCGTGGGGGTCAGTGTGCCGTTCTTGGGCGTCTGCGCCTCCGGCACCAGGGAGATGTGGCAGTCCTTGAGGGCCTGGCTGGTGGTCTCATAGCCCGTGCCAGTGCCCTCGAGTATCACCGCCGCGAGGCACGAGAGCAGCGCGCCGGTCCAGAACATCTCCAACAGGAGCTCCACTGACATTTCGTGTGCACGCTTGTGGTAGAGAAGGAACAGGATGGCGATGACTGGTATGACGCTGAGGCAGAAGAGCAGCACGCCGATCTCCCGGGTGATGGCGTAGATGAACACTATGGCCAGCACCGTGGCGATCGGGGTGCACGGCCGGAAACACTTGCGGCCACGCAGCTGACTCAGCTGATCTGTAGGTAGGTGACACACCACACCACACCACACCACAGCACAGCACAACAGGGAGATCAGATCTGAACACGTGCTGATATCACGCTCTGTGTTGTCTGTCTGCGGTGGCGTGTGTGCGGTCATCGTGGTGGTTACCCTACCCGGGCTTCTGAAGGTGACAGATGGCGCTGGTATGACTCCATTGGTTTGGCTGGCTGGGAGCTGCCCATAGGGTGCGAACGGCACTTGTCGGTCGTACGCTGACTGCTCCATCTCCATCAAACAACACCCAACTACTCGTCAACACCCTCGAGCAAGTGATGGAGCCGCTTGAGATGTGTAGCTTCGCGGTTGGTCTTGCCTACAGAGAGTAGTGCACTAGTGAGTGGACAGGACAAACGCCGCGTCGCGTTCTCCCTCCTCTCCCTTCGCAAACAAAGCTCGCAGAGGAACCCTTGAAACCGCTAAAGGGAAAGCCAAAACATCACAAATGGCGGCATCTCTCTGTGGATACCACCCGCCGGCTCTCTACAACTTCCGCGTCGGCGAGGACAACGGTGAATGGTACCCCGTGAGGCGCCTCGAGGGCCACACGGGCGGCATCACACGCGGCCGCTTCTCGCCAGACGGCAAGCACCTCGCCACTGCATCGGCCGATGGGAAGATCGGCATATGGGACGTCGAAACGGGGCAGCTGGTGCAGATGGGCGGGTCGGAGCGAGTGAGTGACTGCGGACTCAACGACCTGTGCTGGCACGAGGGCGGGCGGCATGTGTTTGCGGCGGGGAGCGATAGGAGCATGGTGGTGCTCTCGATGAAGAGCAGCAGGGTGGCCGCCGCACTTCACGACACACATGAGACGGCCTGCATGACCGTGGCCGCGCCGCACCTCGACAACACATGGCTGCTCACAGGAGGTATCATGGAAGAAACACAGGCAGACGGAGAGGCAGGCAGACAGTCATATGTTGATGTGTGGGTGTGTGTTTGTGTGCAGGTTACGATGAGCGGATCAAGTATTGGGATCTGCGTCGGCACGGTTGTCTGATGGACCTCAAGGCGCACGAGGGGCCCGTGACGAGCCTGGACATGTCGCAAGACGACCGCGTCTTCTCCTCAACCTCATTCGACGGCTTCTGCAGACTCTGGAGCACTTCGCTCATGCGGGTGGGCAATGGACATACACTCGCCGTCCATCCATCCATCCATCCATCCACTCTTTCCACACAGATGCTACGGACGTTCGCTGCCGACGACGCCACCCCGTGTTGCCACGGCGCCTTGTCGAGCAACTCGCAGTACCTGCTCTCCGTCACGTTCGACAGCAAGGGCCGCGTGTGGGACCTCTCCAGGAACCGCGTCCAGGCCTCCCTCCTCGACTGCCCCCTCGGCAGCAGCATGCGAGCCCGGATGCGCCGTGCGACAGACACCCCCGAGACGCTGACCAGGACGCTCGAGCAGCACCAGAGGAACGTGCAGATGGTGCGGAGGGAGAGGGAGGCCAAGGCCCCCGAGCTGCGGCGCGTCATGGCGCCCTCTGTGTTTGGGTGTTTCTGGCGAGACCGTGTGCTGATCCCGGGGCATGACGGGTACGTCCACATGTGGGATGGCTTCACGGGGGCCAAGGAGGGCCCACCGGTGCGCCTGCGGCGGGGGGGCAAGCGGCCAAACTATGTGCCGTCACGGCGGATGCACAAGATGTTCGTCAGCAGCGTCGACTGCCACCCCTCACACCAGACAGGCATCATGATATCCACTGGTGAGCGAGCGGCCAAGAGAGATATCTAGGCCTCCAGGCCGTCCATCCATTCATTCACTGTGTCTGTGTGGTGTTGGTTTCTGTGGGGGCGTGGCGTGGGTCGTCAGGTTGCGGTGTGGACAGGTCCATTGTGATGTGGACGTACTTGGTGCGAGAGGTGAGCAGCTGGCGACGCTCAACAGAGCTTATCCATTCATCATTCTTCTTACGTGTGTGTGTGTGTGTGTGTGTGTTTGCTTGTGCTTGTGCGTGTGTAGGAGGCGGCCCGTCTGGGTGTTGACGAGGACGACGCACCGGCCCAGAACGACACGCCGTCAGAGAACAACAACAACAACAACAACGTCACGATCAAGAAGGAGGACGACCTCCACCACCACCAGCGGCAGCAGCAGCCACAAAGGCCGTCACCTCACATCATGGAGCCGTCAGGTCCCCTCCCCTCCCCCTCTCTCCCCCCACCAGGCCCACCACCAGCAGCCCCACCCCCACCAGTAGTACCACCAGCAGCGGATGACGTCATGATGGTGCAGGAGGACAGTGTGAGCGGCGATGGGGACAGATAGGAGGGCGGGATGGATGTGCACACAGGGGCGGGGGCGACGGCACACACTGACTAACATCGATGGATGGATGGATACATGGGTGATCGGTTGGCCGATGCCTGAGAGGGAGGGAGGGAGAGTGCAGATCCAGCGCATTGGTGGTTGGCAAGTGAGAGATCAGTCGCTCTTCGCCAATCCGCAGCGTCGACTCGAGAGAGCCCGTGAAGCGCCGTTGCTCCATGGGCCTTCTCAGCTCGTCGCTGCGGACGGGTGAAAGCGGCTGATCGGTCTCACACGGCAGGCCCAAGACATCTTAGCGAACAAGTGTGTGTGGGGCAACACATACATCCCGATGCGATGCGATTGATGCTGTTGATGCTCGTGTGTGGCGCTGTCCGTGCATCCACGCTGTGTGTGTGGCACGCAACGCTCACGGCCCCAACCCAGCAGCCCCGGATCGACCACACATCGGTCCAGGTTTGCTTGGTGTGGTTTGTCGGTGTGCCGTGTTACACGCAATGAATGCATGCGGCAGCGCACACATGTCCTCTGCGGACAGAAAGGTGGCGCACATGTGCTTGATGGATGGAAGGATGGACTCGTTGGCTGTGTCTAGACCGTTGTACAGATGAGTATGTCTTGATGCGCGTCGGACTTGCGCAGCACAGCACACACACACACAAAAACACCGACGGGGCGGGCGGGTGTCCATCCATCCATCCATCCATCCAACGTGTGCAGGCAATGACTGCACACACAGTGCACCATCAGTCAGTCTTGTTAGTTAATTGATGGAGTCAGTCGACCCACCCACCCAACCCACATGCCATGGACAGACAGCAATGCATATCACATCAGTAGCCTAGCCGACAGACTGACACCCCCATCAGACAGACAGACACATGAGATGAGGTGGTGGTGGTGCCATGGCATGGCGGTGTCGTGGATGGATTGATCAGCATACAAATACCATCAAGGACGATGAAGAAAAAAACACAAAGGCCCTCTGGTGGACTTAATTGACCTGCCGGGCATCGCATCGATGGTCAACCCACCCCCCTCAATAGGCACACCGATTTGGGATGCAGCTCGACAAAAGACCCCCATCCATCCATTCTCTCCGCGCCAGCCTTAATTGGAGCCTAGATATACGAGCACTGCAGACGACCACACAACAGAGCACCACAGCAGTGGCACAGATGTCTCATGGCTCATGTGCTGTGTAGTCTTATGTCAGCTTTGTGTGTGTGTGTGTGTGTGTGTGTTTGGATACATATCTTCTCACTCACCGAGATGCGCAGTGTCGTCGCGACACCCTCATTGCGGTCCTTGTAATCGCCAACTGAACACACACACGCGCGCGCATCGAGACACACACGAGCAGATGCAGGCAGGCAGACAGCCGGATGGAGATGGATGGGTTTCCCTTGGTGGTGTGTCACGCGGCACACGAACCGGCGAGGTGAGCGAAGCCTGGGAGCATTATGGATTGCTGCAGTCTGCCCTCGTGGCACTTGTACATGGCCGAAGCATCTGCACACAACACATCCCAACACATCCGAGGCCCCGGGGGAGGGAGGGACGAGAGATGAACGAAGGACAGGGCAGACCAGCAGTTTTCGTTGGCGTACCGTTATAGTCTGATCGATGGAAGCAATGCGATGTGGCACAGCCACACATACACACAGACACACACACACACACAGAGAATAGAACCGGGTGAAGCTGAGCTGTGGTGTGTGTTCCTTCCTCCATCCATCCATCCATTCACTCACCGTCCATCATGGCCAGCACAGTGGCGTTGCGGAACACTGAGTCGGGACCCCCACTCTCAGCCTCCACTTCAAGTGCCGTCGCATTACCCACAAACACACGATACACCATACCGCTGACAAACAAAGACACACCATACACACACACACACACACACAGACACACAAGGTGCGCATCCATCCATCCATCCATGCCGTCAACTCGTCAACTGACTGACCCACCGTTTAGCCGGCGCCGGCTGGACGTCGTACGCCAGCCCCTCCTTCGACACGAGCATGCCGCACTTGATGTCAGCCCCCAGACTATGGCCCTCCTTGGTGTTGACCACAACAGTATCCCCGCACCGAATGGTCTTCATCTTGGGCTCGCCCTTGCGCTTCTTGCGTTTGTTGGTGGTCCCTTCACTCGGTTTGTCGCCGTCGTCCTCCTCCGCTTGTTCCCCGGTGGTCTCGGTGTCCCAGCCAGTGATGGGCAGGTCGCGCACCTTGTGTCCTTGTGAGAGGCGATTGTAGTGGAACATGCCTTGATTGGAGAGGGGCAGCACCTCCACGTACATGAGCAGGGGCGGGCCGGGCGGCGAACCGTCGGTGCTCTCGGAGAAGTACTGCGCGCGGAGGGCAAAGGTCTTGCGGGGCATCTGAGAGGCATCCTTGCCTGTGAGGTGAGTGGGGGGGTTGGTACACACACCGAGACAGACAGATGCAATGGTGTCTCATCTTTGGTCAGCTGGCTGGCCGAAAGGAATGCCCTACCTACCTGTCTTTCTGAATCCGGAGAAGAGCAGGCCCAGCTTGTCTGTGAGGTACTGGTCCGAAGGAGTGACGTACCCTTCCTCCACACCAGCAACCTCATCAGTGTTGACGGGCGCCTCATTCTCATCCCCCTCTTCAGCGGCGGAATCCGCGAGATCCTCCTGCTCCTCAGCCTCATCATCAGTCAGCACATCTTCGGGGCCGTCGAGCTTCTCCTCGGCGGGCCCATCTGCCCGGCCCTTGGTCTCCACCTCCCCCTTTGTCTTGCTGATCTGTTTCTGCAGCTTCTCCAATACGCTCTCATTCTGATCCTCCCCGCTCTCATTCTCATTTTCCTTCTCTTCCTCCGCGTCTTGGTCCTCGGCCTTGTTCGCCGTTTCGGACACGCGAAGAAGTGACGCAAACTGGTTGCAGAGAATAACATCCAGGACGTTGCCTTGTGAGCACGACTCCTTGGGCGCCATTGTCGACGGCTGGCGGTCGGTGGCGGCCCACGGGAAGAAGGAGTCGAAGTGGAAGGCATTGGCATTGGCCCGCCCTTCGCTGGGGAGGATGGAGCTTTTCTCGGTGGTCCTCTTGTCGTTGTCGTACTCGAGCAGAGTCCACCGCACGCGGCCCGACAGCGTCCGGGCGTCAGTAGCCGACTGGTTGGCCAGCACAGCAACTGACACACACACGGGGAAGGAGTAGGTGGGAGGGCGGGGGTGGAATGTGTGTGTGTTTGGTACCGATGGTGAAGTCATCAGTGACGGCTGGGGTGAGCTTTAGGACGGGGGGTGTGCCCTCGAAGGGGACGGCGATTGGGCCTTTGTCTGCAGAGATGGCCTTGAAGGCGGCAGCCTCGCCGTCGTCAGTCTTGTTGCCACCGAGGGGCACATACAGGAAGCCACCAAGAAGACCTGTAAGGGCAAACCCCAGCCCCAGCCCCAAACCCGGAGATACACAGGCGCTTCCCCTCTCGCAGAAATGCACCTACCTTTCCGATAGGCTGGTCTAATCTGTGTGCAGCTCTTGCCACCGCTGACAGCCCCCTCCACCACTCGGTACTCCATCGGCACGGCGTCAAACAGATTGCACACCCTCTTGCCCGAGAAGCTGAACCACTTGCAATCGTTGGACATGGCACACGCCGCCTGGCACATCCGGGCGGTGGCCGCCTGTGGCACGACCTTCTCCACTGCCCCTTCAGGCGAATCGAACTCATGGTCAATCCACCAAGCAGCGCAACGGGTCGCTGCAACAGAAACAGGCGGCACACACAGATATTAACGACTTGGGACGCCTAACGTCTGTGTGTGTGTGTGTGTGCGTGTGTGTGTCCTGTGGTGGTTTCGCTCACCGCTCGTGGGAGCTTGAGCCGTGGTTGCGGTGACACGGTTGGCTGAGCCCCGGAGACCTGCACCCAGACAAGCACACACCAGACAAGAGACACGAGTGGCAACGCCGAGAAGAAAGAGGCGTGCTGCTCCTTCTCCGCCCTTTCTCTCCCGCTCGTATGGTGCGCACCGTTGCCCTGCTGCTGTGTGGACATCGGCGGGCCCGCATCAGTTATCGTCGGCTGGAGGAGCTCCGGCGGCTGTGCGATGCCGACAGGTGCGGCCAGGAGGAAGAGGGCGAAGGGGATCGACAGGTATGAGGGAAACATCGTGTGAAGCGCGGGAAAGGAAAGAGAAGGCGCGACAGCTTGCTGCTACGAGCCGTTAATTGTGCTCAGTTATTATTTCGTCCATTGGGAGTGCGTTGGGAAAATCTCAACAGGTTCATGCCCATCATATGCCCATCATCGCCATTCATGACGCACATTTCGACAGTCTGTATACAGGCACGGTCTTGCTCAGCACGCAAAAATGGCGATATCGATGCTCGCCCTGACATCTAACACCCACCTGCCCTCCGTGACCATCACCCGCTTGTTGACACCCTCACGCACATCAGCGCCCCCGTGTGCATTACACACACCGTCACCTAGCTGTCGGCTGGGGCCGGCCCTCCTGCCCTCTGTATCCTCTCCCTCTGCTGCTTCAGCTCTTCGATCTTGGCTACCATCACACCATGCCGCCGCCGAAAACCAGGCACCTTCCCTTGGATCTCGGATATGCGCCGCCGCACGCCCCCCAGGTTCTTGACGTACTGCTGGTGCTGCTCGCGCGTGTCCTTCTGGTGCGCCTTGAGCGCCTCGAGGCATTCATCGGTCGACGTGCTGCCCCTGCCCCTCCCCACCTCGCCCGCATAGCGGTCCTTCACCGCCTGCAACGCCCAGCTGGTCTCGAAGGATCGGATGGCCCGCAGCTCCTGGAACTGCTTGGTGAGGCCGCGCTGGCGACGTAGGGCGTCATTGATGCTCTCCTCCAGCCGAATGATCTCTTGTTGCAGGTAATAGATCTCCTGGTCCGCCTGCTGCATCAAGGACCGGACTTTGACCTTGAGGACCGTCTGCCGCCGGACCTCTGCCGTGATGCGCTCCGCCTTGATGGACAGGTAGAACCGCCGCCAGCTGATGTGAGGCGGCTTGCTCGCCTCATCTGTGTCGGGATATGATTGCTCGACGAGTGTCTTCCACACGCTCCGGTGCTTGGCCAACCGCTGTTGCGCGCGTGATGCACCACCGAGAGTGACGATGCTGCGGCAGTCGCAGTAGCTGAGGGCGTGGCACAGAGTGTCCAACGCGACATTGTCGAACAACGATGCGGAAGGCCGGTTTCGGCAGGATTCACAGGGCGTGGGAGCAGTCTTCTGACCAGATGCGGGCTGTGTGGGCTCCTGGGGTCTGCTGGCGAGTTTGCGGAGGCGCTGTCGAACCGCAAGCGCACCGGATGAGGCGGATGACGGTGCCGAGGAGTTTCGAAGAGCTGAGCTTCGCCGAATTCGGTCCATGGATAAAGCCCTTGCTACCAGTGAAGGTGTGTGGCCATAACTCCGGAAATCGCGTCACGGCACAACCTTTTCGCAGCGGTTTCACGCGAAATTCTCGACGAGACAGACGACTTGCCTTTCCTACGCTTCTCCTCACATCTCCGGTCGCCACCCCCCCATCACCTACTACGAGCTCACCCACCGCAGCATGGCCTAGAGCCCACTCGAGCCCACCAACCTCCGCCGCAGCATCGCTCTTAAAGCATCTGGCGAAGGGAGGAAGACGAGTGGCGGCTGCCACTGGTGACGGCCGACATGTTTGGCATGGTAACTGCAGCCGACGACCAATGGAGGGCGTGTTGGGTGGTGCCATTGGGATCTGACACGGCCGGTGCGCCCGGCGAGGCGACAATGGATGGGTAAGGGAAGCGACAGCAGCACAGCGGATTTCCCCCTCCACTTTTGTGTCGGTGTTCTCTCCCTCTTGTGTTGCTGCTCCAGGTCGGTGGTGGTCTTCATCAGTACACGACAGAACAAACGGAGGCGATAGACCATTCTCATTCCATGAGCGGTGAGGACTCCTTTCCTCCGCTTCTTCTCTCTTCCTTTCTTCCTCCCATTTGCACTGTAGATAGATTTGGACATCGGACCATCATGTTCGGGCTGCTGTCGTGGCTTTCGAGACCTTCCGGACCTATTTGATGTCCCTCGCTGTTTGACCTCAACCGCCTCTCGCTCGACCAGAAGGATCCGGAGATGGCTTCTTTGGGTCGAGGGCATGGTGGCTCGGGCTTTGGATTTGCAGGCAGTGGATGAGAGCTGCTGTGGCCTCTCAGTTACCTATCCCTCGCTCTCTTGTTGTGTGATGGATGGATGGATGGATGGATGGCCGTATTATGACTCTCACGCTGCAATGTGGCCTCCCTCACTCCCAAGTAGTTCCAGCCGCCACGTTCAAAGTGCGAAAAATACATGTGTTCGCACGGATGGAGGGAGACTACAGACATGTGCCTGACGAGTGCCTGTGGGGTCGCTGTGCCTGGTGGGCCAACAAAGTCACGTAAGCACTAGGGAGGGAGGGAGAGGGAGGAAGTAGCGCTCAATGCGGACGCAGCAGATCTCGGTCTCTGTGTGTCTGCTGCAGTCATTCATCGCTGCTTACATTGTACATCCATAGGTTGGTGTCTCTGCTTCCTGCCGTGGTCCTGGACGAAGCAGTTCCACGCCACCATGGGATGCCTCCCGTGTGCTGGGCACTCTCGTGGGTGCGGGGCGGGGAGGCCGATAGCGAGGGAGAGGCGGCGGGAACAAATGCGACTGGGAAGGCGGGCGGGGAGGACAGCTGAGAAGGCGCGAAGAAGGGTTGCACAAACTGTCACACGGCTGTATGGGTTTTTCGTGTGTGAGTACAACAACCAACGGGCTGGGCTGGGCTGGGCTTGATTTGTGTAATGGATGGACGGCTGTGTTATCCGCCGAAGTGCTGCTAGAGTGCGAAATATCCATGTGTGTGAATGGATTGCTGGATGGACGGTTTGTGTGTGTGTGGATGGAGGCGGGGGGAGGGAGGGAGTCCTGCCTTGTGTGGTGCAGTGCATGAGGGACGTCGGTCAGTGTTGGGTGCATCGCTGCGTACATTTTATATCTGGTGGTCCCGTTGCTCTCTTGGACGCTTGACTCCGCATACACGGACGATGATTCAACAGCGACTGAACGAGTGACATACCTATAGCACCCAACCAACCAAAGCCCCAGCCAAAGCCCTCACTTCTGTGCCTCTCCAAGTCAGTCAGGCCCGCCAAAAAAGGCGTCGCTCTCACACGTCTCACTCACACACGTCTCACATCTGACATGACTGACGTACACGCGTGCACCTATGCCGACAGGTCGACAGGCAGGCCAGGCCATTTTCCGTGTAGTGAGTGTACATCTCTCTCTCTGCACATGGCATGAAGGAATCAATGACATCGATCACACCGACCCACTCACTCACTCACTCACTCACACCACAAGTCAGTCGTGGCATGGCTACGTATTGCATTGCGCACCAGAGGTTCTAGTGCTGATGGGCTCCGACAAGTACACACACAAGACGGTCAGTATGTCAGCAGAAAGATAAACCTCTTGAAGTCTCACTCACTTGCCAACTGACCACGTGTCCGTCTTGTGGTGGTACTTATGCCGGCACCCATGGGCCACACCCACACGCGCACCAAGCATGGACCTCCACAGCGTTAGCTAGAGTAAGTGAGTGTACGACCACAAAAAGTGACGAAACGAAGAAAAGGCGTTGCAGGTGTCGGTGGTCAGCCGATCAGCTTCTCGAGAAGTACTGGCTCAAGACAGACAGACCTGACATGACCCAGACAGACAGACAGACAGGCAGACAGCGGTGATGGATCCATCGGGCATCTTCGGTCCCTGAGCGTTCTTACCAAAGATAGGGATGGCGATGCTGACACGGAGAAGGTCAGGGCCCGCCCGGAACCCCAGCAGCGTGATGGGCTCCCTCGCATGCTCTATCTTGATCTGCTCTGCGACCAGCTTTATCCTCTCCAAAGCCAAGTAGAGGTGGTGCAGCACCGTCGTGTCGTCCAGCCCACCGCCACCACCATTACCATTACCATTACCACTGCCACTGCCACCACCAGCAGCAGACCGGCTGTCCCACCGCTGCACACGACCGGTGTTTCTCTTGCCGACGATGATGGGTGGGAGGGAGGGGTCAGATGGCATTGATTCGATGTGCGCGTGCGGGACCTCAGAGGGCCGCGGCTGCGGGGAGGTGGGGGGCGATGTGGCGGGGTCGGTGGCTGTCTCGTTGGTGTCATTGTTGTCGTGAGTGTAGTTGTACTCGTCGTCTTCGGCCGCCATGGCGTCTTGCTGGCGGGCCTCGATGCCGAACACGTGGCGCGTGAGGATGGACGTCACACGCTCCTGACACCCATGACACACACACACACACACACAGAGAGGGAGAGGAAAGGGCGTGCGACGGTATCTCTCTCTGCTTTTGTTTATGTGTATGTGTGAAGTCTCACTGACTTGGTGGCCGTAGAGGAGTAGTGAGTGTATGGCGGCCATGTCGTTGATGCCCTTGGCCTTGAATATGAGCAGCAGCATGCACGCACCCAGCAGCACGTTGTGCACACCCGCAACCACTACCGTCAGGGGACGCAGACGCTAAAGGTCACAAACATTCACAACACAGATGGAGGACACATGACTGACTGCCTGCCAGATCAGATGATAGCCAGGCCAGTGAGCGCTCCCTTCCTTCCTCACCCCTTCGGCGAGCATTTCCCAGACGAGCCAGAGGATGAGGATAAGGTTGGCGGCGAAGAAGAAGGACGAGTACAGCTGGATTCTCAGCTGGAATTTGCGGCCCCAGTCGAGCAGCGTCCGCCGCAGAAACATCCAGCCGCGAATCGACTGTGAGTCTGACGATTCCAACCTGGGAGAAAGAGGGAAAAGACAATCGATGATTGCTATGCCGCCATGCCATGTGTAGGCCTGCCTTGGCATGAGCCTCAGGTTCCTTGGCAGCGTCTCAGTCCTGACGCCCTCTGAGCAGAGAAGGTAGCCGCAGTACCGCATGAGCTGCACACACCCACACACACACACAAGGGTGAGTGCGTGTCAAGCGGCTTGTTTGTGTGTGTGTGTGTGTGCTTACGTCACGCCGACGCGAGAACTCACGATAAGCGATGATCAGGAAGAAATAGTTATACCTGCACACGCACACCACACCAGCAGGATACCCATCGCATCCACACCCTCCCCATTTATATCACATCTACATACGGACGGCACCCACATGGTGTTCCATGCCGTTGACCACAGGATGAGGCAGATGCACAGCGTGGCCTGCCAGCTGCCGCCGAAGAAAGGTTTCCCAACGTGCAGGCGCGCGAAGGAGGGCCCCATACAGATGATGGCCGAGAAGAACAGCACCAGCCACCGCCACTTGCTGGGGAATCGAGAGTGGCCGGAGGCCTCCACGATGAAGAAATGCACCAGGTTGGCTGTCGGCACCAGGGCGTACTGCACCACGTCACCGCCCTCGCCGCTGTCGGCTGGGAGGCTCACGTCAGGGGAGAAGTTCTGGCAGGAGACTGGGCCCTTCTCGACGTCCATCTGGTGAGTCGTCTGGTGGTGCCCACTGGTAGTGGCCTTTCCGCAATGCTCTGCTTAAGGACAGACAGAGGGAGGCAGGGTACCAATTGGTACTACCGGAGTGTCCGTCCATTCATATGCATTTGGCCCACCTCCTACCTGGTTTGACGGCCATTTCGTCGCTCTCTGCGTAGATCTTGTCGTAGTCGGCCTGCTTCATCGAGTATATGTCGGTCGGCTGCATCTTGGCCAGCCGCTCCAGCAGCGCATAGGCGTGCCGCTGCTCGCTCGCAACCAAATGCTCGGGGGGCTGGAAACGCGTCATCGCTCCTGAAGGGAAGCCCAGCCGCTGCATCGACTCCTGCACAGATAAATGCAGGCGCAGACACACACGAGGGCGTGTTGAGTGAGGGGAACACAGATGCGTGGGTGGATGCGTGTGTGTGTGAGTGTGGGTGTACCTTTGCTTGCTCCATGGCAACATCGGGTGGCGAGTTGAGCCAGCCATAGAAGAGGAGTTCGTTGAGGAACTCCTTGATGGTGACAGGCTGCATGGACCGCGCCGCCCACTGGTAGTCGGGCATGAAGCCGTACTTGACCGACACTACCAGGATCCGCAGCTGGATGCAGATCACCATGTACAATACCTGATAGAGTGACAGTGACCGATGGATGACATATATTACGTCGACACACACACAAAAAGAGAAGGCAAACAGTCTGTGTCTGTCTGTCTGTCTGTCTATGCTGGATGTGCCCGAATCCGATCGCTGCTGGCCGGCTGGGCTGACCTCGATGGCGCTGACGTGTATATGAGGCGTGTACATGATGTACAGAATGATCGCCCCCATCTGACAAAACCTGAAGGTCAACAAGCCGGCAGGCACCACACAAGATGGACGAGAAGGCAGACCAGCCTCGATGCGATGTGTGTATGTATGTGTGCCGTCAATACATACCAGTCAAGGTACTGTGACCTGGCCATCTTGAAGCGGATTTTCCTCTCCAGTGGGGTCTGCTCATGGCCGACAGCACCGCACACAAACGGCGGGATGAAGGCACGATTGGACAGCCCCAGACACGACCCATACACAAGGCGGAGCAGGGGCAGGGACAGCGGGCCTGACATACGTCACAACAGACACACACAGACAGACAGCCACTGTCCATCCTCTATCTCTCTCTTCGCCTGTTGCCGTACCGAGAGTGAAGAAGAGGAAGTGAGATATGTACTCGCGGAGGAACTGACCCATGTGGAACCGCACCTGACAAACAGACAGACACACAGACAGACACACAGGTAGGTGCACGGGCTGCTCTAAAGCAGAGCAGCCCACGTCCCTTTCTCCCTACCCAGTCATTGGTGCGTCCCTGGTGTGCCAATATCTCCGCCAGGGTGGTCTGATGCCTCCCCCTGCCCTCTCGCCACGCCTTGCCGCCCCGCCGCACATCAGACCTCGACTCGACATCCGACACATCTTCGCCTCCGCTGCTGCCCTTGCGCCGAAGGGTGCTGTCCGACTCCCTGGCGGCTGTCGTGCTTGACGCAGTCGTGCTCATGCGGCCTAGCCGGCTGTCCTCAGGACAGTCAGGCAAGGCAGAGACGAAACGACAGGAAAGATGCCAACTAACAGCAATTAAGGAATGCCGACGAGACTCACCTGAGTGCAGATCTCGTGACGGCCGGTGCTGAAGCCTCCTCCATCGCCATCGGTTCTCTTTCCATTCTCCCAGGGGAGCTCGCAGACTTCCCGATCGCCGTTGCAGCGCCGCTCCGATGGATACGTATTCAGCGCCGCTGGTCAAGATCTCCGCAGTTCTGCTGATCTGTTTTCATGCAGCCCTCGGCTTCGTCCTTCGGCCGTCGTCACATCAGCCGCTCTCCGCGTGCCGACAGAGATGGAGGCGACCCGCCCCTCAGATGTCAGCAGACACGGCCGTGGACCAGTCGCCGGCCGTCGCTGAAGCCAAAGGCGAGACCTCTTACCGGTCCAAGTTCCTGCGGACGCTGCACGAGCGGGGATTCATCTACCAGGGCACAGATCTGCAGCACCTGGATGAGCTGATGAGCCAGGAGACCGTGTCGGCGTATCTGGGCTTCGATGCCACGGCTGACAGCCTGCACGTGGGGTCTTTGGTGCAGATCATGATATTGCGGCACCTGCAGCAGTGCGGCCACAAGCCAGTGGTGCTTCTGGGCGGCGGGACGACCAAAGTGGGCGACCCGTCGGGCAAGGACGAGGCGAGGGCGATGCTCTCAGAGGAGGCCATCGACTCCAACATCCAGTCGATTGCGGCCATCTTTCGCAAGTTCCTCTCATTCGGTGACGGCCCCACGGACGCCATGCTGGTCAACAATGACGACTGGCTGTCGGGCCTCTCCTATCTCTGTTTCCTGCGCGACTTTGGCTCCTGTTTCTCGGTGAATGCGATGCTGCGGCGCGAGTCGGTCAAGTCGCGGCTGGACCGTGAGCAGCCCTTATCGTTTCTGGAGTTCAACTACATGATCCTGCAGGCGTATGACTTTCTGGAACTGCACCGTCGGTATGGCGTGCGGCTGCAGATGGGGGGGTCCGACCAGTGGGGCAACATTGTGCAGGGCGTCGAACTCAACGGTATTGTATGCACACATCTCACACACAGACAGACAGACAGAGACAGAGAGATGTGGAGATTGGATTGCAGCTCGAATGGGTTCTGAGAAGGTGTTTGGTCTGACGGCGCCGCTGATAACGACATCGGACGGCAAGAAGATGGGCAAGACGGCCGAGGGAGCCGTGTGGCTCACGGCCGACAAGCTGTCGCCCTACGACTACTGGCAGTTCTGGAGAAACACTGACGATGCCGACACCATCAGGTCAGTGAGTGACCTATCTATCCATCACACATACGACACCTCACGGCATGGTTGGTGTGCGTGTGTGCAGGTTTCTGAAGCTCTTCACAGAGGTGCCGATGGACCAGATCGCCGAGCTGGCGCAGCTGCAAGGGGCCGACATCAACCAGGCCAAGATCGTGCTGGCCGACGAGGCCACGGGTCTGCTCCACGGCCGTGCGGCCCTCCCCGCCATCCACCAGGCCGTCGCGTCAGTCTTCAACACCAAAGGCCAAGGGTCCACCGACTCGCTGCCCCGGCTCCATGTGAGCGAGGGGCAGCTGGCCAGCCAGGAGGGCGTGCGGCTGGTGGAGCTGCTGCAGCAGCTGGACTTTGCCAAGACGAAATCTGACGCGCGCCGGCTGATACTGGGAGGCGGGGCGCGGCTGAATGACGCCAAGGTGGATGACGTGAACCGTGTGTTGGTGCTGGGGGACTTCAACGGGGGCAGCCAGGTCAAGCTGTCGGCCGGCAAGAAGAAACACGGCATTGTCCAACTGATGACCGAATGAGTGAGGGAGGGAGTGAGGGCATGCGTGTGGTGTGGTGTGTATGAGGTCCCAAAGGGACGGTTGGAGGGGTGTGTATGTGTATGTGTGTGTGGACTGACTGACTGAGTCAGTACTGACTGATGCACGGTTTCGTAAGTGTTGCTGTGGAGTGCGATCGACAATGGAATTCTGATTCCGCTCGCTCACGCGGTTCCTTTCATCAAGGAGTTGGGTGCATGTGATTCATTCAATCAGGAGATCAGTCAGTCAGGTCCAAGTCTACCCTCCACAGGTGTCACGTCCGCCCGCCCATCCATCCATCCACCACCTACACATCTATCTCACGTCGACCGCCTGGCAGTCACCGCACCCCCACCAGCACCACCAACACCCACACCAACACCCACACCAGTGTGCAGCGGCAATTGTGGCGACGTCAGACACCCCACAGGTATGCCGGGCAGCCCGTGATGGTGAAATCGCAGCGATGGCGACAGGCCGGACACCACACTTGGCACAGCACCTACTATCTCTGGCGAGCTCTGGGGGAGCTGCTGCGTCACCGTGGCCACACTGACGGCGGTGAGTGCGGCCGGGAGGGAGGGGGCGACTGTGGGTGCGTCCAGAGCGGCCAGCAGCTGCTCCTCGGACATGCCGTAGTACTCCTCGAAGGTCAGATCCTGCGTATGGTATAGGACACACACACACAGAGAGAGAGAGGATGATTGGGTGTGCAGGTGCGCAAGGTCGGTGTGAGTGTGGTGTGGTGTGGTCGGCTGGCTGACCTTGCTGTCGAGGAAGTACTGTATGTGTGGCGACACCTGCCAGTATGACAGCTGCAGGGAGAAGTCCAGCAAGGTGAAGGCCTCGAACTCCGCCGCACGCACCTCAACCATACCCAAATTCTCCTTCTTGTCCAATCCCTACACACACACACACATACAGAGAACACACACACAGAGAGAGAGAGAGAGAAAACTCCCGTGTAGTGCCTGTGCTTCTGCAGTGCATGATCTGCCTACCGACCTGTATGGCGTGTCCGAGCCTTGGCAGGATTGACTGGGTGGCCATGGTGCCCTGGTTGATCGTCAGGTGGGGCTGGTTGAACTTGACGCTCAGCAGCAGGGTGGCCGCGCCGAACAGCTTCCGGTTCGTCTTGACCACCGCGCCCTTGATCACCAGCCTCTCGAAGTAGGCCCATGCGCACGCCACCGTGGCGGCGTCGAGCTCGGGCAGCTGGTCGATCAGGCCGAACAGATCGGCCTTCAGGTTCCTGCACATACACACACACACACACACACACATTGGCCGCACGTGTGGCGCTGATGTCAGTCATTCTAGCGCAGCAAACTCTACCTGAGCTTCGAGAGGGTCATTGAAGGGTGCAGCCACGAATGCATCTGCACAAATCACACAGACACGCACACGAGAGACAGACACACACAGATGGATGCCATGCCATTCTCCGGCCACTCTTCCTTCAATCCCACCTTCCCACCCATCCCCCACCTGCTGAAACTGTTCATTAAGCTGTTCCTTGAGTCTTTTCGGGCGCACGAAGGGCAGCAGCGATATCTGGTAGGACGGCAGCTTCAGGAGCGTCTGGTGCTTCCCCTGCTTCAGTCGGGGGTTGTCGAGGTAGAAGGGATCGTACCCTCCCACACCCACACCCACACCCTCGCCCTCCCCGTCGATGTCGCTGGTGGTGGTGGGCACCAACAGCGTCTCGTACGAGATACCCTGGGGCTTCTTCTTGACCGCCCGACGGGTGTGACGATTCCGCACATTGACAAACACGCCGGGCGAGAGCTGTCCGGCCAATAAGGCAGGTGCGGACGCTGCGGTGGCGCCGCCAGCGACACCCACACCTTGCCCGCCAGCCGCTTTGCCGGTTTTCAACATACCGCCCTGTCCGCCCCCGCCCTCTGTGTGTGGGAGCGTCGAGAAAACGTAGAGGGAGGACTTCCTGCTGGTGAAGTAGCAGCGGCCCTGCAGCAGTCCCTGCCGGATGAGCAGCGCCTCCACACGCTTGTTGGGCACCATCTGTCCCAGCGACCCCACGAAGGTGTACGCCTTGTTGTCGTGAATGACGTCCACACCTCCGTCCGCCGATGGCGACTTTGGTGGTTGGAGGACGGCTGGCGGGGGTGTGGCTGGGGCAGTGGGGCCGCCGTTGCTGTCCTTTGCTGCAGCTGTGGCGGGTTTGATGAGTGGGGACTCTTCCCCGAGGGTATGGAGGTCGCCCTCCATGTGTGGCGGGCACGCCTCGATGGAGGTGAGGAATGCGACGGCGGCAGCCAGGTCAATGGGGGGCACCTAACAGACAGACAGGCGGACAGACAGAGCCAGGCATCACATGACTGACGCATGGGGAGGTGTCGCCACACCGCATACATACCTCTGCGTGTTCTGGCGAGGAGAGGGGCGGCGATGTGGGCGGGGAGGTCGTTTGCGGCGGCTGCAGGCCATTGACACATGGACACATGGATGGACACATGGATGGACACATGGATGGACACATGGATGGATGGATGGGGATCCATCTGTGTGTGCTGTGTACCTGTGAAGCAGACACCGTCGGTGAGAGGCCAAGCGACGCCTGCGGCAGTGAGCCCATGGATGGGCCGACGGGTAGCGCAGAAAACCGCTCGCCGAGAGAGGGCACGGCGCTGAAATCAGGACTGACACACACACATAAACACACACACCGTTTGTCATCACGGAGGCACATTGATTATCAATCCATCTGTGTGTGAGCCATGCAGACAGACCTGTCTTTTCTTGGCGTCTTCTCCCTCTGTGGTGAGCGCAAGACCGTGATCTGGGGCGACTGGCTCTGACGCTGCTGCTGCTGCTGTGCGCTGTGGGTGGGTGCTCCTTGTTGCCCAGCCATGGTCTGTGGGAGTGTGAGGGAGGGGAAGAGGTGGATGAGGTCAGCTGTGTTGCTGTGCTGCATCGGCACATCGTTGGCGTCCTCGTGCTTCGTTTCTCGCTTGCCATCTTCGGCCATCGACGAGCGCTTCTTGCGAGCTCGTGGAGACCGCCGCTCTTTGATCTCTCCTCCCTGTGGGCGCAGAAGGAGGGCAGGTGCTGCCAGGAAGAATGGACAGTTCGATAGAGGCGCTGCTTGCGTGTCGGCTGATCACCTACACAGAGAAGGCAAGGGTGCCCAAGACCCTCGCCATCTTCATCCGCAATGCCACGCACGCACTCACACACGAAGGGCGCGTCGACCTGGGACAGGTAGGTTTGTACAAAGATCCGACCTTCACACACACTGTCAGTCAGGGAAACACACAGAGATCCCCAGACCAGGAAGGAGCTCATGGCTGGCTCTCGTCTGTTTTGTGTCTATTTTGTGTCTGTTTTGTGTCTGTGGTCACTCCTTCATCACTGCAGAACATCCGGGGGGACATTTTCCACCACTCGGCGAGCAGCACGCTGTTCTACGCCTTCTCGTGGTTCAACCCCCGCAACCCCTTCGAGTACCTCTCTCTCGGGCTGGACATAGTGTGCCAAATGACCCTCCACCCCTCCAAGGGGTGCTCCGCCTTCCACCTCAGCAAGGCAGAGGCATTCCTCGCCCACCCGGCCTTCCTCAAGCCATTCGACACGCACCGCCCATCGCTGCAGCGGGTGGTCCTGTGCGGCTTCTCGATGGGCGGGGGGATCGCCACCATCATGGCCATGCTCCTGGCAGAGAGGAACACCTACCCCCTCACTCTCGTCACATTCGGCACTTCACGAATGGGCGACGCCGCATTCAGCAGCAGGCTGAAGGAGGTGTGCGAGCCCGAGAGCCAGAATATCGTCCTGTGCAGACGCAGGAGGGCCGGCAGAGAGAGGGAGAGGGAGAGAGAGGGAGAGGGAGAGGGGGGGGCGGAATCGTCACCGTCGTCACATTATGACTATGACCCGGTGTGTCTATCGCCTGCTCTGCGTGACGGGTTTGCGGATCTGCCCTTCTGCAAGTGTCTGGTGGTGGGCGAGGGGCGGCTGGTCGACATGGACCACGAGCACAGACTCGACATGGCGCAGCAAGATGACGTGGTATGTCCGTCACGTCAGCCAAACAAACACACACCAGATGGATTTGCCAACCTGTCTGTGTGTCTGTGTGTCTGTGTGGTTATATATTTATATGACTGACTGACAGGGTGAGACGTCGTTTTGGAAGTCGGTGGGCAATTTCCTGTTTACCCTATCGCCCCACGAGCGGGAGTACAACCGGTGCTACCGTGACCTGCATGACATCAAGAAGTACTACGAGAACTACAGCGCTGCCGCACGGGAAAGCAGCCAAGCCAACCTATGAGTGGTTGCAACACAAAATGAGCTGGCAGAGAGAGGGGCAGGGAGGGAGGGAGGGAGGAGTGTATCACTTGTCGGAGAGGGTGTAGTGTAGTGTGTTGTCTGTGTACCTCAATGTGTCTGTCTGCATTGTGTGCCTTTATTGATCATGTCTGTTCATCGGTCGAGTGTGCCACGCCCTCCCTTGCCAGACAGACAGAACGGCCTGTGTGGCAGCAGGGAAGGGAACATGGCAGGATTTTGCCTGAAAGACTGCAGACCTGACAAACGGACGTAGTATATGATAGTTTATGAGAGGCAGTGTTCGGCGGGGGACATAACCGGTGTGTATGTGTGCGCGTGTGAGTGAGTGTGTGCATAAGCGCTCGTTTCTCTCTCGCCATGTGTGTGATGCGCCTGACACATGACTGACTGGTTCAGGGATGCGTAATTAACTTCTTGCGTGTCCACACTCCACACCACACTCGAATGTGTCAACCTTGCACTCGACTCGCCCTGGCTTTCCGTCACACACATGACATGACATGGCACACGCAAGCCACACGAGGTCACGCAGCCAAGAGATCCATCCATCCATCCCATCCTCTCATGACCACACACCGACAAGCACACGTGGCTCGGGGACGGGACGGGACGGTGCTCTCGCCGCTCTCACTCTCCTTTTGGATGAGTTGATCTGCCCCCCACTCTACCACTCAACCATACCAACCTCGCTCATCACACAAACCACACGGCAATACTCGATCGCCTCCCGCTTTTGACGCTCGCCCCCAATTCCTCAGGGAAGCTCAGCTGCGTGAGGGAAGGTCAGCTGCGGAGCATGCAGCTGCCCCTCGCTGCAGAGCACGCAGTTGCCCTCCGCCCAGAAACGAGAGATGAACGGAGAACGCGCCGGCAGCGATGTACATCCCACCAGAGACACTCTCTTGACACAACACGACCGACCGCACAGCCAGCTATCCATCCCATCCAGAGGCAAGCGCACATGCATTTCTCGCTGCCGTCGCATCTCTGGGGTTTCCCGACCGCCCGGTGCAACCCCACAGCTATCACGCCACTTAGACGGAGAGGCGTGGCGTGGCGTTGCACCAGCGGGCAGAAACCTCATGAGACGCTTCAGGCGCGATGCACTCACTGGCTGACCCTCACCCTCAGGAGCGAAAGGAAACAAGAAAGTCGGCAGGCACTCACCGCTCACCACACTCGCTCTCTCCTGTCTGAGGGCTCTCTCAATCCATCTCGTGCTCGCCAAAAAAACAGGGCGCACAGCACACTCACTGCGTTCCTCTCTCTCTCTCTCTCTCTCTCTCCTCATCTGCCCTCTCATTGATGACCAGCCGACCGACCGACCGACAGGCAATTCGACATCGATGTACCAGAAAGACGCACGGAAAGACAGAAGGAAACCATGCATGTCTTTCTTGTTGATGAGATGATGTGCTATGCTACAGATACAGAGCAAGGAAGGCGGGAAGGCAGGCAGCAATAGGTAGCTAGCTAGCTGGCTAGCTGGGTGGACGGCAAAAGCCAAGGAAGGAATGAAACACACACACGCAACCAACATAACACGTGAGGCGATCGACTGCGCAGTGAGTGAGAAGGGGAGAGGAAGAGCGAGAGGGAGAGAGACGGGCCATCGAGTGAGTAGGTGGGTATGCACAAAACGAGTCTGTCTCAGGTAAGTTGGATCCAGCCAGGTGGTGAATCGGTCCGTCAATCCTCGCTACGCTATCTACAGCAGGCACACGACAGCCAGCCAGTGAGTGAGTGGGTGAGTCGCCCAGCTAACCACACAGACAGACAGACAGGCAGACAGACAGGCCGCCATAACCAAGGAACGATCAGCCAGCTAGTCAAAATTGCCCCAACACCCATGCACCCCCCCATCCATCCACACCGTAACACAACACAACAGAACACAAAAGCAATAGCCCACAATTGTGTTCACTGATTGTCACACCCTCACACTCACACACGTCATCGCAATCGCAATGGATGACGCAATCTGACCTCTATTGACACCTCCCTACCTCCCCCCTCCCCTCTCTGCCTCAACAAGACAAAACACAACATTCCCCTCTAGAGCTCTAGTAGAATTCCTGCGGCGTCTCGAAGAAGAGCACCTTCTCCAGGGCCCGGTTCTTCTCCCCGGCCATGCGCAGGTTCCTCAGCCCCTCCACGAAGTAGGGCGGCCACCGGAGGTCCCGCACCAGGTGCCGGTCGTCGAGCAGCAGCGGGTTCTCCTGCACAGATATGTCGTACAGGTACGCACCCTCGGCGAACCGACCGACGTTCCAGTCCAGCATCGACTTGGCCAAAACCATCTCCCAGTAGTCGGGACTGCGCCGCACGATGTCGTTGATGATGAAGTGCGATCGTCGGACGTCGCCTAGCTGCGCGTCGAGCAGAGCGATGCGCGCCTTGTACGCCACATTGGAGGGCGCCAGTGCCGACGCCTGGCGGAACTTCTCGAGAGCGGCGTCAAAGTCTTCAAGGAGGGTCAGGATCTCGCCGGTGTTGGCGTAGAGCCGCGGGTCGCTGGGCTTGAGGACGAGGGCGTGTTCGTAGTCCTCGAGGGCCTCCTTGTACCACTGTGGACACGCACACAGCACACTCCACACCCCCTTGCTGCAAGCAAGGAACACTAAGGTACCTGGTTGGCGAATTGGAGTGAGGAGGTGAGGGACTGCTCGGCCTTCTGCTCACACGCTATCGCGCGATTCAGCCAGAAATCGGCCTCGTCTGGTGCGTACTCGACTGATGACACAGAGAGAGTACGGTCAGCCGGCATCGTCCTGGCTGCTCGCTGTGACTTTGTGTTTGTGTCTCACTTGCGCATGAGTAGTCGACAAGGGCTTTGTTGAGCTCGCCGAGTGAGACCCGTGTGTTGCCCCTGTCCGTATACGCCCTGGCCAGCATGAAGCGGGCCCTCTCACTCTCCTTGGCCTTGGGCGTCTCATACGAATCTATGATCTCGGTGAAGATGCCTGTACGCACACACACACGCGGAGATGAACACACACCTCGCCACCTGTACACCCCTCTCCTCCCGCTCACCTTCGGCCTCCTTGAAATCGAATTTGGCCGTTTCCTCCAGCCCCGCCTTGAAGAGGCTGTACTGCCGCTGAAACTCGCTCAGCCGCCCGGGCGACGCCCCCGGCCCGCCCAGCAGCTCCACCGTCCGTGAAGGCTTGGTGGTGTCCACCGGCTGCTGGGTCTGCTCCACATACTTCTGCTCCACTGGCAGCCGCCGTCTGGGCTGCAGGTCCGCCGGGGCAGCGTAGTCGCGTGTGATGGGTGTGATGAGTTCTGACGGCCCCACATCGGCCTGCGCCTGGAGTGTGCCCAGGAGCAGCTCCTCTAGAGGGCCGCGGATCTCCGTGCTCTTGGAGCTGCCGGCGTCGCTCGCGATGGCCGGAGGGGGGCTCGCGGCCGCCAGGCTCTCAGGGAGGGGGGTGAAGGGCAGCAGTGCGGCAGCAAGGGCGGCACCGATAGACACACCCGCTGACAGAGGTTGGCCGTCGCGCCGTTCGTCCGCCATCCTGGTCTCGGCGCGATGTGCTCGTGAAGGTCTGATGGCCAGTCGGCTGCGGAGAAGTCCGCCTGGCTGAAAGGCTGTGTGTGTCTCTGTCACCCTGGCAGCAGCTGACGCCGTGCTGTACAGCATGATGAGCAATAGAGATGAGGAGGGCAGTGGGAGCCTGCACTTGCGGGTGACGCAGAGGGGGCGGGCGGGAAGTGGAGGTGGAGAGGGGGGGCAAGAGTGAGATGAGGAAGGGGTCGGGCAGCAAGATGTGTGGCAGGCCTGATCATCGCCAGCCGCAGCAGGAGCAGGAGCTGCAGCAGCATCAGTTCTCTGAATTGTGCCGCTGCGCATCTTGGCAGCAGATGTCAGATCAAAATCGGTGGCCAGCGAAGTACGGCGGAAAGACAACCTGCCGGGGGGAGGAAGTCCAGAGGTCCAAAGCCACTGGCACGCTTCGTTTCGAGCGTCCTAGCACTTTCCGTGAAACTGCTCGTCGAGCGGGTTCCCGCATCTCATCAAATCGGACGAGAGAGGCCCTGCTGGATATCGGCTCATCGAGGTGGAGCTCTGTGTGTAGTAGATCTCCAGGCGACTCACCCTCTTCTTTGTAGTGCACCGTCCGACGGGGTGAGCCCTCGACGAGTACTCATCGTTTCCAGGTGAGAAGGGCACATTGAGAAGGCATCAGTGGAGTTAATATGATGTGCATGCCGCCTCATCCTTCTGCGCTTTCCGGAGCTCAGGTGCTGTTCTCTGAGTGTGTGGTGGCTGTGGGGAGATGGACAGCGACGCCGCATCCCCGCAACCGCCTCAAGTACGCGCACGCCATCACAGCGGCGCACAAGCAGTAATCGCATCAGATGCTCGGACGAATATGCTATGTGCCTGTGTTCCTCTCTGTGTGGTAGGGCGGAGGCGATGTGGTCATGACGGACGGCTCAAGTGCCCCTGCAGCAGGTGGTGGTGGTGGTGGTGCAGCCGCTGCTTCCTCTGAGCGGCAGGTGCAGCTGGACGGCATCGATATCTGGTTCCCGCCCAACACCACCGAGGCGTCCAAGCAGCTCACCATCCGACTCATGCGCCGCACAATCGGCCGCAAGGGCATCCGTCGACTCATCCGCAAAGAGGGCGCCGACCCGAACCTGGTCATCCGCATACTCCCCAAGGGCGTGGCGGCGTCAGAGGTGGCGCGCATCAGTGTGGTGAGCATCCTTGCCCTCGCCATCGACGATCCGCACGGCGCAGTGCCGTTCATGTGGGTGGTCGACCCAAAGCCCGACGGCCAGGAGCATCCGCGTGAGGAGCGGCTGATGATGCTGCCCACATGGCCGACGCGACAGATACAGATGGACGTGCTGGAGGCGCTCATTGCTGGGGGCCCCATCGGCGTATCGGAGTGGGCGCAACGGCAGCAGCAACCGTGTGCAGTACAGCCCAATGAAGGTGGGCATGTGGTCGGCCAACCTTGAGGCGGTGATTGAGCTGCTGAGGTCCGATGTGGCGGTCGATGGGGATTGGCTGGCCTTCATGCCGCGAAGAACGGGCGTGCTCGAGAAGCGGCTGGACCACGATTACCTGGTCCACGTGCTGGCTGTCCACCAGGAGCTGCTCGAGGCTCACCCTGAGCTGGCCACTGAGGTGGACCAGGAGCAGTGCAACCCAGCCCATCGACTGTCGATGATCAATCCCCTGCCGCTGGACGGATTTACCCACGCCCTCCTCGACCTGCTCAGTAGCTGCGGCACTGACCTTACCGCAGCCAACGCAGAGGGCAAGTCACCTCTCGACGTGGCGGTCTCCGCTGCCTCCCTTATGGTGTTCGTCTTGTGCGAGACCCTCGCTGTGGCCGAGGTCGACAGGCCCTCCCCAGTGACCAACTTCACCCCCCTCAGTCTCGCGGCCTTGTACTTGGCCGGCGATTCGGAGCACGACTACGACAACATCGTCTTCAAGAAGGTCCTCATCCACCGGCGGAAGAACATCATCCGCCGGCTGCTGATTCGCGGCGCATCCATCGCCAACATGCCCAATGCAACTCAGGAAGACAGAGAGCGCCGTGCTCTTGCCAAGAAGGAGTATGTGGTGGTGCTGAACGAGCTGCCCTTCGTGGTGATGGACCGCGTCAACAAGGCCCTCGCTCCCCAGCGTGACGCCGCCATCCTCATGGCCCGCATCCTGCCCCTGGTGGAGCACAACGACGAAGCCCCCTCCCTCCCCCATCCGCCCTCCCCCTCCCCCCTCTCATTTGGGCCACAGGAGTCGGCGGCCATTGCATGGCACATCGGGGCCTTCCTGCACGAACCCGAGACCATCAATGCCGTCTTCGTCATGAAGGACGACACGCCGAAGGGCCGCCGTCTGCTTGGCGTGATGCGCCATTTTGTAACGTCGGCCGCCACACGGACGAGCGGCAACCGAGAGGTCTGTGGTGGCGTCATCGAGCGCGAGGACGGGCGGCAGGTGCGCATCCCCCAGCTGCAGTGCTTCGTGCTGGGTGGCGTGGACGGCCGTCGGGTGGGCCTACGAGAGGTGGTGCACAAACTGCGCCTGGACGAGGTGCGCAGATTTGGCCTTAGTGGTGTGGTCAAGGGCTTCAACAACGAGGCGGGCGACGAGGGGTGTGTGTTCGACTGGGGGCAGCTGGGGTTCGTCGACAAGGAGGGGCGGTTTCAGTCCCTGGGGATTCAGTAGGCAGAGATGGACAGATAGATAGCTAGGAGGGATGGGTGGTGTGTCGGTAGTGTAAATAGATGGTATGAGATGTGGACGTCGCAGTCGCTGGGGATGCAGTAGACAGACAGACGGACAGACAGACAGATAGGCGAGAAGGGGAAGGGCCAGGGGCTGGGGGGATGATGGTGGTGTGTTGATATGAGCAGACAGATGCGGGACGGCTGGTGTTTTTTTTGTGCCTTTGGTGTCTCCCTAGGGAGATGGCGTGACTGCTTAGTGTGCTGAGGCCTTCAGTCAGGTGGCCGATAGGAGCCGAGAGCTAGACAGGTGGGTCGGCGGCCGCGTGTCTAGCAAATGTGCTCTTCACACACGCACGGCTGTCTGCCTGCCTGCCTGGAGAGCCTGCCTTGCGTGTCCATCACGTGATGTTTGCTGCAGTGTGATACTAGCGAGCGGCATTTAGTGTTTTAACCATGGTTCCTGTGTGCATTACAGAGATTCTGTAGACGTCTTCATACACCACCCGCCCTTTCGTTGGTGCGAGCTTAGCCGTGGGCCAAGTCCTCTGTTCATGCCACACAGGATCGGCCACACGAGTCCACTTCGTAAATTCCGCCAGGGCGAGAATTCGGAGACGGCTCTGGGCGAGAATTCGGAGACGGCTCTTTTCTCAAAAGAGCACATGTTCTTTTCGGCAGCAAATACAGTCATCAACAAAGTAGCGGGTCCAAGACCGACCACGGCAACGCCAACAGGGCAGCGGAGCCCGGCGCGCAAGACAACAGGAAGACACACAACATTAACGAACATGACAATTCCTCCTGTGTCGGTCGCAGTAGCAGGTGCGCAGGAGGGCTCGTTGCCGGTTCGGAGTGAGACGCCCTCATCGACGGGGACCTCTCCAGAACAGGGAGCAGGGACGGGAGGGAAGGAGACGCCGCTACACACGCGGACAAAAAGCAGAAGGAAGGAACAAGTGGTACAAATCACAGTTCCTGTGTGGCTTGATGTAAGTATGCAGAACCACGGGGAGACGCCCTTCGTCACAGGGACCTCCGATGAGGGGACACACAGAGCTAAGCCCAAAGACAGAGACCTCCAAGGAATCATCGACGCGGACCTTGGAGACGGACACCAAGGTCGAGCAAACCCAGAGAGCCGGCGCCGAAGAAGAGGTAGCGGGCACAGAGACAGAAAGAGAGCCGATTGTCTGTCCTTCCATCCACAGGCGACTCCCAGCCATGGGAGTCCACGACGACTGGCGGGCACTTCCACTCGTTCACCTGAAGGCCATCGCCAACGAGCTCCTCAGCGACATCAGTTGGTACGCTACGCACACACATCGATGGCGAGTCAACTGATGTCAATTGCCGATGTCTGTTGTCTCTTGTATGTGGCCATCAGGTGGTGGCAATCGAGAGGCCACCGTCAGGCGACGACAGACCCCCACGAGCAAGACCACCGACAGGAGCAGCAAGGCGACCTCGGGCTGGAGGGTAAGATCCAACACGAGGGTCACAGAATTGACCTTTCCGTGTGCTGAATGGATGCCTATGCGTGTCTGTCAAGGTCGAGCAGCAAACCCAGAGAGCCCATCGAGGAGCAGCCCCCCGAAGGAGGGCTTCGACGGCGCCGTCTGTGACATGTTCGTCAGCAAGACGGCCCACGACGCCGACTATGAAGACGAAATCGTCGACGAGCACCAGGCGAAAGCGGCGGTGCACGCCCAGGGGAAGAGAGACGGGAAGCAGCCGTGCGTCCCGACAACCCTCTTGTGCCTCGATGTGGAGACGGCGGCCGGCACGAGGAAGGTGCTGGAGCTCAGCAAGCTCCAGTCCACATTATCGCAGCTCATGGGCGAGTACCGACGGCTGACCAACAACCCCCACCTCCCCTTCGTCGCCGTCATGGAAGTTCTCACCTCGACGGTGAGTGCCGGGTGGACGCATCCATTGGTATATCTTTTTTCTGCATGTGTTTCTGTCTCACTCACCCATATGTGTGGTGTGCGGCATGCAGTTTGATGCACTCGAGACGTGCCACCGCGCCCACCTGATCCACCGAGACTTCAACCTCACCAATATCATGTTCCCGGGGAGACGGGGAGGCGGCCGCCTGCGCGCAATGCTCATCGATTGGACTCGTTCCATCATCCTCGAGATGGCACACAGGCAGACGGATGCGCGGCTCGTCGGAACCAAAGGACGTCATGGTCAGTACGTTTGCGTAAGCCAGCATGTACAGTCCGCGCGGCTATCAGCAAGGACCCAGGTGAGCAGGACAGAAAGAGACACGAGTCAGGCATCAACAGCACGGTTGTCAATGTTTCCTCTGCGTGTCGTTATCACTCAGATGCGACATGGTTGCGGCGTTGAGGTGTGTGTTGAGCGTTGCCCGCCCCACCCTGACGCCTGTGAGAGCATCTTCGAGCGTCAACGAGCTGACGGCGGCGTACGAGAAGTATAAGGACTTCGACATGGACCACCGGGAGATTGCCCGAGCAGCGGAGAAGGTGATTGGAACGAGGGCGGCCACCCACACGGAGTGGATAGAGGTGATGACCGCTGCCCTGCCGGGTAAGCCAAGCCTGGCAGAACATCCATTGGTCGATCCCGGGTGTCTGTGTGTCATTCATTCTGTGTATGCTATGTGGATGGCTGTGCTGTGCAGGGAGCGTACGTCAAGAGGTGCGGGGTCGTTTGCTGTCGTTGCTCAAGAAGGTGGAGAAGCTGCCGTTCGGGTTTCTGCCGCCTGCCGTGTACCGAGACGTCAAAGGAGACATCGCAACCACCAAACACATGTAAGCAGCCAGCACCAGACAGAAGACCACACACACACGCGCACACACACACACGCACACACACACACGCACACACACACACGCACACACATGCCCCTGTTCAGTGTCGAGTCGTGTGTAGAGAGCTCGAGACTGCATTCACACGAGCGGTGCGCCCAAACAAATTTGTGCATACACAGAATCGATCCATTCTTTGACTGTGCGCAGGGCTTTGATCTGCCAGTGACCGCGCCTCGCAGCGGGGTGCCAGGATTCGTAAGCAGCAGGGAGCCGCCAGGGTTGGTGTCGGAACCGGACTGTCGAACAAGGGTGAGATGGCCATGACGCAGCACACGGCGAGCCCAGCGTCTCATGACCCTTTTCTGTCCTTGCCTGCTTTCAGATCATCGTTGTCTACATTTTATATTCTGATGGCCATTGTACTCATTGGAATGCACCGCACAACCAACAGGACACGGGCAAGGAAATGTGTGTAGGCCTTGCAAGAATCATTCAGACGCGACACATTCATTCTTTCGCTTAATCTGGGCGACCTCAGACCCAGTCGTCGTGCATGAGATGGATGGCAACAGTGGCTGTATTCTTGGCGATAGCTGACTCGTGTGAGATGGCTAACTTCTGTCTCTGCTGCCGTATTGCTTTGCACTGTTCTCTAATTGTGAGTGAGTGTGTGGTGTGGTGTGGTCATTGTGTGCGTGCCGGCCTCCGTGTGTGCGCATGGTCGATCGGATTGATGTGCGCGGCCCGACCGGGGCGTGGCATCGATCCGATGATATAGCGCCACCCGGCCAGCTAGCTGTGCAGTAGACTCACTGACTGACTGACTGACTGATATGCATTCGAATCCACCCACAGAGACACTCACTGGCACTGACTGAGTCACTGCAGCCATCCAGGCAGCCATCCAGGCAGGCTGACACTCAGGCACACAGACAGACATCCACACGCGCATCAGTCATACCGACAAGCTCGGTACCCACACGGCGCACACACACGCCTTCTTGGATGCAGCACGGTACGACAGAGGCCAGCATTCACAGGTTGGCTATACACATATCCTTTATTATGTGTCGTGGGTCTTTCTTGCTGTCAGGATTGGATGACTCATGCCTTTCGGATGGACCTCTATCGAGCAGCCGCGTCCATTCATTGCGCCACACACATAGCCAATTACGGATTTCGATGTCAGTGAGCACGTCATGGTGTAAAGGCATATCTACATCAAATGTCCAGGTCCATTTCCAGACTCCATACCACATGAAGGAAAAACACATTCATGTGTGTGGTCACTCTGCCGTTCGCCGAAGTTTCAACCTCTCCACCGACGCGCGCGTCCATCGACGTGTCGTCCGCCTTGGCTGCTGCTGCTGCTGCTGCCTTCTTGGCCCGCGGGACCTTTGGCGGCCTGCCGACGGGCTGTTTGGCTGTTGGCTTGGCCTTTGGGCGGCCCCTCTTCTTCTTGGCGAGGCCCATCGGTCCTTTGCCCCTGCCGCCCTCCCCCCCACTGCTGTCGCACTTTTTGGCCCCCTCACTGCCGTCGTTGTCGTCGTGGCTGTCGTCTTCACCTGACTGCCTTTCAGATTGACCGGCAGGTCGTCGAATCCGCCGTGGACTATCTTGATGTGTGTGGGTATCTCCGTCGCCGTCTGCAGCCGCGGCAGCAGCGTCTCATACGCCTCGGCGTCCAAGAAATGCACCTGCACGCATCAAGAGAATCGTCCAGCTGCGTGTGTCTGACAATCAGTGTGTTTGTGTGGTGGCTGAGTGACCTATGTGCCTACCTGCAGCGGCATTCTAGCCCATGGTTGGCACTTGAGCATCCTGAAGACCACCTCCAGGTTCTGCACCACCGTGCGACGCTTCTGACGGCCCCACTTCGTCACCCGGCTGAGTGGACGACACGCACAAACAAGCAGGTCCAGCGGTGTCTTAGTGTGTTTGTTTCAACAATTGGCCGACCGACCAGTATGAGAGGTCGGCCACTGCGTCACGCGACAGGCGGCTCACAGCAGGACGCTGCCCTGCACCGATCACACCAACTGCAGCCATCGACAAGCGTTCTTTTGACTTGGCGCCTTTCCTTTCCGCTTACAGGCCCATTCGAACTGCAGTGCAGCGATCTTGTTGGGGAAGCCCCACACACACACAATCATCTTCCAGGGACGCCACCGCCGCGTCTTGCGAGCACCTGATGAGATCACACACCACACACACGCACACCGACAACACACACAAACAAAGGTGTACTGACGCGCACCGACAGGGCCAGGAAGGCTCAGATATCATCGGCAGTGTGGCGTACCTACCTGCTTTGATCTCGCCGTTGTGCTGTCTGATGCGCCGTCCGGGGTTGCATGTGAAGCCGACGTACGTCGTCTGCTTCCTTGTGACCGAATTGATCAGGTAGCACCCGAAGAACGAGCCAGCCGTCGGCCGACAAGCAGAGCTTTCCATTGCCTGCCGTCTCGTCTTGCCATGCCGGCCTTTCCATGCACGGATCTGTAAGGTTTCGCTGCCGACGAGAGCGTTCCAGGCGGCGACCAGGGTGGACAGAAGGATACAGCCTTTCCGGACAGAGTTGATGAGTCCGCCGGGGAAAGCGATGCAGCTGTACCTGCAAGAACGACCCAGAAGATCATCAACACGCGCTGATAAACAAGCAACCCCTTTGAACGCGTCTAAGCTCGCAGAATCCTGCACCCTAGTACACCCCAAACCCAGTAGGAATGCCTTCGAACTTGACGTGCGGGAGTGATTAGACATGCGGCGTCATGGGCTGTCCCATTGGCGACCTGATCTTTGATAGAAGTAGTTATTGATTGTTACTGCCTGAGTCTGCCTCTCCATCGAGCTGACTGACTCATGGGTCGGCAGAAGGCGGTGCCGAAGCGCGTGGACCCCGCCGACAGATCCGAGAGGTCCGGGTGGACGCTCGACGATGTGGACATCAACATCGAGACGGTGTCGGCCAGCCAGGCCTCGTCGGAGCGGGGCGGCGGCGCCCTCACTAAACTGCCGGTCAGCCTCAAGTTCATTCGGTCCAGCGACCCGAATCAGCAGTATGCCCTGCCGGCCTCCCCGCCCAAGACCCGGCACCGGCTCAAGCGGCCGACCGCTGCTGTCAAGGTGTGGCTCGACATATCATTCCCTCTCTTCGAGTGGCCGCGGGTCTCCTTCCTGCGCGACGAGGGCAGCAGGGAGCTTGACCAGCCCGTCTACAACGTCAGAGTCGAGCGCACCAAGGAGAAGAAGGGCTATGCCTCGTTCACCCTCTACGACCAAGAGGGCAATCCCGTGGCCCATCGCGACGTGCAGGCGCACTCGCTCACGCCCTCGGCCACCATTGCGCGTGTGCGGCTGCTGCAGTATCTGCAGACGAAGGGTGCGCTGGCCATCAGGGGGAGAGTGGAGGAGGCCAGGGTCGCCATGGAAGACGAGCCTCTGGCCGACGACACGCATGAGGAGCAGACAGGGGATGGGGCGGCTGGTGAGGGAGCCAAGAAGGCGCGGAAAGGAGGCGACGCCATCATCACGGTGGCTGTCGGGCTCACGCGCAACTGCTTCGCCGTCTTGGAGGACTCTGAGGTCCCGACCGGCGTTCCGCCCACCCCTCCCGGCGGCTCCAAGCTGCTCGAGTTCTTTCAGGACATCTTCGCCCCCGTCCTCAGCGCACCGGCCATCGCTAAGAACGAGCCCGTCTTTCACCTCGACGCTTCATACTTGTACAACGCACTGAGGTCCCTCCCGCTTCCCCCCGCTCCCCCAGTGCCATCCCCTTCGCCGTCGCCAATGACCGCCGCCGAGGCCTCATCGCAGGGGCACGCTGCGGCGGTGCAGCCCTTTGTGGCCCCCACGGGCCTCACGTGTCAGCTGCGGCCGTACCAGCAGCGGGCGGTGCAGTGGATGGTCTTCCGCGAGACACACGGCGCCGAGCAGACCATCGGAGTGCCCGACCCCTACTGGGTGCTGGTGCGAGGGGCGCTGTCCAGTCGGCCGCTGTATGTGCATATGGTCAATGGCGCGGTGCGGCGCAGCGCACCGCCGGCGGTCACTTATGCGGTGAGGGGGGGCATCCTTGCCGACGAGATGGGCTTGGGCAAGACCGCCGAGGTCATTGCCCTCATCCTCGCCAACCCCAAGCCATCGCCAGCCACGGCACCACCCCTGGCAGAGCAGCAAGGGCGTGCCGAGAGGCGGGGCAGTGAGTCTCCGCATCGGGTGGGGCACGGTGGCGGCAGGGATGCGCACGTGAAGCGCTTCAGGCACGATGTGGCGGTGGATGGGTCGGGGGTGCCGAGGGGCAGCGGGGGGGACGGCAATGGCGACAACCACCCTGCGGGCGGCGCGGGGCGGCGGTCAGCCGAGCAAGCGCAGCTACGGCTACAGCGTGTGAAGCCTGGTGGCGCCGGTGAGGCAACGGCTGGCGGGCGGGTGCAGACACGGAGCAGGGCCGCAGAGGAGAGGCATGCCAATGACGACGGCGATGAGGACGACTACCGGACGGAGCAGTTTGAGGCCATGATGCGGCGATTTCGGGAGAAGGTGGAGGCGTCTGACTCCGCCAGTGGCAGTGTGGATGTGGATGTGACGCCCGCCAATGTGCCGCCCCTGTGGGACAGCGAGGTCGAGGATGACGACTGGGGCTTTGGCTGTCCCTGCGGCGAGGACTCGGAGGCATATGAGGGGCAGTGGGTCCAGTGTGACAGGTACGCAGCGCCGCCAGACACACTTCGCCGCATCCATCCATCCATCCATCCACCTGTGCTCTGCGTGGTGTGTGCTGCAGGTGCGAGGCGTGGTTCCACTGTCTCTGTGTGGGCTTTGACCCCTCCCCCAGCAAGGGCGACACGGAGCAAGAATACGTGTGTGCGGCGTGCACGGCTGAGACCTCCCCGCCGCTCCCCGTCCGGGCCACCCTCATCGTCACCCCCGCGTCCATCAGTACCCAGTGGATGAGAGAGATCCGCAAACACACCGAGCCCGGCGCCATCAAGGCCCTCGTCTACACGAGCGTGCACAACGTCGGAGACCGCCTCAAGAAACGGGTACCGTAGCCGCACCAGACAGGGAGAAGAGAGCGAAACCGTTCTCACTTTCTGTCTATGTGTTGTGGTGCCTTGATCCATCCATCCATCAGCTTCGCAAGGAGCAGCGGCTGCTGAAGTTGGCAAAAGAGAGCGACTCCGATGATGCCGATGAGGATGGCGATGTCAGCGATGTCGGCGGCCGGCGCCGCCGCCGGTCCAAGAGGCGTCGCAGCAGCGTGCGGAGGCGCCGGCAGCCGGACACCCACGGTGACGCCACTACCACCTTGATGATGGCTTCTGGCGACTGGCATGACGACGACCTGCACTGTGTGGTGACCCGGCCTGAGCAGCTGTGCGACTATGACGTCGTGCTGTGCTCTTACGAGACGCTCCGGGACGACATCCACTACCAGCCGCCACCCAAGAGGCAGATGAGGTCGGTCGGTCGGTCGGTCGCTTAGGCTGGCCAACCACCACACAGATCATCAGCAGTGGATTGGATGTCTGTCGGTGTGTGTGTCTCATATATAGGTATGCGAAGCGGCATCGTTCCATCCCGACGCCACTGTTGCAGGTGGAGTGGTACCGAGTGGTCTTGGACGAGGCACAGATGGTGGAGGGCCACACTCGCGCGGCGGAAATGTGCTCCAAGCTGTCGTCGCACCTCCGGTGGTGCGTCACCGGCACGCCGATCGTCAACCACCTGTCGGCTGACATACCCGGCTTGCTCATGGCTCTGCAGAGGCCAACCATGCCTTTCCTCGGGGAAGGGGCTCGCATGTTCAGTCGGTTTGTGGAGCCGCTGAAGTCGGAGCTGCCGCAGCGGTTCACCCCGGTGCTGCCCGTGCCCCCCTCCCTCCCCACTCCCACACCCACACGCACACCAGCCAACACCCAGCAGCCAGCACCTCCGTCCCAGCCACAAGACGACGACATGCTCGACCCTCCCTCCCCTTCTCCCTCTCCCTCCCCCTGCCGTGTGTACGACAACTCGCAGCCATATGCACCCATCAGTGAGGGTGAGGACTGGCTCGCCACGTTGCGGCGCCACAAGGAGGCGAGGCGGCAGAAGGAGATGCGCGAGCGTGACAGGAGGGAGAGGGAGGAAGACGAGCTCGCCGCCCTCGAGACGATGCCCTCGCTGCCATTGATCAAAGGGGAGAATGCCACCGCTTCCGTGCCTCTGACGGCCGCGCCGGATGAGAGCGACGGCTTTGTGCATGCCAGCGACGCGCGGTGGGGTGTGGTGGGTGTGGTGCTGGACCGAGTGCTGACGCTGATGCAGCCCCTTTTCTGGCGGACGCAGCAGGCCGACGTGGCCGGAGAGCTGGACCTGCCGCCTTTGGAGCGGCACGACGTGTTCCTGCAGTTCTCGCCGGTGGAGCGGTTCTTCTACCAGCGGCAGCACGAGAAGGTCCTCGAGAAGGTGCGCGAGGTGTTCGACAAGCGGCGCAAGGCGGCTGCGGCGCTCATCGAGACCGAACAGCTGCCCATCGACAAGTGAGTAGAGCACCCCCTCCCCTACCCCCGCACACCACACCCATCCATCCTCCGCACCTTGTCTCTCTCTCTCTCTCTCTCTCTGGTCTATCTCAGGAAGACGGATCAGCTTCGCAGCTACATCCTGGCGCTGCGTCAGGCGTGCTGCCACCCACAGATCGGCGCACTGGGGCTGCGCAACATGACCAGGGGCACAGGCAGAGGCAGGGGCGGCCGGCGAGGCAGCAAGCGAAAGCGACGGGGGTCCGGTGCTGGTGGTGGTGGTATGGACGATGGGGACGGCGCTACGGGGACGGCGGGTCAGTTCATGTCGATGGATGACGTGCTCGACAAACTGATCCAGAAGTCAAAGGTAGGAGTGTTGTGGTGGGGGAGAGAGGGGGAGGGAGGGAAGGTGTGATGGGGATGTGTGTGTGTTGTCTGTCTGTGGTGCAGGTGGAGGTAGAGGAGCAGCTACGGGTCTACACGGCCAACACCAACGGGCTGGGCGGCATCGCACTGCTCCAGGACAAACTCAAAGACGCCATCGAACACTACCGGTAGGTCACCCACACACACACACAGAGAGAGATTGAAAGCTATGAAGCACCGCACCCGCCCGCCGACCGACCACCCCCACATGTGTTGTGTTGTGTCATCTTGTGGTGATTGATGCAGGCATGTGTTGGAGACGGCAGCGACTGAGGACAGGTCCTGCTTCCGTGTTGACGCGCTGCAGCGCATCCACACACTGGAAAACCTACACGAGGTGGGAGGCACTGCATCGCACGACACACACACACACACACACAGACAGAGAGAGAGAGAGATGGCCGACCCCACCGCAGCAATAATAAAGGTGTCGGTAGCAGCCTTACACATGCTACGCTTGCGGCATCCAGCCCTGCTGCGCACACCACACGGCACGCCACACGATTCCTCCACTCGCTGCACACACACAAGGGGGAGGGCAGTGATGCGATCGGTGCACACACACACGTGTCACACACACACACCTGCACCCCTCTCTCTCTCTGTCTCTGTGTGTGTGTGTGTGTGTGTTTGTGTGTGGTGTGTGTGTCGTTGGATCTTCAGGTGTTGCACGAGATACTGCCGGGCAAGGCCGCGAGTGGCCACCGCCACATCGGCGACATCGGCCACACCCTGCAGGACCACACACACCAGGACAAAGCCAACGCCCTCAAAGAACAGTACCTCGCCAAGGTTATATCACCCACCCACCCACCGCCTCACGAGGTCCCCGCCGATCGTACAACCGATACATCCCTTTGTGTGTGTGTGCATCTGTGTGTGTGCCCGCCCCAGAGTCGGCACAAGCTGGACACGACGCGCCGGGAGTTCGAGGAGTATCGCAAGAGGATCGACGAGTCGAAGCAGGGCCGGCGGGACAAGAAAATGGACACCTGGTGGGGCGCCTTCGACATCTTCCTTAACCCTGGCACGAGTGCACAGGACACGCTGCTGTCCAAGTCAGTCACCCACACTCACACACAGAGAAAGGCATGCATGTGTTGTGTGTGTGTGTGTGTGGTGTGTGCAGGGTGCACGACGTGCTGATGCACGAGGGCGGGTCGAGCGGTATGGGCGCCAACACGGTAGCGGGGCTGCAGATGCGCAGCCAGAAGTACGGCACCCTTAAGAAGGTCTTCTACTCCCTCACCAGCGACGTCAACACTCTCTACGAATGCAGAGACAACGTCATCAAGGCACGCCCACCACACACACACACACACACACACCCCACCTCACCAAGCCATCCTCCCATCTCTCTCTCTGTGTGTGTGTGTGTGCTGCAGGCGGTGACTCGTTTGGATGTTCCCGGGAAGCCCTCTAGCCTTGTGATAGAGAGGAGTGCCAACTGCTCCAAGTGCCGCATCGAGCGGGAGGGGCCGGAGTGCGACCACTGCAAAGCCAACCCCATCTTCGACAGGTCACACACACACACACACACACAGAGAGAGAGAGAGAGAGAGAGGACGCCACATGTGTGTGTGTGTGTGTGTGTGCAGGTTGGAGCGCGAGTTGTATTCGGTGATCAACAAGGGCATCTCGATCTTTGAGGAGAAGCGGATGGTGGGCGAGGCCCTCCAGGGGGACGTCCATGCCTACGGCGACTCCATCACCATACAAATACTCAACCTGCTCAAGAGGTACCTACCTACCTACCTGGATAATAGGACAACACACACACACACACACACAACACGGCGGACGGACTGTGTGGTGTGTTGGCACATCTATCTGTGTGTCTGCCTGTGCCTGTCAGGGAGCTGCGTCACTACGACCGTGACTTAGAGAGGGTCGCCGACGGCCACCTGCAGGAGCTGCAGCTCATCAAGAAGGCACGTCCATCACACCTACAGACACGCACAAGTGTTGGACCACCTGCCATTGCATTTGGTGCTGCGCAGGAGTTGCTGGTCAGCCGTCGGTTCTGGAACGCCTCGCGCGACATGCTGTCGAGCTACGACGAAATCAACATGTGCTGCCTCAGGTGCGCACCTACACACACACACACACACACACCTGCCTCCACCGCATGTGTGTCCATCCATCCATCCATCCATCTGTGTGTGCAGGTTTCGGCTCAAGACGCCTGAGCAGATCCGGCAGGAGAAGGAGCTCGGGTAGGGATGGATCCCCAGAACACACAAAGAAGGCCGACCAACACACGTGTGCCTGTGTGTTCCTCTCTGTCTGTCTGCCTGTCTGTCTGTCTCCCTGTGTTGGTTCAGTGGCCCCCAGACTGCGGCCGCCCGTCGTGAGGCCCTGTGGAACCTGGAGCCTGTCAGAGTGCCTTACGTGGAAATGCAGCTGCTGGTAGGGAGGACACACACGAACACACGCACACACCCCACCATAGCCCAAGCAATGACACATGTCCATCCCTCCGTGTGTGTCGTGTGGTGCATGTTGGTCTGCGTCATCAGAGCGAGCGCGCCGAGGCCAAGAGCACCATGGCCCGCCTCAAGGCGCAGCACAAGTTCCTCCGCCACCTGCAGCGGCGGCAGGCCTCGCACCACAACAGACACAACCACCAACACCCACACCCACACCACCCCGCCCCCAGCCCAAATGCATCGTCGTCATCTCGCGTCGACGCCGACATCAACATGGCAGAGCCGTCCCCGAGCCCCTCACCTGTCGAGCGAGACGCTCATGTGGGTGGTGGTGCCGGTGGTGGTGGTGAGGGTGAGGAGGACGACCGGTGTCCGGTGTGCCAGGAGGCGCTCATCATGGCGGCGTGCGAGGCCGCACAGGCGCTCTTCCCCTGCGGACACGGACTCTGCGTCAAGTGCACCACTGGTAAGGAAGGACACAACACACACACGGCCAACAAACAGACAGATCAAGATGCCTCCCCCTGTGTGTGTCTGTGTTTGTGTGGTCAGAGCTGTTGAATCGCGAGCGTCGTGTGTCCATCAAGTGCCCTGTGTGCCGGCACGAGGCGGCCCGCTCGCAGATCGCCTTCATCACCATGAACGCGCCCTCACCCGACGACAACGGCAAAGATGCAGCAGACAGCCGCGTGTCGATCGACGGCTCGTGGGGCACCAAGATCGAGGGCGTCCTGCGGCGCGTCAAGACACTTGTCGATATGGGCAAGGAGAGGGAGAGGGAGGGTGAGGTTGAGGCCGGAGAGATGGAGGAGGGCAAGGTGGTGGTGTTTTCGTCGTGGAATGAGGTGCTCGACATCCTGTGCTTTGCGCTGCGGAAGAACAGCCTCCCATTCGTCAGATACGGGGGTCAGTGGACCGAGCGACTGACTGAGAACTGAGAGGGAGGGAGAGACGGAGATGGATGGCAGGGGCATATGTGTGGTGTGGTGTGTGCAGGCAGCACTCGAGCCAAGAGGGAGGAGTCGCTGAGGGCCTTCCTGCTCAACCCTGACATCCGCGTGCTCGTCTGCAACCTGCACGTACACACCAAAAACCACACCAGACAGACACCATCACGCTCCTGTCCATGTCCCTCTGTCTGTCTGTCTGTCTGTCTGTCAGCACGCCGGTCGTGGGCTGACCCTCACGGTGGCCAACCACGTGGTGCTGCTGGAGCCGCAGCTGAGTGCTGCCGACGAGGCACAGGCCGTGGGCCGCATCTACCGGATGGGCCAGAGGCGCCGCTCACACGTCTGGCGCTACTTCATCGCCGACACCATCGAAAGGCGCATCAAGGACTTCACCAGCACCCCGGCTGCTGCTGCCGGGGGGAATGACGAGCCGACTGGGGGCGATGAAGACAACAATGGCGGCATGACGATGACGCGTCGGCGGATGTCTGTGTCCAAGAAGGGCGTGGGGGCCGCCGGATCGCAGGCGGCACAGAACCCCGCCAGACATCTCAAGCAACAGGTGCGTGTGTGTGTATGTTTGCACCACGAGGGAAGCAGCATAAAGGAGCATCCCTTGCTGCTCATCTGTGGTGTCTGTCAGTGGTTCACCTACGAAGACCTTGAGATGCTCTTCGGCCACAACGACGTCGGACCACTCATGCCACCACCAGAAGAGCAACCATGCTCCTCTTCGTCATCGTCTGCTGCTGCTGCTGCTGCTGCTGCGGCAGCTTCTGCTCCATTGCCACCAGCAGCAGCAGCAGCGAATCCGTTCTCGTCGACGGGCATGCAGGTGGTGGATGGCCGTCGCGTGGTTGGTCGCGATGAGGAGAGTGAGGAGGAGGGCGACACCCCTCTGCAGCCGGGGGGCTCCGCGGCCCTGTGGGAGCCGGACTGTGAGTATGGAGACGACCTGCTCATGATGATGGGCGGCTGACGAAGCGACACATCCGTTGATCAGATCGGTGGTTTCAGCTTTCTTTGTATTGTGTTGGTGTCGATTATCTCTCTCTCTCTCTCTGTGTGTCTATGGTGGCCTCTTTGTCTGTCTGTCTGTCTGTCTTTCGTTCGTGTGTGTGCCGTGCCGCTGTGCTCTTTATGGATGGATGGACGGTTGGGTGGGCGTGTGGGTGCAGTGTGTTGATGCATTGGACAAGGTGGGTGTGTGGGGTGTGTGTGTGCATTTGGAGGAGAGGAAGTGACACAGGTAGTTGGTTAGTTACAGATGGGTCCGTGTAGTAGTCTAGACAGCTACCGCGGGATGGTACTCTACAGGGAGGGGCGGGAGGGAGGGAGGGAGGGAGGGAGGGAGGGGAGGGGCACAGCACGAGACCATTCAAGAAGGTTACGTCAGTCACTATTATAGCTCTCTGTCAGATAACACTATGTGTCAGTCAATTTGACGCGCTCTGTGGGTGAGTGAATGCATTACTTATTTGTGCCGGTCAGTCAGTCAGTCAGTCCGTCAGTCAGTCAGAGTACGACAGACAGACAGACGTATACATATCATGATATCCATCAACCAACTGAGCAACGACAGGCGATCCATGCCATGCAGCAGCAGCGGCAGCGTCCAAGCCTGTCACACACCCATCCATGCCATCCGACTCTCTCTCCCCTCAAAGTGACAAATAAATACGCACAGCCCCCCGGGTCTGTACAGGTAGGTCATGACAGTTAAGTCAGTTGTTGGTCCATCATCCCACCCACAGCACTAGCACGCCCTCTCGCTGGTATGTCCACGGATGGCCATCCATATGCGCCCCATCCCTCCTCTTCCACCCGCTGTCTGCGAATCAACCCTTATTTACAGTGGAAAGAGCGACAGACAGACAGGCACGCGACAGACGGAAGGAAGGAGTGACTCACAGACGGGCAGGCAGGTACAGACGCTCGTAGCGTGAACATGCGCAGAACCCGTAGCATCACACTTCACAAGAACAGATCGGCGCCTGCCTGTCTGTCTGTCTGTCTGGGTATGTATGCCGCCGGCTACCATCCGTCCATCCCTCCATCATGTGTCGTAAGTGTCTTTGTGTGGGTTGGGCCAGGCGTCATACCCGAGCCGCTCCAGGCCGCACCGCAGCCACTCGTGCAGCATGTCGTAGCTGATCCCATACACCTCCAACACCCACATAAACACATCTGACACACACACATACACACACACACTCAGACCCGTGTGCTCTTTCTCCACCCACCCAACACCGACCGTATTTTCCCTCGTGGATTCGGATGCAGACATAGATATTGTCCCATGCAGCCGGATCGCAGCCGTCGGGCGGCATGGGGAAGCCCGTGATAAAGGACGGCAGGCTCACCTCCACCTTGATGACCCTCGAGTTGCTCGTCGCCTCCGAGGGCGAGAGGTAGTCGACGAAGCAGTACCTGCCGTCGGCGGTGTCGTACAGGGACACATCCACTATCTGCTCGAGCAGCATGCTCCGGACACCGGCGATCTTTCGACGCGTCTGGTCGAGGAGAACCACACCACACATACACACACATACACACACACACACACACACACACACAAAAATGTAGTTGTGATGTGATGTGGTCCATCCATCCATCCACACCAATGAATGCTGACCTGTTCTAAGGTGCGAAACTCGTCGGTTGTGAGCGTGATAGTGCTGCGCTCATCGATGAAGTCGAGGTACAGCGGCTCTCGCCGCGCCTTGCGGGACGACGGCCTCGACATCACTGGCCTGATATATAGGGTTAGTCAGCACGCTGCATACACACACCCGAGCAAACAAACACAGCAATGGAAATGAGGCGTGTTCGCATCGCTTGGCATCTCACCTTCGATCAAATCAGCCGGCGGATCTTTCCACAGACATCCCTGAGGCTCCTCATTCGTGAGTACCTCAGCAGCTGCTGCTGCCCTCCTCTCTGTCACGAGATCAGATCTGAAAACATTCATCCAATCGTCCGCCGTCACAAGAACTGATGCCCGTGCCTTCCCTGCACTTACCCTTTGCCCTCCTGACGCCCGAATGCTGCGAACGATCCGAACATCTAAGCTCGCAAATCAGTGCTCCATGAAACCGCTGCAGCAGTCCGTGACACCGCTCTCTCAGCAGAATGACGGCATCTGTATCCGTCAGCGCGTTGCGAGGCCATCGTGACAGCGTGGTTTCATTGGACATCCCTTCCGAGCCGCCCGACCATCTTGTGCTCAGCTGCTCCGATGACAACACCGCGCGTCTGTGGGACGTCCGTACACACACATCATGCAGGCGGCTACACGACACAACATTCGACAGCCAGGACGGCTCCACCATGGGCGCTGCGCGGTTCCGCCCCGGCCACCCACACCAGATCTATGTGGCGAGAGGAGGGGCTTTGTATGCGTTTGACCTGCGGCGCAGCGACCGGGTTTTGCTCAATGTGAGCAGCGGTGTGGAGGGCTTCGACGGCGCGTCATCTGCCATTGGTGAGATTGACAGGTTCGCGTTCGATTCATCTGGAGGGACGATGGCGGTGCCGCTGGAGAGCGGCAGTGTGCTCGTGTGCGAGTGGGAAGGAGAGGGCCAGGGGGAGGGGGCGGGCGGTGGATGGGCTGTGAAGAGGGAGCTGACTGGCGAGCACGGCAACATTTGTGGCTCTGCTGTGTTCCGGGCCGGCTGCGCAAGAGACCTCGTCACAGGAGGGTGGGTGAGCTGCAGAACAGCCAGCGCACACACTTCCCGACACTCGCTTGGTGGATGGATGCACTCCACCTGTCTGTCTGTCTGTCTGTGTCTGCGACTGACCGTGTGTGTGTTGTCCTCGGTTCTTTCTGTCTGCTCAGGTACGACTGTCGTGTGTGTCGTTGGGACGCGAGCAGCGGCAAGTGCCGCATGCGGCTGGACATGAACAAGGTCCACTCCGAGCTGGAGACCTCTGCCGGCGCCAAACAGCTGGTCAACCCGCCATTCGTCGAGGACCTCGCATGCTCTCACGATGGGTCCAAAATGGCCGTCGCCCTCGGTGACGGCAACATCGTCCTCTATGGCTTCACCGGTGGGTAGTGAATGCCTTCGTCAGGCAGGAAATACCTCATCCATCCACCATCTATGTGTGTTGTGTGCAGGCGATCGTCTGTGGCCCTCGCCGCACAGTGGCTCGATCACGCACCTGTCCCCTCTCTCGTGTGTCACCTTCCTCCCGGCCTCCCACACCCACCTCTTCTCGCTCAGCAACGACCGCCAGCTCACCCTGTGGGAGGCCAAGCGGTCCCTGGCCACCAGCACCAGCAGCAGACGCTCGGTCGCCTCGCAGTGTGGGTGTCATCCCCTGGTGCAGCACGAGATGGGCCACAAGGGCAACTGCATTGTGGCTGTGGCGGGCGAGGGCCGGGGCCGGGCCATTGTGGGCGATGTGTCCAGTGAGATCAAGCTGGTGGACTTCACGTGACTGACGAGGGGGGGGCGGCTATCGGGTACGATTATGTCCGTGTGGTGTGCGCGAGATGGGGCAGTCCTTTTTCGGTGGGTGTGGACGGAACTTTTATGTGTGTCGATCGAAACTTTGTGTAAGTAGAAGCTGGTGGTGTATGGAATCGAACGAGGTCGTCACAGTTGCAAAAAGTCATTCATTCTCGTCAGGTACGGTGTCTGCCGCTACCACATACAGTAACACACACACGTCACATGAGCATCGCTGACTGACACTAACTTGTGTGGTGTTCGGTTCGTTCGGCATGTCTGGTACGTTGTGTCCCTCCCTGCACGGCACGGGTGCATTCATTGTGTGCACTAGAATGCAATCAAAATGATTCATCGTACGTATGGTGTGTATGTGGCCATCCATCCATCCATCCCCACACACACAAACGGACTCCCCGCTCCCATGTGCACTTGCTTGGTGGGTGGGTTGGGTGTGTCGGTTCGGTAGGTTGCGTCCCAAAAATGACTGACTGACTGAGGGAGCGATCATGCAAGAGAGTAGCTTGGCGTCATCGAATCCACGCACCGTATGCGTTGGCATCATGAAAGCACGCAAACACACACACACACACACATTCGATCACGCAATGCAACGCAACGCACAACGCGTCCATATTACATTGCGTGCGAGCGAGGGGGTGTCGTGTCGTGTCGTGTCAGTCTTTCTGGTCGGCCATGCACACCACACATGACATGTATGCGTCACGGCGAAACAAGTGGTGTGACGTGACATCCATCATTCGTTTGTTTGTTGGTGCAGTGCATCCCATGGTCTAGCTATCAGTACAGGCAGGCAGGCAGGCAGGCAGGCGAGACACAAAGTAAGGAGGATGAGCAGAGAGAGAGACGGAAAGTGGACGAGAGACTGAGGGAGGAGGGAGGGGCTCATGCAGTGAGTGGGAGGGGTCGAGATCACTGTGCTTAGATACATTCACTCACTCACCAAGACGAGTCAGAAAGACGGAGAGACAGACAGACAGACAGACAGTGTGAGAGAGGGAGGGAGGGAAGAGAAGGCTAGCCCGTTGGATGCCATGCCATGGATGGATGGATGGATGGATGGATATGTGTGAGCGAGAAGAGAGCGGCACGCATGGCATGGCATGGGACGTGTATGTAGGTGGGATGGGAGAGGGTGGCTGGCTATACATGACATCACATCACATGACATGCAGCTCTGTCTGTCTTTCCAACAATCTATCGTCTGTCTCTCCTTCCTTCCTTGTCTGACTGACACAGACATGAACCAATGAATGTGCGGACACGACACGACACGACACGTGCGTGCAGTGCATGAACCAACCGTGGATGGTGATGGACACTGACTGTACTGTCTGTCTGTCTGTGTGTGCACCGACAGCAAAGGGTCAGTCAGCGTGGCATGCACGGCACCATCCAATGAATTATCGGCGCGGCATGGCATGGAAGGAAAAGGTCGAAAGGACGAAAGGAATGAAGTGGGTTGAGCAAAAAAAGTGACCTGCAGACATATAGACAGACCTCAGTACGTTTGATTACACTAGACGCACTGGCATGGCATGGCATGGCGTGGCTGGCAGGATGTCGTGTGGTGTGGGGCCTTCTCGGCTCGGCCACATGGCGGTGCGGTATGTACACGTAAACAGCTGCAGGCAGCCCAGCCAGCCTGACTGATGCGATGCGATGCGATGCGTGTGAGCTAGCCCAGTGTGGGGGTGTGTGTGTGTGTGTGGATGTGTGGACGAGACAGACTGAAACTGACTGACTGACTACAAGCTCTCCCTAAAACACTCCCTGGCTTGGTGCTCCGCTCCCACATATTCTGTACGCACAGACAGATAGACCGTATGAAGACTGACTGACCCGGCCCTCGACCGACCGACCGCTGAAGCAAAAACCTGCAGCCAGCCAGCAACGAATCGACTCGACCAATCAGTGGCTGCCTTGTCTCCCATGCATACCTGGCAAAATGACCACAAACCGTAACGCGCCACTGTCACGCCAGAACGCACACTACTAAGAGCCGTACGGTACGGTAGGGTACGTGTGCATTCATTCATTCATTCATGCGATAGATAAGATAGACCGCCAGCCCCGCCCCGCCCCGCCATCACAGCAAAAAGGGGGAGGGGAAGCGAAGCGTCCTCAGCCTCACTCACGTATGTCGCCTCCCTCCCAATTGAACCCTCCCACCTCCCCGTATGTGTGTATGTGTTGGTCGTCAGCCACCAAAACCTGCCTCCCTGCCCGACGGCTGTCTGGTCTATACAACGAGTGGCGAGACAGACAGTGACACACGGACGGACGGACGGACGGTGAGGAGAAAGAATGACAGAGCAGAGAGTGAATGAGTGAGCTCAATGAGCGATAGAATGGATGGATGTGAGAATGAATGCGGCGAGAGTGACATACACCGATGAGCAATGAGGAGCAGCGCGAGACACGAGTCTTCTACGCCGTCCTCAGGTGAGAGAGGATGGACCGATAGATGGATGGATGCAGAGAGACAGACAGACAGACAGACCATGCCTGTGCTGTGCGCCCCCCCAGTCACTGCGCCTAGACCAAAGGGGCGCATCAGCATGGCGGCGGCGATGAGACGTGGATCAATCATGTGACAATGAAGAGAGAGAGAGAGAGGGAGAGGGAGAGGGTCAAGAGTGCTGGATGGACCAAGCATGGCCACACCTAGCCAGACGCTACACACGCCAGCGCCAAGAGAGAGAGGGAGAGAAGGCGAGAGTGGATCTCGCGATAGGATGGAATGGATGGTGACATGACTGACAGACATTGACAGCAGCAGCTAGCGGTACTGTAGCAGCATAGCGTGGCAAGTAAGGATCGAAGGGCGATGGACTGACTGGCAAAGCGACCAATCAGATCTATCAGCCGACCGGACCGATCAGAAAACACCGAGCCAACCCACCCACCCCACCAAACACCCACCCACCCTCCATTCATTTGCAGGAAGGACAAAGGGTTAGAAAACCGACAACACCATACATACATCTAATCTACGCGACAACACACACACATAACACACATCTGTATGTAGCAGAGAGGGGGGAGAGCGAGACGATTGACTGACGACGGCCGTCTCTCTCGTCTGTCCTGTCCACGGGTCACACGGGTCACTTGCCCCCCGGTGGCCTGAGGAAACCGTCTTGGGTGAGTTCCCTCGTCCTGCTGGCGCTGCTGCGCTTCTGGATCAGCTGCTGCTGGTCCGACAGCAGGGAGGGGTCGACCAAGGTGGCGTTCCCATCGGCGCTGCCGGCCACCGTGACGGTGATGTCCTCCGACTCATCTTCATCCAGACAGAGACCCTCCTTCTCCTACACACACACACACACACACACGTCTGTCTGTCTGTCTGTCTGTGTGTGTGTGTGTGTGTAGCGAGTGATTGGGGTGGGTGGTGTTGTCTGTGCGGTGTGCACCCAGTCTTGAAGGCACTGTGTCTCGCCGTCTTCGCCGGTGAATGGCGTTTTGATGTCGGTCAGCCGACAGCCGCACCTAAAGCGGTACTGATACCGTGCAATCTGCACACACACACACACACGCACACACACATTTAGCCAGCCAGGGAATGAATCAATGGTGTGGTGTGCTGCAGTGTGCGCCACACACTGACTGACTGACTAACCAGTTGGCCTCCCAGTTCGTAGTTACGGGCGTAGTAGATCGCGTTGGCGGCGTCTTCGACGTGCTCCACCACCTCGGGCAGATTCTACACACACAAGGCACATATTCCACACAATAACACAACCAAAACCACATCCAGGCCCGAAATGCGTCGCGCCAGCCAGCACCTACCGCGAGTGCGCCGATTGAGTCTAGGTGGGCCAGCACACAGAGTGCCCCCGTCCATCCTGCGTTGTAGTCGGTGGTCACCTCGTTGGTCTGGTAGTCTTGACGGTCGTCGTTGTACACACCGGCGCAGTTTGGGCCGCCCGCCAACGCACCCGTTAGTTTCTGGACAGACAAAGAGGTCAGTCAAACCACACCACACCACACCCATTGGCCATCCATCTCGGTGGGTCGGTGGGTCGGTCGGTCGGTCGTGTGATTCATTTCCCTCACTGCACGCACTGCTTGCTTTGGTTCTGTCCATTACTCTATCTGCCTACACCTACATTGGGGTTCGGCCCTGCGTTGCCTAGGCCACCACCTTGGTATCCGCAATCCTGCTCGCACACCAAACCACCCACACCACACCATATGCACACAGGCAGGCAGGGCATTGATTGGTCGAGCCGATGCGATGCGTCCGGCCCCTCCTCTTGCTTGTCTTTGTCTGTCCTTCGGCTCACTTGGGTAAAGGTGGGGTCTGGATCGCAGCTGGCGGCCCTGTGGTGGACCTTCTGCGGCGGGTCGTTGCCGTGGTCCACCACATAGGAGCGGCTTCCGGTGTTGCCGGCGATGATATCCATCTGCTGCTTGACCCATGAGATGATCTCCGCGGCACGGCCATCTTGTGCGTTGTCTTCCCTCAGAAAGATGGCGTACAGACCCGCGTTGAAACAGGCGTTGCCCACATGTCTGAATCAATCAATCAATGAGCCAGATGGAGAGGTGGGGTGGGGTGGACAGGGAGGGGCCAGTGTTGGTGCCTGTGTGCCGCGTACGCACCGGTTGTTCCCCCAGTCTCCAAAGCAGTAGAGCCCTTGAGGGTTATAGGTAAAGCTGACACACACACACACGCAGGCACACACACACACACGCAATATGCACCAGACAGACAGGGAGACAGGGAGATGGAGGGGAGACTGACTATGTATCCCCCCTTGTGGTGACGTGTGCAGCGAAGCGGCTTGGCTTACGTGCCTCCCGGCATCCAGGTGGTGACGACACTGTCGAGCTGACCCATGTATGTCTGAATATCACCGCTGTCGGGCTTGTGCTTCTGCAGCCCTCTCACCAGACACAGAATCGTCCCAGTTGTCTGCACACACACAGGCACACACACGAACATACCCACACCACCCACAAGATCCCCTCCCTCCCTTCCTCCCTCTCTCCCTCCCTGGTTGTGTCTTTCCTTCTGTCTTGCCTTTTCATTCCAGTCAGTCGGGCCCCACGGATATAGTCCTGGGTCTGCCTTTATCGCCTCTATGTCGGCGAGGTAGGCCTCGTCGCCCGTCGCGCGGTACAGCCATGCGGCCCCCCAGGCCAGCTCGTCAAAATATTGGTTCGATCCGTAGAATGATTGTGCGTCGGTGATGCAGTTGCTGTACAAGCCCCGGTTCTCATTGCCGAATTTGTAGACCTCCTGGGCGGTCGACAGACACGTCGTCGAGTAGGCAGAGTCCGAATCTGCGAAAGCCATCGACGTGGCAGCCAGCGCTGCGGCAGTCTCACCTGCCCACAGGCACACAGTCAGACAGACAGACAGACAGACGTGGGTGTGCTGTGCGATAACAGACGCCACCCTCCCACTGACCTGCCACGTCCGATCCAGGGCAGTTGCTGTTCAGCGTGCCGGTAGGCCGAGCCATGGTCATCTGCTCTGGCCTGCAGTGAGTGCAGCCAGCCATCCACCCGACCCACACACAGCGAATCAATCAATCAATCAGCAGGAGATAGGAATGGAGCGTACTGACCTGCCCCAGTAGGCGTGATCGGTATCGCCGTCAGCGACCTGCCCCACGAGTCTGTTGCCACCGAGCCATGCCTTGAGGAAGTAGTCGCTGCCCCACTTGATGGCGTCGAGCCCGTACTGGCCGTTGCCGCTGCCCACAAACACATCCTTGAACTCGACGTAGGCGAAGGCCAAGTACGAAATCGTCAGGCCCATCGGCAGGTGGAACTTGACGTGATCGCCCGCGTCGTAGTAACCACCCTCCAGGTCAGCTCCTGAACGCACCACACACCCACTCTGTGACTCTGTGTGTGGTTGTGCCGTACCCACACATCCCTACCGATGTCGCTTCCGTCGTTGAGTGCCGAGTCGCCCCTCCAAGGGATGCGGTTGTCGTCAGGGAGGTCGCCCGACCTGTTGGCCTCGTAGAAGAGCAGCGACTTGGTAACCAGATCTGCCCACCCCCCACTGAAATCACCAACCGGCGGAGAGTCCGGCGGATTTTCCGTTGGCGTCTCCGATGGCTGAGACGTGGGATCAGAAGGCGGCACCACCGAAGGCACCTCAGACGGCACCACAGAAGGCACCACAGAAGGCACCACCGAAGGCACCTCAGACGGCACCACAGAAGGCACCGGGGCGGCTGTGGGCGTGTCAGTGGGCGAGGGGAGGGTGGGGACGGGAGAGCCAGTAGGGGGGGAGGGAGGCGGCTCGGGGCCGTATATGGGAGTGGGCTCGGGAGAGGGCGTTCCCGACGGCATGGGTGTGCCCGGGTCTTCAACAGAGTCAACCACTGCACCACCATCGATCAGATCAACATCACACACACACATGAATGACGTGGATGCCATGAATGAAACCCCACCCATTGTGGTTCGATGGTCGTCACTCACCGCATGGCGGTGCAACGTTGGGAGCGCTGCACAAGGGTGCAGTCGCCTCAAAGCTGCTCGGGCAGCAGTTAGCCGCGCCGAGATCTGTGCTCTCGCAGCCCGTCTCCCCACATGTGCCACACGCATCGGGGCAGCATCCGGGGCCACCGTTGGCGTCAGGCACGCCATCAACGTCGAAACACTGCTGATCCGTCGAGGTGATCTCTGCACAAATCACACACACACACACACCGTTGTGGATCGACGGGTGGGGCTTCCTCCCCTCCCTCTCTCCCTGTCTCCCTCCCTGTCTGCTGACCCACCCGGCATATCGAGTATCATTTTCCTGGTGTTGCCGAACATGACCCCGTCGCCGTCGGTCATCCAGGTCATCACGACGTACTCGCCCGCAGTCATGTCCTCGCTGGTGCATGGCGCGTCACCGCACATGTCCCAGACCATTTCGCCGTTTTGTGTGATCTGCACTTGGTCAAGAGTCTTCTCGTACATCTTCGAGTATACCACGGTGAAGTCGGCCTTCCTCTCCACCTCAAAGTAGCACCTCACGAGGCTGCCAGCAACCTCGGTGGGCATACCGCTGAAGGTCAGACGGAGGTTCCAGGGGCTGGCCAGCAGCATCTGGGGGGTCGGGTAGGGCTTGCACTCGTAGTCGACGACGGTGTTGGTCGCCGTATGGATAAAGTGGAACTTGTGGGGCAGCGCCTCGTCTGCACCAGACCAGACAAGACGGGCAGACAGCCAGCCATTTGTGTGGTGGCGTGGTGGTGGTGGTGGGGAGGGTGTCCGTCCCCCTTACTTGTGACACAGGGTGCCATGTGTCTCTCCCGCTGCTGTGTGGCTGGGTCCACATGCCCCAGGCAGGCCACGCCCTCGCTGAGGATGGCGTCTGCGCAGCACTGTGTGTTGGCGGGGGCCACGCCCGCCTGCTCGAGCTGGGACGTCCTGCTGGCACACTCGGCTGAGCTGTCGCAGGTGCCACATTCTGCCGGGCAGCACACGTGCTGGGAGTCGTCAAGAATGCCCATCGACCCGAAACACTCGGTGGCCTCAGCACTGATGTACTCTGACCATAGGGGAGGGGGAGGGGAGGGGGGAACAGTCAGTCCATGTGTCTGTCTGTCTGTCTGTATCTCTGTGTGTGTGCTTCTGGCGGTGCGCTCACTGACCGGGCAGCTCGATCTGGATTTTCTTGGCCTCTCCGGCCCTTGATTTGGCCACACCGTCCTCGGACACGTACCAGGCCTGCCCCTCTATCTCATACACCCCCGGCTCCCCAATCGCCATCACAGCCATGGGCTCGTCCGCATCCGCCGCCATGGTCCCGTTGCCGCAGGCCAGAATGTCGAGCCCCTTTTGCATCGTGCCGCACACAGTGAAGGGGCCCCGACGCACCAGCACCTCACTCACAATCGACCACGGGGCGTCCTGAGCTGGCTGGCCGGTGGTTGTGTTGCCCTCAGCCGTGGGCCTTCTGAGGATGTACTGCATGCTGATGACATTCTTGTCGCCTGGGGGGAAGATGGTGGCCTGCATGTTGAAGGGGTAGGCCAGCAGTGGGTTGACCGTCGGGGGGCCCTGCAGCGGCCGGCGGATGCGCTGGTCGTAGTCGGAGTTCCAGAAGTAAAAGTTGGCGATTCCCTCGGGCGGCTCCACCTGGCACGGACTCACTGCCCCACCCTCGCCGCACTTGGCCATTGGACCCCCGCCCACCTGCTGCACTACGGCGGTCTTGCTGCTGCTGCCGTGGTTGTTGACACGGCACCTTGAGTTCTCGGGCTCGCCTGGGGCAGGGGGGGAGTCACACGACGGGCACTCGGCGGGGCAGCACAAGGCGAGCTTCTGCGCAGCGGGTGAGACGGCCGATGGCGAGTCGACGTCGATGCCAGTGAGATTGAGGACGCCCCCCGCTTTGAAGCAGTCGAGGTGCGATGGCGTGAGGGTCGGCACCTCAAACAAAGCCGACACCGTCTCGCCCACGTCTTTGCTTCTGTGCGTGAGCTGCGCCTCTATACGGTACCGGCCGGGCTTGAGCCGCGGACTCTTGTCGCATCCCTCGAGGGGTCCCTCGTCCAGCCCAAACCCCGTGTAGCCCTGCCTCCTCTCCCTCGCGCCACACAGCACAAAGGGCGACGGCCGGGCCATTCGGTAGACGACAGTGCCGGTATCGGTGTCAAGGCGCCAGACGGTGAAGGCCACCCGCCAGGCAAACTTGTCGGTGATGCCTGTGGTGTCCACCTCCGCAAATATGGTCCAGGGGTAGGCCAGCAAAGGGTTGACGTCGGGCGGCGGCAGCAGCGGGCGGTCAATCAGGCTGCCCTCGCCGGTGTCCGAGTCCACACGGGTGAAGAAGAGCGCCTTCACAGTGCGGTTAGGCTGTGCCTGGGATAATGCCTTGGCAGCGAAGAGCAGCACAAGGGTAGCTGCGGCCTTCATTTTCTGGCGGCGCCGGGGGCAGGAGGGAGGAGAAGGCACCTTATAAGGACAGCAATGGAAGGCTGAGCATACGGGGGAGTGGAGTTTGGCGTACAGAGAGGGCAGGCAGTGAGAGGCTGCCAAAGCAGTCAGTGCGCCGTCTTTTAGTAGCTGCTTGTATTACTATTTCGGATCAGCGATTTTCCCTGTGGCATCAGTCCTAGGTCGAGGAATAGGTGTAAGATTGTCAGTCAAATGAGGATAGGGCAATTGGATCCCCGGCGGCCATTAGAACTGACTGACAAGTGGCTCGGCGGCCCACTTGGTCTGTCTGTCTGTGGCGTCAAGTGACTGACGTGTGGGAAAGTGACGTTCACTCATCAGTCGGTCATGAGTCATCCAGCATGCACACGATGAGAGAGAGTCAGTCAAATCGCTCTTCTCCGCGTACGGGGGGGCGGATGGACACGTACATGCCATGCCATGAGTGCATTGTGTGGTTGGTGACAGTATTCTGTACCGTCATTCCACACCAGCTGGCAGCGGCACAACGCATACACACATCAACGGACGTGCACCTCCGCTTCTCACTCACGCAGAGCAGATAGCAGCTGGCTAGACCAGCAAGACACACACACACGGAGGCAAAGAGACAAAGAGAGCCTTAAGGTCTTAGACCCCTCTCCTTCCTTCCTCAGGCGCCATAACAACTAGGCTTTGAAAAGCAACCCGGACACCACCCCACACGCCTTCCTTCACGCCTCCCCGACGTTGGTCTTCTCGACTAGCCTCGGCTGCTCCGTCTTGGGCACTTCGGTGAGATCCTCCCCGTTGCTGTCGGCCTCCGCCCACCTCTGGACCATCTGCTCGACCACTTGTGGCACCTTGCCGAGGACGCCGTCGAGCATCTGGCCGTCCTTCCATATCTGCACCACCGGGACGCTGGTGATTCCCAGTGTGGTGAGGATGCGGCGGGTGGAGGCGCTGTCGGTGCCCTCGACCCAATACCACTCGACGTTGTCGTATTGGGACTGTTCGGCCATGTCTTTGAACTTGGGTTTGAAGTAGTGGCATGGCTTGGACCAGGCCATCGAGTGGCACACGCACTGCACCAGACCGCTGTTCTTCTTGGTGTCACTCATCACCTTGTCCTGAGGGAAGGAGGGAATGAGATGAGGCAGGCAGGCAGCCACACACACATACGAACGGAGAGTCACGAGTCTGTGTGAGTGTGCGGGAGAGGTCACCTGGAATTCATAAAAGTCGTCGACCTCCCTCAGTCCCCCTCCTCCCTGCAGCTCCATGGTCGTCTGCGGTTCGGCCAAGGCAGCAGTGGCCCTCAGTGACGATGATCTGTGTGCCCTCCTCTCAAGCAGGGATGGGGAAGACAGCAGAGGGGCGAAAGCAGAGAGGGGACGGAAACCTTGCACAGCGAATGCTTCCAGCTGCAGCAGCAGTAGCACCACCGCTGCTGCGATGAAAGAGCTGGGGAGAGCTGACGTTGATGGCTTCATTGGCAGGCAGATCAGGCCAAGAGGCGGGATGATCTCAGATGCTGATCACTGGGAAAGCAGCGGCCGTGTTGGACTCGTAGATTGGACGTGTGACCTCCCCTTTTTCTCGTCTGGGCTTCTGCGAGCTTTTTCCGATCGTTTCACAGGCATGTTAACAGGCTGGAAAATGGCGCAGCCGCCGCTGGCCGACGGTGGATTCCACAAGCAGTGGCTGCCCGAAGGAGTGCGCGAGAAAGGCAAGGAGATAACTCATGCGCTTCGTCAGTTGCTCCGCATCCCCTCTGCCCTGACGAGAGGCGTCGCGATGGGCCATTCATTCGAGGTCATCTGCACCCATGGCGAGTCAACGGCATCCGCCGTGGTGGATCTGAGCGGCTTGACCGACCAGGACTGCACCTATGACGCGGTTCTGAGTCGCTTCGAGAGAGCGTTTAACGTGCTGCTCAAGGCGATGAGGCGCAAGCAGATTGAGCTTACCCTCGAGGACTGTGCAGACGGGCCTCCACAACTATGGCTTAGCGAAGGTGCAGAGATGAATGAATGAGTGAATCAATGAGCTTTGCTGCTTGACTCGAGTGTGTGTGTGTGTGTGTGCAGCACGGCACGCCGCCAAGAAGATGGCCGAGGACGATGCTCACTCACCGTGGTTCGATGACGACGAGTCACCTGCCCTGCGTGTGAAGGGCGGCGAGCAGCCGCTGGGAAGGTCAGAGGGGCTGAGGCGGGGCGAGAGGCGGCGGGCACGTAAGAGGGCCTATGGCGAGCAACCCGACCAAGACGATGTGTGTGCGGATGGATCAGGTGGGTGCCGATGGGCTGACCAGTTTGGTCCGTGTGTTGACGTGCACCTCACCTCTCTCTGTCTCCCTCTGTGTGTGTGTGTGTGCGTGTGTGTGTGTGCAGGTGAGGATGGTGATGGTGATGACGATATGGATGTTGAGGAGAGCCACAGCCTGCTCGAGCGTATGGAGCGGCAGGCTAAACGCAAGCAAGAGATGAAGGGTAATGAGGGTGAGCAAGACAACTCCCTACACACTCACTCCCTCTCGCTACCGCAGGCCATCCCATCCTCCGTCCTTCCCTCCCTCAATTGTCTGTCTGTCTGCAGGTGTGCTGCTAGATGCGCAGATCGACAACGCGCACATTGACAATCGCAACGTCACGCAAGAGCAAAACGACCACGGTGGGTGCGCTGACTGAAGAGAACAGCACACACGTCGCCGCACACCACACGCCATGCCACCAAACGTTTCGCCACCGTCCCGGCTGGTTATACAGGTCACTTGCCCGACTACCAGCGGGCCTACCTGTACCAGTGCCTGGTCAACCCCGACTTCCGCGGCCTGGAGTCCATGGCGTCCTTCATGCCCCACACCAGCAAGAGCAACACGGTCGTGGCGACGGTTGGACCCTTCGCTGACTCAGAAGGGGAGCCATTCTACGTCTCCTGCGATGGTACAGTACACACGCTCACACACAGATTGACTGACGGGTGGTGGGGTGAGTGTGTTGTGAGTGGCTGGTTGGTTGGTCGGTTGCAGTGTGCTGTCGTCGGGGTTTCTACGACTTGAACGTTCTAAGCTACTGGGTGCGTCAGGTTGTGCATGACGGCCCACCCCACCACCACCTCAGCACATTCACCAAGCGGCGAGACGGCAGCAGAGTGCTCAAGTATCTCGTTGGACCAAAGACAGGTAGGTAGGTATGTGAGTGAGCACTTGTGAGCTGCCAACTTAACGGCACCCACCTAACCACTCACTCACGACTCCTCCTGGTCTGTCTATTGTGTGCAGCTGGTTTCTCTGCTTCTGCCTCGCCCCGTGTGGCGAGCGCTCCCCCCGCCCCCTCCATCCCCCCAATCCCACACGACCACCACGGCATGCCACACCCACCCAAGAAACTCAAGACAAAGAAGAAGAAACCACACGTCCAGACGCGGCAAGAGCAGCAGCAGCAGCAGCAGCACATGATGGCGGTCGACCGACCGCCCACTGTTTGCAGTGGCGATGCCAACGCCGACAGACACGGTGGCAATGGTGGGGGGCTTGGTGTGAGGGTCCCTCTGGGGCAGCTGAGTGTGTCTGAGGTGGTGCGTGTCCTGACACACCATCCCAGCGACACACTGCAACGGCTTGCCTCGCTCATCGGAAAGGTACATGCGTCAGTCAGCATGAAACAAACAAAAGACACACGAAGGCACCTTCGTGAACGGGTGTGTCTGCATGTCACTCACCATATTTAGGAGGAGCTGTGTGGCGACACTTTGGTGGGTTTGGCGGGCTGTTCGGACGACGACCTTCGTGTGAAGCTTGGCATCGCGGCGTACGGCAGCCGATACCAGCTGCTCAAGTGGATCACCGACGCCATCACACACGGGGTGAGCTGAGCGAGGCAGCTAGGCACACACAGAGGGAGAGGGAGAGGGACATACACCCCGTGTGTGTGTGCTGTGTGTGCAGGTGGAAGTGCCCCCTGAGTGAGTGAGTGAGTGAATGAGCAACTGACGGAGATCGACGGCAGTGGGTGGGTGGGTGTGCAGTGCAGTGTGCTGTTCAGCGATCCGTCCGTCCGTCGATCGTTGTGTTGAGAGTCAGTCCTGTGTGTGCCGTGGCATGGCACACTCCAGTTGTAAATATCAAGACAGTTAGTTGGAGCCGTTTGTGTTTCCTTCCTGCCAGGCAGGCCTGTGAAGAGACAGACAGACCGACCGACGGACCGACGCGAATCGCATCCACACCTACATGAAATGAATGCAGCCACTACTGACAGACAGACAGACAGACAGACCAAGTGGGCCGCCGAGCTAGAGTGGCCGGAATGAAAAATACATGTCAGTCAGAATGGCGGCCGGGGATATCACTTTCCTTCCCGCACCGTCAATCGAATCACTTGACGTCACTCACCGTCACGTCACATGGTCGGTCGAGTCACAAAAAGTCGTCTCGCATGTCACGTCACATCACACGCTCTCTGTACACGCACTCTCAAACAAACACATCTCATGACATGCATCACAATCAATTAAGGGACTGTCAGTTATCTACACCCACCCTTGCAAGCTTCACTAGGGTCGCGTCACTTCCTTGCGGGTGTCCTGCCTCTCCTGCCCTGGCCGTACCGAGCTCTCCAGTCGGCTGTCCACCTTTTGAAGCGCGACTCTGCCCTGCCGGCATTGGTCTTCAGCAGCGCGTCTAGGTCCTGCCGACGGGGCAAGTCGATGATGGGCCGCGCGCGGTACAGCCTACGGGCCAAGCCAGACGGATGGATGGATGGATGGACGCTATGCTAATTAATGTGGGTGCTGTGTTGTGCGTATCGTGACTGTCTGCCCGACTGACTGACCTCCAGTAGCCGTCCCCCACATAGCGGTAGTCGACCCGTGGGCCGGTCAGATAACTCACCTGCACACACACCCCCCCCCCCCACGATGGATGGCCGCGGTGTGCAATCACTCCCTCACTGCCTCACTTACCGCCAGGCCGCCCACAAAACCGCCCAGATGACCAAAATTGTCGATGCGCGAACCGGGAAGCAAACTGCATGACAAACAGAGAACGGCCTTTTGACAGGGCTGTTTGGGGTGGGGGGGATCTGTCCGTCGTACGGGTGCTGACTGACCCATATACGAAGATGAGCCCTACGGATTGGCAGAGGTCACGGAGCAGGCGATCACCGCTGCAGCCAGCCAGCCACCCAGCCAACCAAGCATACAAACGAACGAACGAATGAATGGACACGTCACGTGCATATGGTTCATTCTTCGCTTACGATTGGCCGAGTACGAGGCGGAACCGCAATGCATAGACGACCAAAGCGCCGACCAAACCCAGGACAGAGCCGGAGGCGCCCAGGCTGGGAATAGCGGCCCGTGCCCCACCAGCCACCCCAGACGTGACGAACGACCGACCACTGGCGCTGCCTGGGCTCAGGTTCGCCAGCCCCTTGATGCCGACACTCCGGGTGAAGCTGAGCAGATTGCCCGCCACACCCGCGATGAGGTAGATGAGGAAGAAGCGGCTCCAGCCGTAGACCGCCTCTACGAACGGCCCCACATTGCTGAGGGACGTGTCGTTCATCATCAGGTGGAACAGGTCGGCGTGGAGGAATATGGGCGTGAAGAGCCGGTGCCACTCGCCCACCAGCAGCTTGGTGTCCAGCTTGGCCCCCGCCTCGTTGAGGGCGTTGCCCCACATGGCGTTGATGACAAACACCACCACGTTGAGCCAATACAGCAACACACTGGGCGACAGCTGGGACGGCGGCATCCGCATAAAGCCAGCGGGGGACGCCGCCCTCGCTTGCAGACACGTGCTCATGGCGCCGGCAGCCAACAAGGGATACACTGCACTCATCAGAGAAGCCAACCTGTTGCCTGAGTGGCCCTCCTGGGGTGGCTCAGGGGGGGCCTCTGCTTCAATGGTGGCTGACCGTCCCGCAAGTGCCAGCTCTGCCTCCTGCTCGGCACCGACTCCATCAGTATCCGCCGACAAGCTGGTTGGTGGGACTGGCGGCTCACCGCCGTCACCACAGTTGAATCCGCCATGGCCAGAGAGCCGGGTGGGAGGGACGGGCTGTGACAGATGGGGTGCAGGTGGCTGACGGCTCAGCCAGGGCGGGATAAGTCTGGACAGAAGGTGGTTGTGGCGCCCGCCGTTTGCCTTCATCGACACCTGCAGCAGCGGAAGGGCAGCCCTGCGTTCCGCACCGATTGTTGACGGCACGGGCCCGGTGATGAACAGGGGAAGGCCACTGCTTCTGACACACGACACACGACACACATACGCACATGCAGACGCGTCACAAGCAGGACCAGCTCAATGCTCATCTGCTGCTTCCTCACCTCTTGACATTCACGCTCTGCACAGCCACGGATAGCGTTGCCGCGTTCATCAGCAGCGGCATGCTGCCGATAAGGGGAAGCGGCTTCATTTCCAGACAGGGGAAGCCGACACGAGATGAATAGTCTCCAGCAAGATCTTGAAACAGATGGATCTCCTACGGATCAAAGTCCCCTCATCCTCACGCAGTGAGAATCCGGCTCGCAGATCCGCCCCCGTCTGGCCCCCAGTCTCATTCATTCATTCATTCATTTGGCAGAGAGAACCCGCGGAAATGGCGAGGTTTGTGGCGGCAGTCGTCCTCCCAGCGTCCTGCATTCACTTTGCCTGCATCCTCCTGCCCTTTCAGCCATCGATCGCCCATGACCTGTCTGGCAGTGCAACCGAGCCAACTGCCAGCTTTGCAGAGGCGGCAGTGAGGCGGCAGTGTCTCGCCAAGCGTCTCCCCCACCCAGTGGTGTCCCCGATGGGACGCCTGAACCACCAGCCGACCTCCTGGGCAAAGCTGCCGCCTTCCATTCCGCGGCCGCCCCCTTCCACACACGGGTCCACGACTGGGTCACTGGCTACTTCAAGGGTCTGGGAGCCAGGATGGAGACGGCTCTCAAAGCGAAAGCTGTCGAGGGCCTCGAGCTCGTGGCTGACGAGGCCGTCAAGAGGGCCTTTGCCAACCACACCCTTGCCGGCCAGGGACTCTCGTGCGACACGAAGGGGAAGAAGCAGAAGGGCGGGATGGTCGGGATGCTGAGCGACATCTTCGTCGGCGCCAAAGCCGGACTGGCTGGCAAAGCTGCGGGGCCAGCTGGAGTGCACCATCGAATCGAAACTGCCGGTAACGGAGAAGGAGGCCGAAAGGCAAAAGATCAATTTGAAAGCCGTGGCCACGGTGGCGTGGGGGGACGGATCTGACCGGGAGACCATCATGGGGCTGAGGAAAGCCATGACGACGTACTTCAACAAGAGACTCTGGATGGTACAGGAAGAGTCTTTTGTAACAACAAGTGTCCCACAGACATGACCTCTTCCTTCAGGACACTCTGTGGGAGATAGAGTACTGGAAGGATGGAGATGCCGCCTACGCCGAGGTCAAGAGAGACGCATCCCTCGAACTGATCGACGTCATGGTCCTGTACGGCAGGGTAAAGAACCAGCCAACACCAGCGGCGGCTCTGCAGCCATGTCTCTTCTTCTTCGTCCTTTGGGCGTGCCTGCACAACCTGTGGCAAGAGCTGGGTCACAGGTTGGTGGCGAAGGACCCATCGAGCCCCGAGTGGAAGCAGATACTTGAGGCATATTTCGACTCAACTCTCCTCCAGTTCTTCGACCGCTTCAAGACCTCGATGAACATGAAGATCAACAGTCAATACGAGCGTGCCACGGACAGAGAGGCCTTCAAGAAGGCTGGTTACGAGTTGCTCACCGTGGGCAGCGTGGACGAGACCACCACGGCCGAGATCTATGCGATGGAGGAGACCATCTGGCAGAAGCTACACCAACCGACAAACAGGAGACCTCGAGCCATTTTGTGATGTTTCCCCCACACGATAACTGTGTCTCTGTGTGTGGCGGGTGCATACACGCAGATCAAGGCTCTGAGCAACTTTGCACATGTGAGAACGTCCCGAAGGGAAGTGGGAAGCTGCTCATTTGAAATGCGTCGAGTGCTTCGACCATACATGAGCGCAGGGTAAGCTCAAGCACTCCAAGAAGAAGAAGTGGCACGTCGGCAAAGTGGCTGGCAGTATGGTCATCGATCGACTTCTTGAGGACCTCGCGATCACAGAAGTGAGCCCAGCAATCCATCCGCCATATCCATGCGTCTGTTTGTCTCGTACCATCTTCTTCTCTCCAGATGAAAAGTGACCCGAAAGAGAAGAGGGAGCACAAGCTGTTCCTCAGCTACACGGCCCAGCGACCCGCGGCGATTTTGGAGGCCTACGAGGTCATGGGGAGATTCAAGGCCGTCATGAAGGTTCTCTTCAGCGTATTGGAGCCGACAGAGAAAGCATCACAGACGGGTACGTATGCGGGAAGGAGAAGGAAGGAACCGTGTGGAGGCAGTCTCGGTGTTGTGTGATTATCAGATCCTATGGAAATGGTGCTGGCCTCTGACGAGACCACAAAAGCACGACAGAAGTCCATCGAGGCAATATCCACGTCTGTCGACCCCAGAGTGCCAGTGCAGAAACTGAAAGAGGCACTGTCGCGCTTTGTGGGTCACATGAAAGCCAGCTGGGGCGGGCTACGAGATGACATCTACTTGGTGGAGGGCCCAACGTGGTTTGGGCTGTTCAAAAAGGAGAGCGCTCCGAAGGCCGAGGACATGCCCGTGTTCAAGGTAAAGCGTGAGACGCCGCTTCACAAGGTGCCAGATCTGACAAAGGGCCTGACTGATTGGACGGGGACGCTGCTGACGCTTGCACACATCCTCTGGAACACACTCCTGACAGACTACGGTAACAAACACTTACATGTATCAACACACATATGAGGTCTTCATTCGTGTGTCGGCGTCATGCTGTCCTGCAGCGACGCTCCACCCGACCAACACGGAGAGCCGCGGATTCGCCATTGTCCTCAACGACGACGCCCAGAAAGAGGGGGGCTTTAGGAGTATTTCCATGGAGGAGTGGAGGAAGCTGTCCCCGATCGTGGTCAGCATGGGTGCGGCCATCCAGCAAACTGTCGACAAGCTGACCACTCTGCTGCATGCAAGGGGGCTGTAGATTCGCGGGCCTCCTCGGCCTGGGCCACCCAACATATGGATGGATGGAACAAATCAAAGCACTTTCTTTGTCTGAGTTCGGCTGTTCATGAGACGCCGGCCCGTCGATGGAGACACTCACTTATCGTATCCACTCAGTGTGTCTGTCTGTCTGTCTCTGTTTGTCGCTCGTTGCTGCCGACTCACTCACTGACTCATTGCACTGCCATGGCTGCTGCTGCTGCTGCAAGTTGCTGTGGTTTGTGTGTCGGCAGCGCCCCGACGGTCACTTTGGGTTTTCCCTCCTCGTCAGCCTCCACACGCACGTTGAGCGCACTCTGACAAGATAGACACAGAGAGAGGCACACATACATGCATGAGATACGTGTCTCTCTCTGTGTGGTGTGTTGGCGTGTGGGAGTGGAGTATGATGCCTTTTGCTGTTTGTGTTGGATGGTCTCCTCGGGAATGGCGGCCGAAACCGTCTTGTTACCAGCGCTCTCCAACTTGGCTTCCTCTGACACACACACAGCCAGCCATGCGCTGTGTGTCATGTGTGCTGGGCTGCATTGGTTGCCTGTCTTGGCTGCGTCGACTGACGACAGAATTGCGACGATGCCATAGTTTTCGCACGCCCACGCCTCAGTCAGCGCATCCATCCACGCGTCGCGCTGATTGACACATGAATGACCAGCACACACACATCGATGTGTCCACTTTAGACATGCATTTGTGTGTGTGTTTGTGTGTGCGTGTGTTTTTGTACGCTTCCTGTGTCGTGTGTGCAGATTCCCTGCCTCTCGCCCATGTAATCGATCTCGAAACACTTGTGCGTGTCGGGCAAAGTCTGACACACACACACTCAGACAGAGCTCTGTCTGTCCATGTGTGTGTCGGTGTGCGATGACCTGGATGGGCATGTTGATGATGCCGGTTTGGTATCTGACGACCGGCTCTTTGCGTCGATACAAAGCGAACTCGCCGTCACGCAGCTCGGCACTGACCTGCACTCACAATCTGATCTGTCCTCCCTCTGTTTGCCTTAATATATTGTGTGTCTGATCGACTGACTGACATCGATGTGTCTTCGTGTGGTGTCTGGGTTGGCGAGGAGTCTGACTTTGCCGAGTCTGCTCATGGGGCACAATGGCGGCGGGCGACGGCCGCTCTCGACCGATGACAACGACACAGATATCGCAGACGCCTCGGCTGCACATACACAGAGTGAGTGTGTGTATCGAGACACAAGCAGTGAGAGCACATGGACAGCAGAGTCCGTCTGTCTGTCTGTCTGTCTTCTGTACATTTCTTGTCGCATGCCTTCTTGAGTTCCTCCTTGGCAGACGACAAGTCTACAACACACAAAGACACACCATAAAGAGACACAGACAGACATACCCTTCCATCCATGTGTCCTGCATATGTCTGCAGCTGATGGAGTGTTGCGTGTAATGTATGCTTGCCTTCCTTTGCCTGTTTGTGTGCGTGTCGTTTTCTGCGGCACGCCTCGACGAGCGTCCGCCTGTCGCCCCCGCTGGCGGCGAGTGCCGGCATGTGTGTGCCGTCGATCAGCGGCTTGATGCTGTTGTCGGCCTCGCTGGCCGTGCGGATGAGTCGTAGAGCGACGTCCGTCGACCTGTGTGCGGCCTCGACCGCATTGGCGCGCCGCACTCTCTGCTCGGCCACGTAGACGTCTCGACGCAGGTCGGACGCGTCTGCCGCCAACTCATCATAGTCACCACCACCTGCAGGCGGCGGGGTGGCATAGCTGTCGTGGCTCAGCTCGCGGCCGTGGCATGTGGCGCGGGGATGGGCCAGCAGAGCTAGCAGCAGGAAGGGCAGCAGCAGCAGAGGGACACGGGAAAGAGTCACCAACCGACACACCATCATCGATGGATGAACGGATCGATGGATGAATGGATGATGCTCGCGCGTGTGCGTGTGTGTGTTTCGGTCGGTCGCGAGACAATCAATCGATCATGCGGCGTGGCGTCTCTTCATGTATGTCTCTGCTTATGTCTGTGTCTCTCTGGTTTCCATCTGACGTTTGATTGTGTCTTTCTGCCAGTCAGTCACTCAATTACTCATGCATTCACGGATCGTTTATCGACGTCGACGAAAGCTGTACAGATGGATGTCACACTACTACTCAGATGTCTGCCCGGCCAGCCTTGGAGAGATCTTCCCAGCCACCCATCGAAGGTCATCCGGCAGAGGCGCCTCAAATCGCATTGCTTCGCCAGACATCGGATGCGTCAGCTCGAGCCTCTGCGCGTGAAGCAGCGGATGCACATGCCACTCGCCCGATGATGGTGACACTTCGCTGCCGTCCGCCTCTGCTGTCTCATCACCAACGGCCTCCGCTTCTCCTCCGTCATCGCGCAGATGAGGTGGGATGTCGTCCACACCGAAGAAGGTCCGCGGCCCATCCTGCTCATCGAAGATGCCCCCGATAGTCCCAGCCCTCTGCCCCCGCTTCCCCCTCCTCTTGAGGTTCTGTCGGTCGAGCGCCCTTGCCAATCGCCTGTTCCAGTCGGCATTGCCGTACGTCTCGTCGCCCAGCACGGGGCAGCCGATGTGCTGCAGATGAACCCGAATCTGGTGTGTGCGACCGGTGCGAATGTCCACTTCAACCACACTCAGCCGCCCGTCCGTCGCGATAGTGCGCACCTCTGATTCGGCGGGGCGGGCAACACGCAGCAGCGCCTCGACGCGGGGAGACTGTCCGACGATTGTCACAGGGCTTGAGGACTTGCTGACAGGTTCGCGGAGTGATGGGTCTCTGACAGCCGTCATCTTGTGCCTCTGCGTCGGATGCCGCGCGATTGGCACGTCGATGCTCTGTGTGCCGGGATTGCCGACAGACACAGCGACGTACGTCTTGTTGACAAGTCGGTCGGCGAACTGTTGCGACAGGTGGGCCTGCGCCTGCTTAGTTTTGGCGACCACCAGCACGCCAGTCGAGCCCTTGTCCAGCCGATGCACCACGCCAGGACGAAACCGGAGAGGCAGCAGTTCAGCCGAGTCGATCACCGCAGATTCGGCCGACTCGAACAGGGGCGGCAAGGACAAATGGAAGTGGTGCATGAGTGCGTTGATGACGGTGCCGTTCCACGAGCCTGGGGCGGGATGGACGATCAGGTCCGCCTGTTTGTTGATCACAACGAGGCTGTCGTCCTCGTAGAGAATGCTGAGAGGGATGGGCTCGGCCGTAAGCGTCCATTCGTCGGGCAGCAGCTCGTTGGAGGACGGCTCAGTCGTGCCCCCGAGCTCCACCGTGACCGTCTGCCCCTCTTCCACCTTCGCGCTCTTGCGCGCTGGTCGGCCGTCGACGAAAACCTTCTGGTCTTGACACAGCTGGCCCAGGTAGGAGCGTGAGAAGCGGGGAAAGTGGTCCGAAAGGAAGCGGTCAAGCCGCACGCCAGCATCACTCGCTTCAACAGCTAATGTGTGCACTTGCTCCGCCGACAGATCCCGGCTCTCGTCAGGCAGCGATTCATCTTCTAGATCATCGCCGACACCATTCGCCTCCCACTGGGCGATGAGGGCATCCAGATCCACATCCTTGTAGACAAGAGCTTCTCGCGAGGCAGGTGGAGGCCTCGGCATAGAACCGCGGTGCGTCCGGCCAAACAGGAGGGAGCGGACGAATGACCGACGGGGGGAAACCACGTGAGAGGGAGGAATAAACAAGGGCTGGCGGCATCTGCATGACACAGACAACCATGCAGCGGTGCCCGTGATTCGTGCCTCAGGCTTACCGTGACAGCATGACGCTGAAGGCGTTGAAGATCCACATCCACAGCAGCGTTGCATGCACAAGTAGCGACGGCATTGTGCCCAATGAATGCCCTGCCCTCATCGCTCCGAGATAAGCAGAAGATCCCGTCTTGCCCTTTTCTTCGTGCAGTCACAGCCGCAGCGGTTTCACGCAGCACCCTAGGCGATCTGACAGCCAAGCCCTCCTAGGGTGCTTCCCATGAGGCAGCACGGTACGACAGAGGCCAGCCACATTGGCTATACGCATATCCTTATGTGTCGTGGGCCCCTCTTGCTGTCAGGATTTGGACGACGCATGCATTGCTTGCCCATACTTACTCGTAATATGAATGAATAAATGTGGAATAAACAGACACACAAGTATGTACAGCAAATGAATGTCCCTCCACGCTAGTGTTTCTCAATCAAACGGCCACCCACACAGATACGTATACGCAACCCGTGCATCCATCCATCCAGCCGGCCGTCCCTCCCTCCTCACTCACTGGTTTGCCCTCTGCCGCCGCTTCAACCTCTCCACCAGCGACAACCCACCCCCACCACCCCCAGCCTCACCCACACCACCCGCACCTACACTGCCGCCATCGTCCCCGCCTGACCCACCCGCACACTCCTGGCTACCGCATGGGCCCCCCATCCCACCACCACCACGGCCATCCAGCTGCCCATCCAGCTGCTGCCCCTGCAACTCCTCGCTCTTCTCGAGGTCGATCACCTGAGGCCCCTCGTCGGCAGCCTTCTTCTTCCTTCTCCTGGGGCCCTCGCGTGCAGATGCCGACGGGAGAGGGGGATGATCGCCTCTGTCGCGGTCGTCATCGTCATCAATATGGGCCTCCTGTGCCTGCATGTGGGTCTGCAGGTGCTGGTTGAGCAGGTGGGCGGCCCGCTGGAGGCTGGATGTGTACGTGGAGGGGTCGGGGAAGATCATGCCAGGGAAGCGAACATCGCCAGTCTGCAGGTCGATGACGCACGCGTCCATCGGCGTGTCGTCCGCCTTGGCTGCTGCTGCTGCCTTCTTGGCCCGCGGGACCTTTGGCGGCCTGCCGACGGGCTGTTTGGCTGTTGGCTTGGCCTTTGGGCGGCCCCTCTTCTTCTTGGCGAGGCCCATCGGTCCTTTGCCCCTGCCGCCCCTGCCGCCCTCCCCGCCACTGCTGTCGCACTCCTTGTCCTCCTCACTGCCGTTGTTGTCGTCGTGGCTGTCGTCTTCATCTGAGTCATCCTCCTCGTCATCGTCGTCATCGTCTCCTTGTGTGGGGCGGTTGGGCTCGAAGATTGTCGCCGAACGGACAAACTGATCGAGCAACGAAAAAGGCGAACAGAGAGGAACGTGTTGTGCGCGTCCGGTAGGCGTCGTCTGTCCATTTGTGAGTCGATACCTCTGCCCACGCGACAGGCTCGAAACACACGGGGCACTGACCTTCACAGACACATCAAAACAGCAAAGCCAAGTCCGCTGCCCTCCCTCTCCTGCCTCCGCGACCGAACCGACCTCTGTCAGGCAGGAGTTTGGTCGGCTTGGCTTTGGGCATGTCTGCGTCAGGCTGTGATGGCGGGGACGCGTCCTGTGAGAGGGATATGGGCGTGGGGCGACGCTGCAGGGAGGAGGAACTGTCTGACGGGGAGGGGGACTCGAGGAAGGTCTGACCCAGACAGGGGGAAAGCACAGAAGGCAGGCATCTGTGTGTGTGAGGCTCTGCAGTGTGGTGGAGTGGTCGTATGCGTGTGCGGTGTACCCACCTACCTTGGCAGCGCAGACAACGTGGAATCGTGTGCGGCAGCTGGGACACCGAACCATGCGATCCTGACACACACTTGTCTGCTCTGTTCTGGTTTTGTCCTTGTGTGTATCCCTCCACACCTTCTCGGCAAATAGTGCGTTGCATTCGCCGCAGCTAAGCGGTTGACCCTCATCCATGTCGTCGTCATTATCGCACACTGATCCACACGCACACGCACACACACACACACGGATGCAGCTGCACACACCCATTCGTCCATCCATCCATTATGCTCAGCCCACCTTGGCTGCCCTTCTTGACTGGCAGGTCGTCGAATCCGCCGTGGACTATCTTGATGTGTGTGGGTATCTCCGTCGCCGTCTGCAGCCGCGGCAGCAGCGTCCCATACGCCTCGGCGTCCAAGAAATGCACCTGCTCACATCAAGAAAATCGCCCAGCTGCGTGTGTCTGACAATCTGTGTGTTTGTGTGGTGGCTGAGTGATCGATGTGCCTACCTGCAGCGGCATTCTAGCCCATGGTTGGCATCTGAGCATCCTGAAGACCACCTCAAGGTTCTGCACCACCGTGCGAGGCTTCTGACGACCCCGCTTCGTCACCTCACTGAGGCTCACACACACACACACACACTCACCAGACACGTGCACTGACTGTCATCGCTGACTGGCCGACCAGTATGAGAGGTCGGCCACTGCGTCACGCGACAGGCGGCACACAGCAGGATGCTGCCCTAAACAGACACACACGCAGACAAACACTGCAGCCATCGACAAGCGTCCTTTTGACTTGGCGCCTTTCCTTTCCGCTTACTTACAGGCCCATTCGAACTGCAGTGCAGCGATCTTGTTTGGGAAGCCCCACACACACACAATCATCTTCCAGGGACGCCACCGCCGCGTCTTGCGAGCACCTGATGAGATCACCACACACACACGCACGCCGACAACGCACACAACCAAAGGTGTACTGACTCGCACCGACAGTGCCAGGAAGGCTCAAGTGCGAGAGGGAACAGACGTCATCGGCAGTGTGGCGTACCTACCTGCTTTGATCTCGCCGTTGTGCTGCCTGATGCGCCGCCCGGGGTTGCATGTGAAGCCGACGTATGTCGTCTGCTTCCTCGTGACCGAATTGATGAGGTAGCACCCGAAGAATGAGCCAACCATGGGACGCCAAAGGGCTCGCTTGAAGAAACCCTGAGCCCTAAGAAAACCCTGAACCCTAAGCAAAAGAGACGACAGACGGTTTTCGTGCGACAGACGGTTTTCGTGCGGCATTAAAGGTGCCGTTTGAGCAGCTGTCTTCCGGCGCATGCTTCGGGAAGAGCTACCAGGGCAGCTGCGAAGCACTGTTCCACCCACAGCGATTCTCCACACAGGTGACACACGACAACGCACACACACAGTCAAAATGCTTCCATGTGTTTGTGTGTGCAGGACAAGAAGGACTGGGAGCGGCGGTGCTGTGCATACTGGCCGAAGCTAGTCGAGGAGCCGGCAGCTCGAGAAGCCAAGAAAGAGATCACGAAGCCGCTGGTCGAGCGGGAGAGGAAGCCAACTGCACTCCGAGGGCCGAGTGGACCAGTCGATTTTCGAGGACTCACAGGTGGCAGGTCTGTGAGGACAACATCAGGATGACTACCGACCGAAGCGGAAAGGTATGAAACTCACCGCGGTGCATTACGTTCGGAGAGATCTGCATTTGATTGTATTTCAGAGGCTGAGGCTCGGTTGATGCTGTGGGTGTTCTGGACCATGGCGCTTGCTCATCGTGTGCCGATTTTCGTGCATCGTGGTGCCGGATGCAGCGCCTGTGGAGGTGCCAGTAGCATTCCCGAGAACTCGCTTCCTGCCTTCAAACATGCCATCGAGAAGGGCGCCGAAGGCGCCGAGCTGGACTGCTGGCTCACAGCAGACGGGGTAGGCAAACCAGGATCGATGGCATGGTACTTACACTCTTTGTCTGTCTGTCTGTCTGTGGGTGTGTCGTTTGCCTTTGTCAGGAGGTTGTGGTGGTGCATGGGTGCGGCAGCGAGTCAGAAGGTTTCTTCTTTGATACCGTCACCAATGGGTACAACGACGATGGGTCGCCCATGCGCCTGCAGACTGCCTCGTTCAAAGACCTCACCAACAATGGACACACCGACCTGTAAACAACAGACGCACACAACTAGGAGGACCAGGCACGTCGATAGTCCGAGGTTGTCCATCTGTCAGGCGGATGCCGTGGATCAGTCTGGCTGTTTCGCAAGGCGAGGACAGGGCCGCTGCACTCCGCCGCTATGCTGAGGCCTCCAAGGCCGAGAAGGCCAGCATGATGGACCTATACAACCACACGAGCACCCCCTGCAGTCCGCTGGCCAATCTCCCTCTGCTCCAGGAGGTGCTGCAGCTGTGTGGCGGCCGACTCAAGCTCAATGTCGAGCTCAAAGGCGTCAACCCGTCTCTTGGCGCGCGAGTGATCGACCTCATGAGCAAGTACCCCGGAATCGTTGAGAGAATCAGCACGTTCCAGTGGACGCCTCAGTCGGATGTGGATCTGCTGGCACCGATACGTGCAAGGGCCAAGGAAGAGGGCGTGGCGTTGGCGCTGCTATTCAATGGCCTGCCGTCGGTCGATGACGCAGTGGGGTGGCTCGACGCCTACGACAGTGAGTGGGCCCATGTGTCCCAGCGCGCGTGGAGGCGGCTGGGGGAGGGTCAGGGGGGATCAGGAGCCGCGGCCGAGGCTAAGTGGCGTGAGTGGGTGGATGGGATGCACTCGAGGGGCAAGAGGGTCATGACCTGGTGGGGGTCCAAGGGCGATGACCTAGCTGAGGACGTGCAGAGGAGCCTGCGGTGTGGCGTGGATGCCATCTGCCCAAATGATGTGGACCTGGCCATCAAAGTGAGACGGTGAGAAGGGCCAGCATGATGCACCCCATGATCTCTCTCTTCTCTTATATGATTTATTTGTGTGTGTGTGTGTGTGTGTGTGCTTCCAGTGAGTGGGAGTCATCACCTTGATGTCAGCAAGGACGATGTCCGTGCATATGTAGCTACTTTTCGACGCATACGTGTCCGATGAGACTTGGACAGACGGACACGTACGTATGCATGATGGATGATGGATGCACTATGGACGCGAAAGGTCATGTGTGTGCATCAAGATCCATTCAATCTCTCAGTCCGGATTGCCAGTTTCTGAGTGTCCGTGTGTCTCTGTGTCTGTCAGCCGTGCTGTCCCGTCAGTCTGTCAGTCTGTCAGTCTGTGTGGCTTGGCTTGCCTGGCCTCACTGCACCGGGATGATCATTCCTCGAAAATCGACTGGTCCACTCGGCCCTCGGAGTGCGGTTGGCATCCTCTCCCGCTCGACCAGCGGCTTCGTGATCTCGAGCTTGGCTTCTCGAGCTGCTCGAGCTTGGCTTCTCGAGCTGCCGGCTCCTCGACTAGCTTTGGCCAGTATGTGCAGCACCGAAATTCCCAGTCCTTCTTGTCCTACGCGCACAAACACATGGAAGCATTTTGCAAGGAGGCCATCGATGGATTGACTGTGTGTGTGCGTTGTCGTGTGTCACCTGTGTGGAAAATCGCTGTGGGTGGAACAGTGCTTCGCAGCTGCCCTGGTAGTTCTTCCCGAAGCATGCGCCGGAAGACAACTGCTCAAACGGCACCTTTAATGCCACACAAACATGCATTGAAACGGGGATGGAGGGAGGGAGACACATGGATATGGCTTAGTCTTACTTACAGGGCAGTTCTCAGTGTAGTTTCTGGCGTAGTGCGGCAGCTCACACTTGGTGACGGGTGGTAGACTCGCCTCTTTTTGGATGTTGGCCTGGAGCTTTTCCTCGTCCTAATGATTGATCGACCCACCGATCGATTGGTCAACCATCACACAGACAGAGGAGCCACTTGTGTGTGGTGTATTGTGTCTTGTCTTGTCTTGTGGCTCACTCGGAAAGTTGCTGCACGGCCTTAACGATGCCGCCTGAATCAAGAGACAGACACACAGCGATAGATACAAACATGCACCAGGCAGACCGGCCGCTCATGACTCTGGGTTGGCAGCTGGTTGGTGATGCGTTTGAAGCTCTGAGCGGCGTTCTTCATCTCCGTCGACTGGCCGAAGAAGGCATCAAAGATGTCCTTGATTGGGTTGGGAATCTCTGGAAGAAAGACGCAGACAGACACACATGAAAATGGGCCTCAGTGTGTGTATGCTGTACTGAGGCCAGGTATGCCCGGGATGAGTCGCGACGACTGAGACACGGACAGTGACGTCGACATACAGTCGCCGCACGACAACAGACAGGCCAGAGCAAACACAATGGCTGCGACGTGATGCATTGTGACAAGCTGCTGCTGCGCGTCTCTGGTCAACGGATGAATGACTGACTTTTGTATGGTCGTACGTACAAATGTTCATTCATTCATTCATTTATTGATTCACTTGATGAAATCGATCGAAGCACCTCTTCTATCTTGATTGTCTCGATCGAGGGTGACGGACAGGATGAAGTGATTCAACAAATCCACACGACACAGTCTCCCATACACAAAGAGGCCACACACATCCGTGAATAAAAGGGGTCCATCAGCTGGCCGTCAACACGCGATCGATAAATCACACACACACCACCACACACCACACACACATGCCTCTCGCTACACATACTTCATGACCTGCCGAGAACAGGTGTGGCACAAGTTGTTCTGCGCCGCCTGCCTGAGGGCCCCCTGCTTCAGCCGTATCTTGTTCAGCTCCGCTGCCTGCTTCCCCATAGCTGAGTTCGCCTGATCGAGCTCGTTGGACGAGCTGACAAACAGCTCCATAATGTCCATCACGAAGGCGAACGGCAGCGACTGCATGGCCTCTCGCCTGGCGTCGGCCTCCATGTCCTTGAGCTTCTCTTTGAGAGCTCTGGCGAGGGCCGCCTTGGGGAACAACGGACTGTCGAGCAGATCTGGCTTGAGCCTGAGCAGGAAGGCCACGGTGTTGACAGGGAGGCGGTCTGTGTGCTCCAACAACACGCTGAGGATCGCCTCGACGTGCTTGTCCATCGACAAAAAGGCACACATCTCGAACAAGTACAGCAGGCCATCCTTCCTGCCATCGCTGCCATCGCTCTTGCTGTCGGAATGCTCACCAGGCACCTGGTCAGCGAACACATACAGTCATCGTACAGCCACAAGCGTGTGTATGCCATGTGTGTGCGACTCGGCTGACCTCCAGAGCGTTGTCCCGGTCCCTTAGCATGGCAATATGCTTGCGTAGAAGCGTTTCGTCGCGGAGATCCCCCATCGATGCGAGGACAGGAAAGTGTCTGAAGGTCTCCGGGTGGACGGTGGAGAGAGTTAAAGTATCTGAGGCGCCTTCAGTGAATGCAACGTCATCACGGTCTCGCAGCGCCGCATCGAAGAAGGAGCTGTGCCTTCTGAGCAAAGACTGCAACGCACACAACAGAACCACCCATAGAACAAACACAGAACAGCGCGTATGAGGATGGAGCGCTCGCGCGTGTTTGCCCTTGGTCACATTTTTCTCGTTGAAAGCCTCTGTACTGCCGTCCCTGCCTACCACAACCCTGACAAGACCATCCACAGCAGCAGACGGTTCCTCGGCCATTGCGGAAAGCGATGCTTGCAGTCACGAGATGAACATGGAGATGAATCAGGAAGGCACGACGGTGTAGATCTTGCTCAACCGACAGCAGTTCGTGGAGATCTGGCCGCCGAGGACCTCTGCCGCACGAAGGACGCGAGCCTCGAGTCGACCGGAGACTGGTGGGCCCCCCCTGAGCTCCTTCACCCCCCCCCGCAGTATGACTTCCGCGGCACACATCGCCTACATGGAGAGTAAGACCAGGACGCTTGCAGACATCAGCCTTGTCGAGGATTCGTCGGAGCCCGTCGACTCACAGCCCCTCTCCAGACGCTCACCTCCAGTCAGCCCTCGACGTGACGCCACAGCCGCCACATCCACCGAGGGACCAAAGGGACCACATGCGGCACAACAAAGCCGGAAATCGACGCGTCGCAGTCCTGAGAACGATCGCCAAGGGGAATCCGATGTTTCGAGAGCGAAAAAGGCCTCTGCCCGCAAGGCGCAGGCCCCAGCAGCAGCGGACACGAAGAAGGCAACGACCATGAGAAGCACGAGGGGCCGGCCGGCTGCTGCCGACCTGCTGGAGAAGCACCTACACACATTATCCAGCGCTACATTTGCGTCGTCAGCGGCGAGTCAGAAGCTGCCCATACTAAAGGAGATGGAGGGCACGGCGGCCAAGGGGCAACCCACAGGCGATATATCATACCGGAAGGAGCGGCCCCACTTCCTCACGCCCCGGCTGCCCGCCTCTCTCATCCCCCAAGGCGACCGCGTCACAGAGGCCTCTCTGTTCCCATCCAGAGGAGCAACCTATCGTGAGACTGACCAGAAGTGGCACACTGTGGTCTTTCCCTCTGGCAAGCCGTCCAGCCGTGCCGACGCCGTGTTTCTGGACCAGTGGGTGAGCGGGACGATTGAGAAGTATGCGCTGCGCCTGAGTCGCAAGGAGGACCTTTTTGAGGCTGTGGAGAACTTGCTGCCGATCTTGTCTATCGGGCTGCATGAGTTGGTGCGGCAGGTGACGCACCACTGTCTGGAGAGGGGCATGGTGTTGGAGAAGATATGGCGGACCTATGTGGAGCTGTTCGACCGTGTGCTCAGTGAGCTCAAGGCCTCCGTGGCCCACCACCAGGCCCGCACAGAGACCATCAAGGAAGAGTTGGATGCCACGCACAAGGAGCTCATCGACATGAGGAGACAGCACCCCAGACAGATGCAGCAACTCATCACCACACTCGAAAGGTCAGGCAGGCAGAAGACACACAGAGCACCAAACTGATGTCTCCTGTCTCTTTGCCTGTCTGTCTGTCTGTCTGCCTGCAGCAAGTTTTCGGAGCGTCAGTCAGAGTTGGAGGACCAGCTGCGTTTCCGCGAGGCCGAGTCGATCGCCGTGTCCACCCAGCTGCGTGAGCTGCAGGGCGAAATCGAGACATTCTTCCCTCTGTTCCGCCACTACCGATCCACCAGCCTCAAGCCCCTCCTGGCCGCCCTACCGATCCCACACGTGCACGACAATGTGGCCGCTGAGGTCGCCATTGCCGACGACTTCAAACGCATTCTGGGGGCACTCCCCATCGAGAAAAGGAAGAAGATCGGCGCTCTCACGTATACTCTCCTCGGCCTGACTCGGGCGGCCCAACAATCTGGCAATGCCGAGGACAGCGCGGCTGTCCGTGAGTTGCAGGCGCGCCATGACCGGCTGAAGGAGGAGAACAGTTCCCTTCGGCAAGAGGTGCGAGACATGCAGAGGGTGCTGCGAGAGATACAACACAAGACGGCCGACATGGACGATGACCAAGAGAGTGCGCCCAGGCTGCACACAGGACCGAGCCGCTCAAAGCTGAGCGCCGCCGCATCACAGTCAAGGGGCGCACTCGATGCCTAAACGCTATATATTTTCTCTCGGGTGGGTGCGGTGCACGTGTCTGTCTGTGTTGAGGGGAGGGGAGGGGAGGGGAGGGGCGCTCTCAGAGAGCCTGTGAGCGTCTGATGCTTGCTGTCTGGACACTGACCTGGTCGTGTCATCCATCTATTTGTCGACGCTTCATGCACACCACACCCTTTGTGCGATCAGTCAAGTGTGTGAGCACGATCCTTCAATCAAGAGTGCATGGCATGCAGCGAATAAAAGTCAGGGGGAACAAAAGTCAGGGCGAGGGATACAGACAAATAGCTGTACACAGAGATGCGGATCTAAGCAACTCTCAACCAACCAACCAACGCACACACACAACACAACAGCCGTCTCTCTCAACTGAGTCACTGCTGCGGCTTCTGAGACCCTTCCCTCGGCAGTAGGAAGTACAGCCGCACTGCCCCCCGCCCCAGACTGATAGCAGACCGCGATTTGAGCACCACATTGTCGTTCTCGTTCAAGAGGCGCCGGTTGACCACCACGTTGCTCGAGGTCGCCTCCAAGACCCACGCTGATCCCTCCATCGGCGTACCATCTGCCACTCCCTTGAGATTCTCCACCTTCTTCAGCGGCCGCCACCGGATACGTGCGGCAGCGCGGGAGAGTTTCTTCATCTCAGGCGGGTAGAGGATCCACTGGCAGTTCCCATCTGCGTCGCTGGGCGCCTTGGAAGACTCCCTGCCTATACGGACATCGAGCTTGTGCCCAATGTGGACGGACTTGTCGGTCCTCTCCTTGTCGTCGGCTGTCGGGAGCGTCGCATATCCACTCAGCTTGAAGAAGCCATACCTGTCGCGGCCATCGGTTGCACCTCCTGCATCCATTCTCCGCAACGCAACCCAAAGGAGCCAACGAAGGTGTGTTTGCTTTCATGAATACGATCATACATACTGGCTTCTCTTGTGCGGTAGGTACCTTCCTCGGTTTTTGGAACGAGCTGCAGCAGATCTGGCGATCCCTTGAATGCGAGCTCGGAAGGACGGAGAGCGAGATCCGTGTTTGCCCCAAGATGCGCGTCAACATCTATGACGAGCACAGCGGGCAGGTCATGGAGGCTTTTGTGGAGCCATCAGACAAGGTGGATGATCTGTTCATCTTAGCTGCAGCAGGTACTACGCAAACACACGCTCAAGGGAACATAGGGGCAACCGAGCCGTCCTTCTCCTGACTGTATCTTATCATCAGAGTTCTCCATCCAGCCGGACCTCTTCAAGCTGAGGTTGGCAAAGGAGGTTCTCGACCCATCGAAGCACATTCACGAGACCTCGGTGGCTGACAACTGTCTCTTGGAGGTGTGCCGCGACGCCAATGCTCCTGCAGCACCAGCCGCCAGCAGCAGCATGCAGCGGCAGGGCTCAACCTCATCGTCGCGTACGAGAGGCTTCACGCGGCGCGACTCATGGCAGGAGAACCTCCGTGACTTCCTCAAAGCCGGCGTGTCGCCTGAAGAACTCATGCAGCAAGTGGCCGCAGAAACGGGTGAGTGGTGGATGATGAGAGAGGGGGAAGGCAGGGAAGGGCGGTGACCGATCTGATCGATGTCGGCCCCATGATGTCGTTGTCCTCGTGTGCTGTCCTGTGTGGCAGGCATCAGTCCAGAAGCGGCTGCCCTGGCCGCACAGGGCGGCTCACCCTCCTCCAGGTCGAGCGGCGGTCCACACATATATGCGCCGTCGACGCAGGCCGAGGTCCAGAGGCGACTGCGGGAGATGACACAACTCCGAAACATCGACCGCAATTACGAGGCAAGGCCACAAAATCCATGAAGTGGGAATGCCACATTCACTCTTCGTTCGTGACTGTGTTTGAGTGGTGGTTGGTTGCAGATGGCGATGGAGCTGACGCCTGAGGCATTTGCGCGGGTGGTCATGCTTTACATAAACGTCAAGGTCAACGGTGCTGAAATGAGCGCCTTCGTCGACACAGGTGCCGGGGGGAAGAGATGGGCCCAACAAAGACACAAGACACATTGAAGCTTGCTGTATGCGCTCTCTGTGCTGCTCCCCAGGTGCGCAGATGACCATCCTGAGCGAGAGGGCGGCCCGGAAGGCTGGCCTGGACGAGCTGATCGACCGGAGGTTTCAGGGTGACTTTCGCATGAGGCACCAGATGCAGAGACAAAGCAACGACCTGCCGTGTGTGTGTGTGTGGCTGTCCCGACAGGTGTGGCTATTGGTGTCGGTTCAGCTCCCATCGTCGGGAGGATCCACCTCGCCGAACTAGAAGTGGGCGGCATCACACTGGTGAGCGTCGCATCCATATTAGTGGGCGTTGCTGATTCCCCTCCTCTCTCTCCCTTTTACATATGCCATATGTGGATGTGGGTGTGTGTGCGTTCAGCTCTGCTCGTTCACGGTGATGCGTGACGCGGAGATCGACTTGATCTTCGGGCTGGACATGCTGCTGAAACACGAGTGTTCTCTGGATTTTAAGAACCACGTACACACACACGCACACAGAGGGGGAGAGAGAGACCCCAGATTCACACACGCGTTTCTGCCCTTTTTCCCTTCTTCAGGTCATGTGTGTCGCCAACACAGTCGTGCCATTCCTGACCGAAAGCGAATTGCCGCTGCGCGCACACGGGGTGTTGGCGGGCAGGGTGTGAGTGAGCTAGTGATTGCATCCTTTCAAGCTGATGATGTCAGTCAGTCAGTGGTGTATGGCGGCTGGCTGAGCAAGTGGCTTAGTGAGTGTACATAGCTGATGGATAGATGGATGGACGGCAAATAGGCAGCAGAGGCAGGCAGGCAGGCAGACAGGTGTCTGTATATTTCGTTGCTCTTTGGTTGATTTGTACAGCGACAGGTGACGGACTCACAAGTAGGCGCATCACCTTTGCAATGCATTTGTTTGACTGATTTCCACCCCCGCTGTGGCTGCCGCGTCCATCCGGGCTGCCTACTGGCTGTGGCTCCATCCCGTTCTTCCCCAGCCAGTGTTCATCACGGAGAGAAGCCGTACGTGTCCTCTGAGGATCCCCTTGCTCACAGCCCCGCCACTTGAAGTTGTCACTCGAGGGATCAGCAGAGGTGAAAAAATCGGAGCTTTCTTGCCGTTGGTGACAGAAATAAAGAAACGTCTTTGGCCACGACGACGAAAGCGCTGCAAGGGGGAACCCGTTGCTGTTGACACAGTGGGGAAAACCCCAGGCAACGTTCTCTGTCCTTTCAACGGGAGCTGGCGTCATCCATATGTCCTTTCATTGGGAGCTGGAAGACACACGACGGTTCAAATGGAGGCGGCGGCGGCAGGAAGCGCCAAGGTCAGCACATGACTCTCTTTCTGCAGAGTGACCCCTCGTGTGTCTTGCAGGTGTTGACGCCAGGCGAGGAGGGAGGGAGGCCTGGGAGGGGTATCCTATGCGCCATTCGCTGCGGCCGCTACTGTTCTTCATGATGGTGACCCTGCACCAGGGCCAGGGCCACGAGGCCAAAGCTGCCTCACAAGACACCGCACTGCGAGTCCCACGGCAGGCACCCGACAGACAGCTGCCGGAGGTCGCCACGATGCCAAAGTGCCGACCCATCGAGGCAGTGGAGCTCTTCCTCAACTCCAGTGAGACCGTGGAGGTGACGCAGGACCTCGGCGCCTACATCTTCGAAGGCATCATACCGGAGGGCTTCCCCAACGTCATTCGCGCAGGAGTGGTCATCTTCCCCGACATTGGATATGATGCCCGTGCGTACGCGCCGCTGGCCCATCGGCTGACTGCTCGCGGCGTGGAGATACGGGGAGGGCTCCTGGATCATCCCGTGATAGTGGTGCTGCCGCCGTGCACCCCCTGCATGGCCACCGAGGACTTCGACGTCGAGCAGTTGAGGCCATGCCAGGCATGCACCTCACTGGTCCTGCAGCTGCTGGGCAAATTCGAGCTTGAGAAATGGGGTTTGATTGGGTTTGGCGAAGGCGCCAAGGCGGCCTCGGTCTTTGCCGAGACCTTCTACCCCCGCGTCAAGGCCATATCGATCGTGGGTGGCATCCCTGACGCGACGGCCAACCTCAAGGACAAGAACATGCTGGTCCAGCTGCTCGGCGGAGAGAGTGACGTGGTCTTCCCACCCGATGTCATCGCAGCACACCTTGACAAACTGCCCATTGAAGCGCTGGTCGCGACTCTCCCGAATGTGACGCATGACGACTTCAGCTGGCACGAGTACCCGTGCGACACGAGCAAGAACCACACGGATGAGTACGCGCCCAACTCGCGACTCAAGACGCGCGATCCGCTGGTGGATGTGCTGATCCTGGGCAACTACACGACGTCCTTTTACCACAACATCCTGGCAGTGGAGACGGGCGGCGTGGACGACATGTTCCTTGTAGAGGAGCCGTCGAGGTACGACGGGTTCCCCCACCAGCTGCCCAAGGAGGTCCTCAGGAGCGACCCCGAGTACGACAAAGAGACAGAGCCGCCCCGGCCCTCTTGCATCCTCTACTGCCCCGAACCGAAGGAATGGCGCGCCGGCCTCTCAGCGACCGTCTTCGGGTACGTAAGGAAATCTGTGCCTGCAGGCAGGTCCGCACCTTTGTATGTGTGTGTGTGGTCGGGGTGGGTGTGCAGTCTGTATTACAAGGAGGTGACGGCGGAGGGTCTGGAGTGGCTGGACGAGAACTCGACGCTCACTCAGAATGACACTGTGAGTGCGCGCTTCGACGAGGAGAACCTGTGGTGGGTCTACGAGGGGGCCACGCCCTACAAGGCTGGCATGATCATGTTTGTGGGGCGACACGTGCCACCTGAAGCATATGCCATACTGCTAAGGTCAGACACAAAGGCGTCCCCTTTCTGTCTGCATCCATTCATGGCGTGTGGTGTGGTGTTCTCTTGTGCTGTGTTGTGCTGTGTTGTGGTCTGCAGGCAGCTTGCGCGTAAGGGCTACTTCATGGTGTGTCCGTATGCGCCCATCCTACTGAGTCCGCTCAATGCCGTCGAGACGGGCAACAGGGTGCTGGAACAGCTGGGACACATGTAAGGACAGTCACTCAGTCAGGAGATGAGATGGTGATCGTATGTATGTATTACCCTTCTTGTCTCTTGTCTGTCTGCAGTGTTGATGATTGGTTCGCCATTGGGTAGGTCAGACGTGCATCATCCATCCCCTCACCCATTCATTGTCTGCTCGTGTGCAGCCATTCGGCCGGTGGTGTGGGTGTCGGTGACTTTTGCGAAGCCAACACGGCCCGCAACACCGTCAGAAGCCAGCCGCCGTATGTGCGTGGCGGCATCATCATGGCGGGTGTGTTTGGGTTCAGCAACTTCACACTGATGGCGGCCCGCGGCGACACCGGCGCCGCACAGATGGAATTCATGGAACTTGTCGGCACACGTGGTGGGTGGGTGGGTGGATGGATGGGGATCCATGTCATGCATTAACGGCTTGTCGTGCTTGAATTTCAGATTTTTCTCGGTATGATGAGCCTGATGATCCGGTGAGGGGCAACAGCCACACCACCCACTACACAAGGGAGGGGGGGTGTCGGCTCGTCTCTATGTCTTGCTCATGTATGCGTGTTTGTGTGTGTATTGTGCAGGAGAGGTGTCATGCGCGCATCGAGCAGTCGATGAGGACGCGCGTGCCGGACGGCCATCTCACCGAGGTATACATTGACGATGGGGACCACTACCAGGTACGCACAGACAGCACAGCCTTGTGGCGAACGTTCACGTGCACCCGGGTCTTGCTGCTGGTTGTGTCGTGTGCAGTGGGGGGCGTATGGCTACCAATTTCCATTCAAGGTGAGTGTGTGACTCGCCAAACACATGGACAGACAGACAGCTGTGCGACCCCCTCTGCCTGCCTGTCTTGTTGTATCGTTTGTGTGTTTATCAGACTGCTCGCATCTGGCAGCAGGAGCAGATTCGAGCAGGTGTGGAGGCAATGGACCTGTGGCTCATGGACATCGTCGCCAGATAGCACACAGCCGACCATATACAATAGGTGTATGCATTCCCCCCACCCCCACCCCCACCCACACATACGCTCATTTGAAGGACTTTTTCGCCCGCCATACCTGAATGAATGATGCATGCAGTCAGTCAGTCAGTCAGTCGGTCATGCAGCCAGCTGCGTTTCTTGAGGCCACACCATGCCCATCCACATGGCACATGTCACTCGATGGGCAGGTCGGTCAGACAGCCACCCACGCCATGCCAACCAATCTGCTTTTTTGGTTGTACAGTGAACGGCAGGGGTGAGTGGGCTGCGTAGCGTACATCCAGCAGGGGATGGGCGCTGCGCTGCGTATTGCGTATATATAGTGTAGAGGGGGGTTTTAATCTAGCTAGACACATCCTAACGCGTACATGGATCTGCCACGGATGGGCAGGGCACCTGGCTTTCAACAGAGGTTTGAATGTCTACCATCTCGCCTCTCCTTCTGTGCAGTCAGCTACCTACTACGGAATGACAGCCTCTCTCGTTCTTTCTTTCTTTCTTTATTTCTTTCTCTGTCTGTCTGTCTGTCTCCCTTCATCCGCGCTTATCGCATCCACACATCATGGCCATGATGCGTTGATGCGACAGACAGGCACATCGATGGCTGCCTGTGATCTCCCTGCAGAAAGGAGTGAGTGAGTGAGTCGCACGTGTCTTAATTGCCAACGAGCCACTGGCAGCCAGCCAGCCAGCCTTGTGTGCCACGTGGGCTGGGCTGCCTGGCTTTTGACGATGAATTGCATGTGGTGAATTGCATGGTCTACGTGATCATATGAGCGTGATCGAGTGACTGACTCATGATCATGTGCATGCCGTGTGTGACTAAAGTAATGGTATTGGACACAAACGAGCAATCATCACGTACGTGTACACACACATACAATACATACATACATATTACACAAGCTGAGACATGATCGATTGATTGATTGTCTTGCGACCGACCAAAACACACACACGCACACGCGCGAGCATCATCCATTCATCCATCGATCCGTTCATCCATCGATGATGGTGTGTCGGTTGGTGACTCCCTCCCGTGTCCCTCTGCTGCTGCCCTTCCTGCTGCTAGCTCTGCTGGCCCATCCCCGCGCCACATGCCACGGCCGCGAGCTGAGCCA